AGGGAAGAAGGAAGAAAAATCTTTATAAGACCTCGTTCAACTGTGCTCCATTTCCAGTTCCATAAAAAACACACTGCCCTGACCCTCAAAGAACGCTGTACCAACGGGGTCCCCTCAAATATCGCAGAAAAATATACAAGCACAGATACAGTTGCAGCAGCATATTCCCCCTTCTCCGAAGACAATCTGTATCTGTAGATGTCCACCAGAAGATGGCAAATGACAATGCGCCATATATTAAATTATATATAAACGTGTACTTAAAAAACTACACTTCCGACCTTCGAGAGAGAGAGAGACCCAGCATGGCATCCGGCAAATACACGACTACACTGTATTTCCCCACTCCCCACCCCCTTTCAAGGAAATGTAAGTAAAAGAGAATAAGAGACAAGAAAAGAATCAGAAAAGAGCATAAAGAAAGCCGAAGTAACAGCAGGGGCAACGGAATGGTTAGGATCGGAATGGGATAGTGGCCACAAGGGGCATAAATTGAACTTTTTTCTTTTATTTTTCTTGCTGAGAAGAACATAGGAACTCTTTTTCTCTCTCCCTCTCTGTCTTTATATATCCTCTTCTTCTTTTTGTATATACATATACATATATATATATTTCTTTCCCCACACGATTCATAATTTCTGGTAATTGGAGTTTAAGGCGGACGGACACCTTCACAGCAGAACGAATACTGAAAAGAAATTGCTTGACAACTTATTTTTGGAAACGTGTTTTGTTGGTTGTTTGTTTAGATTATGTTTTCCTAATGCCAGCAAATCGCCTTATTACGCTGTCTGCCGTCTGCTGTCCACAGAAGGAAATAAAATGATGACAAGGTGTTAATTCGACACACAACCAAAGAGCCTCATCAGCCGAATCATCATCATCGTGGGCTGTGCTTTCTTGTGAGGCAATAAAGTTATTAAATCGAATTTTAGGAGAATGAAATTCAAAACCTTAAAATAAATATTAATACAGACATTTCATTGAGCCAAGGCAAATAAATCATTGGTTGGTTTCAACTAAATTTTGCCACACAAAATAGACACAAATTGATACAAAAATATTTTCAGACCCTGTTAAAAGGTTTAAGTAATTAACTTCATTTGTTGTGCATGGATTACAAAGAAATTCGTTAAGAAATATAAAGCAAATAAAGCAAATTCAATCAATTTTGTTGAAAGTCAACAATTTTGTTCTTGTCAAAGTTTTACATTTAAATATGCCATATTTTCACGAATAATGTATTACAGTATTCAATAAGAAATATACAGTAGGAAAATGTATCATATTTCAATTCGAACCACAAATGAATACAAATAATAATATTAATGTTTTAGCCATTGCAAATTGAGTTCACAATACGACTTACTTACACAGGTCATTCGAAAAGAAATCCCAAAGCATTTTTTGCCGGACATGCATGAGACTTTCCATTCGATTTAGAATTTATGATGGCTTTGACCGAAATATGAGCAACATAACTTATTATTCCACACCCAACACAACACATCTGTGTCTCCGACTCATTTGAAATGCCAAACAGGCAGAAAATTTCATTTGTTGTGGCCAAAAGAATAAAATTTCAACACGGCAAAGGAGTAGGGAAAATCTACCAAAAATCAAAGAGATTGACTGGCAGTGCCAGAAACAATCACAACGAATATGCTCGTGATGGAATCATAGTCAAGTTTCGGAGACTCGTAATAGGAGCAACACAAAAATACTTAAGAGCCAGGACCAATTAGTTGGTTCAGCCAGGTATTACTTAGCTATGACTTTAGCGATATATACATATGTACATGGGATACGTTGAAAGAGCTCTTAAGGTAACAAGCAGGGAACAGCATTTTCAATTAGCTCAATTACAGAACCCTGCAGCAGCATCATCATCAGAGGGTGTAAAAAACCCCAAAACTGGACAGCCAGACAGATGCACATGCAACCCTTTGAGCCAACCCTCTCAAACCACGCGGACATTCGCGGACCAGGGACAATAAAAATCAATTATTTCTAGTAAAAAGCCAACGATGCAAGCTAGCCAAAACGTAAAGCAAAAACATGATTAAAGAGTGCTTGCAACCCCCGGGCAGTGGAGTCGAGTGCATCTCCAGTTTCCTTTGCCCAGGGTGATGCATTTAATTAACAGCCATTGCCCAGCGGCAGAGTCTGCCAAATGCATTTTGACTGTTGCATCATCAGCACCGAAAGGTGTATGGGGGGAGGGATAAGGCAGGTAGCTGCCCAAATGGGTGGTTGTTCGCTTGATGGGTTCGGTTGGTCACCAGACGCACCACCAACAAAGTGCCTTCTGATTTTTTGCACTAGCGAATGGTGGCTGCCCCTGGTCCGGCGGCATGGGAGTGGGGTGCCCCCTTCCCCGTCTATTTATGGCCTCCAGTCTGGATGCATAAATTTACGAGTGGCCTGGTGGGGGGAGTGGTGAGGCATGCGTCACGCTGCCAGACATATCGACGACAGTGGAGTGAGTGAGTGAGTGATGCGTTGCCGCATCCAAACGCATTTCGAAAGGGATCAATGGGTATGGCAGTGGCAGTGGCAGTGTCAAAGTGCAAAAGGCAGACATGCTGATGACCCGCATGGAATGATGAAAATTCAATCAGGGGAACGGAGGAGTGGCAGATGCTTTTATGTTTAATGTTCTTTAATCCAAGATCATTGGAAGCTTGAAACCTTTTTTGAGCGCATTCAAGTGCGAAGTGCGAAGCACTTGTTCCTGCCGAAACCTGTTTCCGTGCGGCACTTCCGCTCGTTGTGTCTTTGCTGAACGGTTAAAGTACTCGTAGTCGCTTTTTTCTCTTCTCATTTTCCATTGGATTTCCCTTTCGGTTTGTTCGCGTGCCACCATTAGTAGGTCAGACCTGGCCGACACCCAACCCAGTGGTGCTGGGCTCTTCAGGGCTGCCACATTGTCTGATCTCTCGTTCAAGCGGCATTAGCAAAAAAGGGCAAGAACTAAATCGTTTAACCTGCCCCACGATGAGTGCCGCGAGACGGGGGTGGGGGTCGCTCTTTAGTCCATGGGATTCAGTGCATCCGCCTACGAGTGCACTTAATCACATGGCTGCTTCGCTCCGCCTTTTTCCCGCTGCCTTTTTGGGCACGTAGGAAGTGACGTTTAAGGCACGTACGCAATGGCAACGGCAACGGCAACGACAACGCTCACTGGCTCCTGGCCAGGTTGGGGCGCCTACAGGTATGCAGCAGAGACAGTGGCAGGTCTGGGCCGGAGAAGCGTAAACGATGCCAAGTGGCAGGCCAGGCAGTCCGGCAGAGGGCCTGCCCTGAAAAGCAGAAGAGAGTGACAGGCGACGGTGACGAGGCAAACGCTTGAAATGACGAGAAGAAGCTGCTTCATGTGCTAATTGCGCTGTCAAGTCAAGTGTGGGCGACGACAACGACAAAGACGACGAGAGGAGCAGCATCAGCAGCATCAGCAGCAGAAACAGCAGCACCAGCAGCAGCAACATCAAGCGGAAGCAACAGCTCAAATGCCAAATGAGAAATGAGGCATCCACCAATACACACACACACAGACACTCACCCACCCACACAGGCAATGCCATTAGTTAAGGGCACGGAAAAATTGTTGCATACTTTGTGCGGTTCCCTTCATTCACGTGCCACAACTGGCAACCGAAATGAAGTAATATCCATGCTGTGGCTGCCTCCAGGCCTTGCCCCCAGGCATCAATACACTATCGAGCACGAACACAGGCACGCCTTGGCCCATGTTTTATCATGTTTTCGGTTTTTATTTGGTCGACTCTTCCCGGGCTCTTTGCATAGAGTCCAATTTTTTTTTTTATCGTTTCGAGGTTCGAGCAGATAAGGGGGCCGGGCGAGCAGACAGCCCGTGGCAATGGTGGAAATCGATTTTTCCAACCCTCCAACAGCGACAACAGCAACAATTGCCATACTACCGCGCGGCTGCTGTTGCAGCTGCAGGCGCGTCGTGGGTGTACAAACAGAAAGTTTGGGCCATGGAAAATTACAGTCGTCGCCGGCGGCCACAGAATGCTTCAAGCCAATTGTAGAAGCTACAGGATATTCCAATTTAAGTTTAAGTTTTTTCTCGATTACACAAATGTGATCTAAAGATCAGCAAAATGATTGAATCATTGAAACAAGCAATACCGAGTCTGTCTAAGAGATCGTTATATATTCCATTAATTTAAAAGTTATCCCAAACGAATAAAGAGGCGAAAATTAGCAAATTTCCTTGAAAGTAGACTGACATATGATTGCATTACCTGAAAATATACCCATTCAATTCTAAAGACCAATAGTTCCTATTGATTCTACCTGGAAGTGGTGCCAAATGGTACCCAATGACTCAAGATTTCTGTATAATTCCAACCAACATATTATTGCTGTTTGTGTTCAGGTTCCAGTTCCAGTTTCAGCCGCCCAAAGAGTAAGTTTTCTCATTTTTCTCCCATTGATATGATACACAAATGTGTTTATTGTTTTCGTATGGAATTATGTTGCAATTGCTGGATTATTTCTACCCCTCACCCTCATCCTTCATATAAGCACTCGAAATCTTATCAACATTATATTTCTACATTATGAAAGGTTAGAGCCGTTTTCAACGCTCCGTTCCGAATTAAAACCAATGCAAAAGTGCCATTAGAGAGGGAGCTCCCATGCATTTTGGGAACTTCAACCCCCAAAAAGGGAAAACTTTATCAGGGAACTACCACCACCCCATAGCGGGAATTATCAGCAAGTCCAGCCAGCCGCCCAGACGCGGCCACGGCCAACCAAGGTACAAATACAACGCAGAGCAGGGAAACGGGCAAAAGGTGGTGGAGAGCTGATTGAATGGATGAGTGTGTGTGTGTGTCTGATAAGGGTGGCACCCACCCACCCGCCATAGCTCGCAAGCTTTATGGACCGGAGATCTGCCGCAGACAACGTGGATTGTGGATGGTGAATTGTGGCATGTATTGTAGTTAGATATTTTGGAAGATACTTACCCTAGCATGCATGTGCACATCATTCTCGCCGGGCTGTTGGACACCGGTACGGATCTTTTTGTTTTGGGGCCCCTCGCTGACGACTATGGTGGCCCCTCCGCCACCGCCGACGGCTCCTCCGCTTCCGTTGCTGGCGCCGTTGTAGGGCATTGTGGTCGCCGTTGCGAACTGGAGCGAAATCTCGGGGCTGATTAAAGCTTGTTGGTGTAGAATTTTGGCGATTTTTATGGGGCCTAAGCCTCGACTTCGCGTGCGATAAAGGGGGGGGTTATACAATAGATCGGTACGATCTGGCGACTACGCGACCTTCTTCTTCTCTTCAAAACTCTGTCTATCTGTCTCCACGTGAGACCTTTTACTTTTTTTTTTCTTTAATTTTTTTTTTTTTGATCAGACAAACAAACGCTTGTGAAACGCGCGCGATTGTTGTTTGTTATTTGGTGTTGTTGGTGTGGTAATTTCTGTTAATGTTTCTTGTTTGTCTGTTTGTTTTAAATGTTGCTAATGTGGTTTTGTTTTTGTTGTTGTTGTTGTTGCTGTTCCTGTTGGTAGTGTAGCTGTATCTTGCTTGTTTGTTTATTCTCAGCTTCGTTTCAGCTTCCTGTAGCGCAGTGTAAAACACTTTCAAATTTTATTGCACTTTTGAGTTGCGTGATAAATTTTCCGTTTTCTTGTGATTTTGGAACCAGCTGCAAGACGGATACAAAAAAGGAGAGAGAGAGAAATGGAAGGCCTTTATTAGAAGCGGATCAAAGGAGGGAATTTTTTGTGTTATTATCTCTTAAATTTATGTGACAATTTATCTCTGAAATGGCCATTTCGCCACCGTGTGCCCCACTTGAGCACGTTTCCCAGCTTCAAAAGTGTGACAATCATTTAAATTGCATTTATTTTTCATTCATATTCGTACTTGAAAAAGCGCCCTAATGAGATCTTATATTGGGGCGAAATAGTTAATGATAAACATGAAATTCTAACCAGATTCAATTGAAACCAAATGAACTAATAACAGAGAACAAATAAATCATATTTTATCATGTCCAATTGGAATAATTGGAACGAAAAATCCTTTCTAACTGGAAATCAATCGGAACGCATTAATCAGCAGGAAAACCAAAAGAGGAGCCTCTCAAAATCATCTAACAACCCTCGGAAAGTTGTCAAAAAAAAAACAGGAGCAGAAAAGCGCCGGCAAACAACAAAAAAGAAGAAAGGCAAAAGAGAAAAAGAGAACAGAAGGGAATGAAAACCGAAAATTAAGGAATTGAAGGAACAGAAGGGAAAAATGGCCGAAACATCAGAGTGACTTGTAAAAAGCGAAGGGGGTTAGGGGGAAATGAAGAGAAAAACAGCAGAACGACTGTGGAAATCGCGTAAAAGTAAACTTGAAAAGTTTTTCGACCGCCTCTGTGTGTGTGTGGTGCAACCCTTATGGAAAATGGAAAATGCCTGTCCCATCCCGTCCGCACACACACGCACGCACATCTAGACTAGAAAAGCACACACGCACAGCAGACAGAGGGCAAAAGGCGACAGACAGACGGACGGACGGACGGAGCCGCCGCTGCTGCTGGCTGACTTTGTTTTGTTTGTGGGGGCGCGCTCTGGATCCGCGCCGGGGTGGATTTTTCATTAATGGAACACACACGAAAAACCGGGAACAGGCAACAGCCAACAGCGATGGGAACGATGGACGGTGGAACGCGAGCGGCAGCGGCAACGGCAACGGTAAAAGGAGGACTGAACTTTCTGACGGGCGCTTTTCCTATTTTGTTTTTGTGCGGCGGCAACGGACTGATTGTTTTCCACATCCACTTCCACTCTGCTGTGGCTTTCTCTCTTTTCGCATTTCGCTTACAAAATGGTGGCGCGCGGCGGCAACAACAGTAAATTTTTGGATGCAACGTCTGTGGCCGTGATTTTCAGTTCAATTTCTCAATTTTTAATTTGGATTTCACTTCGTTTTTTATTGTTTATTTTTGCTGTTTTTTTTTTTGTTTTGTTTTGTTGGCTTTCGAGTAAAAATTTTGGATAACTTCACATTGTTGAACAAAAGGGAACCGCAAAAATTTAGGAAACTGCACTCTCAGTGTTCGGACGTGCGAATGGGGTTCTGTGCCGTTCTGTTTTCTGCTTTTGACAGTTCTGCTGGGTTGCCGCAGAGACGAGACTGCTCGGGACGTGGGGTGGCAGAGTTGCCAGTGGGCCTGCAGTTCGCTTTTCCTACACTGCAAAATATTCGATAAGTATTTCGCAAAGTGCCAAAACACCACTCACACACTTCTCGCTTCTGAGAAACAGAAGTACGAACGGACGAACAGAGTGAAAATTAGTACCGTTAGGCTCTGTTGTCAGTCGAATGCAAGAATGAAAGCCTGAGAGGCAAAAACACAGCCACGACACGGACGAGCATCGCGCGGGGACACGAAGGCTAGCGACAGCGCCAGACCAGACAGAGACGGCGCACTCACAGGTAAGGAACGCAGCGAGAGAGAGAGAGCATAGTGTTTAGGGGTTGCAAGGTGGTCAGTCAGAGAGCACGAAGAGACATGCAAGGCAAGGCAAGGCAAGGCAAGCAATCATCACCACCACGCCACAGAGCGAAAGAGAGGCAGCAACGCAACGCGTGGCTGCATTTCAAAACTCGAAAACTGCAATCTACTACTTTTTCTGCTGCCACGCGCCCGTTTCTACTACCTTTCTGCGTGCCACAGAGAGCAAGGAGCGAAAGAGAGAGAGAGCCAATCAATGCGCCGTCGCGAGAAGAGTAACTTCTGGCCCTTTTTGTGGCGTTGTTTCGTGGGTGGCAATTCGCAGAAAAATCTTCCGGCTACCAGTTCTGCTGTTGCTGCTTCTTCTTGTTCAACATTTGTTGTTGCTTCTTCGCCCAGCGCGAACGGCGAGGCCAAAGCAAATGGGGGAAAAACTGTTCACAGACACACACACACACACTCACACAAATGCTCTTTCACTCATTGCGAAAAATCACTTTCACCGTTATGCAGCGCCCAACCAACTGCTTTTCCTCTTTGGCCGCTTTACCTTTGCTGGCTGTTGTGATATGCTCTTTGCACCTGTCCTCAAGCGGCGGCACCTGGTTTATTTACTATTTTCCACAGTCTCCTTCTTTTGTTGCTTGCTCTGCCGCGGCGGCCCTTTTTCACACATACACAAACACACACTGACAAAACGCGACGCTGAGACTTCGACGGCGACGATGACTGCGGCGAGACACAACAAACAAGAACAAACGTGCGTGCGTGTGAGCGGGACAACGAGAATCGATAACCGTAGACAACGCCGACAGCGACACAGCAACGACGATGGATGCCGCGGAAGTATTTAATTAAGCCAAAGTATTTAATTTAAATCCGTATCTGTGTGTATGCAAACTGCACAGCACACCAACACTCACTAGCACACAATAACACACTGTCTCGTAGCGCTTACAATGCGGGGGGAGAATGGGAGGCGGCACAGCGATGCGATGCTTTTCAGTACGCTTTTCTTCGGTGACGACCGTCGTTCGCTGATTTCTGCTTCTGGGGAGCAAATTAACCGTTAAACCGTGCGCCACAGAGTGAGTTTCGAGAGTGCGCTGCCCCGCAGCAGCAGCAGAAACGGCGAAAAAGTAGCAGCAAGTGCGCTTGTAATACGCTCTCTTTACAGACACGCGCACCAGACACAGATACACATCCGCACTCACGCAAAGAGAGAGAGAGCAACAAAGCAACAACATCGAGCGTGACAGAGGGAGAGCGACATAGTAGGCAAGAGAGTAGCAACGTTATTTACGCTTTGGTGTTGGTGTTCGTACTCTCTCGCTCGCTCTCTCTCTCTCCCTCTCTCTATCTTTACGTTCTCTGGATGTTGTAATGAGAACGACGCTGAAAAATTCAAATTCGACGCTGAACAGCGCACAGTGGTTCAAGGGTTATCAAACTGCGGAATAATCAGGCATCTGATTGTGAGTGGGTTTTGGAAGGGTTTCCAGCGAAGATTCAGTAGATCTGTCGCTTCAAATTGTTGCACGCCAATCTTTTGATAATAATAATTAACAATAAAGTTGTTACCTTTCGAGCAATCAAAGATTACGCTTCAAGAAAGAGACATTTCCGCAGTGTCATTTAAGAGAGCCAGGCTAAAGAGAGTTGGTTTGCTGCGCTCACTTTCTCTCACTGTTAATCACCCTGGTGTGCACCCAACGAAAGTGTTGCTTACGTTTTGAGCGATGTTATGCTCTGGCTATTGTCTGCGTAAATGAATTTTTCAATTTTCCAACTTTTTAGCTTGTGGTACAACAACATAAAATCAGTTATTTGGTAACTTGGTAAAAGGTTTTGGTGTTCTTGCCGTTCGGGGTATCCATTAGCTAATCAGTATATATGTACATACATACATACATACATACATATGTATGTACGTTAAGACCTGCGGTGGGGTGATGTTAAACAAAAGCCGCTCGTAGGCCACTTTGATTCTGGAGGCCAAACATTAAAGACCGTACAAGAACCAACAAATATCGGGACCTGGAGCACCTACCCCCCCTTCCAATCCCACCCCCATCCATACAACACACATGAATACCATACCGTGCTCTTCTCTTTTGGCAATGTCCACTACGTGGTCTGGGCCGTGTCCGTGTTCGTGTCCGTGCCCGTGTCCGTGTACGGGGCGATTCGCTTAATGTCAAAGTGCAGTGCAACAAGAGAGGCAACAAGCTGCCTGGCAAACAACATAAACTATTTAATCTATGTGCGAGTGTGGGTGTGTGTATGTGTGTCTGCTTAGTGGGAGCTGATCCTTAGCGGTGGGGGTGGGCGGGGCAAACTTGCATGGGCACCTACTGCAGTTTAATCCCGAGGACCTTGGGCCCCAACTCCTGGGCAATGCTGGAACCATAAAATATGGATATGGCCATATGGCCATATGGCTGGAATGCATGTGCGTATGGGGTACACAAGTTTTGTGTGTGTGGGTCTCAACTTGTCGATGCTTCCCCCTGCCACCACCCTCACTTGTTGCAGCTTTGCCAAGAAATTCTCCATATACAGACATATGTACCTGGAAAATTGAGCCTGAATATTGCGAACCCTATGTACATTGTACATGTACATATGTATGGATATGTGTATTTATGTAAATATTTTTTCAACCGCTCCATGCATCAGTGAAAGTCAATCCTGGACGTTACAACTCTCGATATAGCAGGCCACTTTATCGTGCAACAAGAATATACCGTTCCACGGATTTATTCAGGTGGAAGTATACGCCCACTATCGGCATATCGTACGAGGGGTCAATTAATGAACGCTGGTGGCATGTTTTCCAAGTATGCAAATGCAGCCAAAAGTATGCACCATTTAAAGCCGATTCAGAAGATCATGACATGCTTTTTGGCTGAAAGTTGAATGTAGAATTGATGTAAAAACCATATACAAATGGTATTTGGTGACAACCTGGTCCCAGGTCCCAACCTGCCATTTTTTATAAAGCAACTGCTTCAGCTTAAATCCGGTGTTTAATCTCACAGCGAAGACATCTTAGAGGCAGTCATGGGATGGAGGGCAGGAAGTGAACCGTCGCAATGAAACTCTCAAATGTTGAATAGAATTGGATTTAATTAAATTGCACTGAATAGCTGAAATGTGAACCAATTGCTGCAACGGATGTAGAGCTGGTTGCTATGACACCAGTCAACTGTGCATAAACAAATACATGTACAGGTATTTTCGCAGTCTCACCCTCCCAGGAATTCTTATTGAATGGCTTAAATCCGCGACTTACGCTTTAAAGAATCGCCTTGGAAGTGAGGTAACCCCATTTAAGAGGCAGCTAAGTAAGTGGCAGCGTCCTTGCCACCAACTTTCACTTGACTTTCAAGCTCCAATGGAAACCCCTACCAAGGCACTTCCCCCTCCTACGCTTTAATCGAATGCTCCTTTTGCTCCGCTAATGCCCGCACACGCAATGTGTCCCCCAGCAGGATGCAAGCGGGCGCAGCTCCTGGCTCCTGTTCTCGGTCTTGGTCTTGGCTCTAACGAAGCTGATAAGCTGCCGCTATCAACGCCTAGCAACCGCGCGTGCCACGCTGCTGTCTTAGCAGCAGTCCCTGCCCCCCCTCCACTCTCTCATGCTGCATCCTCATCCACATCCGCTTCCGTTGCGCTATGCTGTGCTGTGCTGCAGCTGCCGGAGCCTGCCATCCTGTTTAGCACAGATTTACAGCCAAGCCAACTCCTTGAATTTCGCCCCCTGCATTTTGTATATGTGTTTGTGTGTGTGTATGTCTGTGTTTATCTGCGGCCCTGCCGGAAAGTGAATCGCTTATGAAAGCGTCCGGCCTGAATGGCGTGTGCAACCCCCTGCCCAGCATCCCCTGCCTCCCTACTCCTGACCTTCTTTGCAGCATTTGCGATGCAAAAATTTAATAAGAGTTGCCTGCTAATTTCACAGCTGAAGAATGCTCCAAGATATGTGCCGGAGCCCACTCTGTCGCACTCCACGAAAAGTTACCGAAAAAGATAAGCAACCAAGTCTTGACCTAGTTCAGAGCTTGCCCCATGCGCTGCCCTTTGTCATCATCGTCAGCGTCCGCAGCAGCAAAAAGTGTTAGATGTTGGCTCCACCTCACTCACCCAATCGCCCAAAACTTTACATAAAAAACAAAAAAAAAAATGCTCACTTAACGAAAATTTGAGACAGCTCCGGGCCGTGTGGCCCGAGCCCGATACGTTTTCCTTTTAGATTTTTCCCTTTTTTCTGGGGCCCAGGCCCGCTGATGTGGGCCAAAGTGCAGTGAGACACAGTCATTGGATCATTTGTCTTGGCATTGTTGCTTTTTGCTTTTTTTTGTTGGCCAGATTTCTTTTTTTTTCCGGCATTTTTCTACAATATCTTGACAGCCAAAGAAGCGGGCTTAAAGGGGTGGTGGAGGCTGAGAGTGGCGGTGCAAAGCTTGGACAAAAGAAAACTACGTGTGGATAGAAACAGACTTGGCAGGTTCTTGAGGGATTATTCCGGGATACTGTAAGAAAATATCATGGCATATCCTCTCCTTAATTCACGAATAATATTGTTTATTCATTAACAAAATCTATTTTCCTTTGATATATTCTTCCTTGTTACACTGTAGGATCTGCAGCAACCTCAACCACTCCAACACTGAATTTTCCTTAAACAACGAATTTTTACCAAAAATGATGCTCTCGAATTGCACACAGATACGTCTAGTCACACACACTAAAGGCGGATAAAAAAGTTACGAAAGCAAACAGAATCACTGCCTCCCCACCCCGGCCTGACTGGAGCTGAATGTTCGGAGCAAATGAAGGTGTCAAAATGACAAGCAGAGACAGCAAAAAAAAAAAAACCATTGCCCCTCCACACACACACGTACACACAGAAACACACACACATACACACAGAGAAACACTCAAGTGGAGTTGGGTCTGGCTGGACGTGCGATGGATGGATGACTGCCTTCCTGGTCCTGCCAGCCTTCTGTCTATCCGCCTGCCTGCCGCCCACTAGATGGCAGATCCCTGTGTAAATGGCAAAGCGACAGCAACATTTGCTAACTTTGCTGCAACGACAACAGCGGAAGCGACAAGAGCAACAACAGCAACGGATACTACATAAATGTATCTGTATCCATCTATTCGATGGCCGTGCATTGTATTGCAGTTACGTGCTCGATGGTCCAGCAAAATGGAGACTCGCAAAAAAAATCTCTAAAACAAAATCGGCAAAAGACTGTAAAAAATACAAACCAAACCATTTTCCCAATGAAAAAACTTGAATACACTCTCTGAATCAATATGAATCGGGGACAAATAGAATGTATAGAATATGTACACGAATTAATTGGCTTCCAGTGGAGCAGTGAAAATAAAAATAGAATTTGGTGTACATTTTCCACAATGATATTTCATATCTGTCCATGCGACTCAACCCCTAGTTGGTAGTGTATCTACAGAACGCGCAATGGAGACAAGCGAATGGCTTAAAGACTTTGCCAGTGCCAACTGCTTACCAACTTGCCAGATCGCAGCGAGGATTTAACTTGTAGCGAAACTTTAAATGAGTTCAAGTGGATTAGGTTTTGCACAACAATTCCAGGCCCACCCACAGTCACGCCCTTTCTTGATGACTGCGATTTTGGGTGCGGTGGGGGGCGCTGATGAAGCATAATGATGATGCTCACGCCTGATTGATTGATTGATTGATTGATAGAAAGGCAGTGGCGCAGAAGGCAGTGGCAGTGGCAAGCGGCGCTGAACGTGAAGACAATTTGCACTTGAAACTTAAATGCGGCACGCCGCTGCCGCCCACAAAAACTATTTTGCGACAAGCAAACAAGAATTTAATATTGCTCATACGCCGCGTCATCCGTGCCGTGGATAATTTTAGCAGCACGCCCGAGATTCATGCCCGAGAGCCTTCGCCGCACTACACGACCAATTAGATCTGCTGGTACTCGTGAGTATGCGAGTATAATTATGAATATATATGGATTCTTTTTGTCAACTATTTGCTTATATTAATGAGAGAGAGCGTTTTTTATGTCAACCATGAGCCGGAAGTGCTGCCAGCCGCCGTTTTTGTGGTCAGCGCGCAAAACGACATATGGCAGACACATGGTGGAGAGCAGTTGGCGCCGGATGGCGCAGATTGCACGTTTGCAATTTTTGCATTTGCAGTTTGCATTTTGCATTTACAGTCAAAATGGACCAGTGGACGGGTGTGCACCGGGCGTTCATCATACGCGCCTACTACAAGAGCAACGACTCCATCAGTGCCGCCCAGAGGCTGTTCAAGAAGCAGTTCAGCATTTACCAAACACCGCCCACGAATGTGATCAAGTCGTGGCTGCGCACCTTCGAGGGCACCGGCTCCTCGCAGGCTGGCGGCGGCACACGCTCATCCCTTCCAGTGAGTAAACCCCACACAGATCGCTAATAATCGCTGTAACCACCAAATCGGTATCCGTTTCACAGCAAATCTTCTGCACCATTTGCAATAATTGCCTGAGTAATGAGAAAAACTTCAGCAGCTCCGTAAAGTGAGAAATTCTTTTGGCCTTAGCCAGTATTTTTGTGTAAATGTACGAATACGAGTATCTCATAAGTTAGCGTAGATTAATTGTGAATAAAATTTATTTTGGCTAATTAACAAGTTTGCAATATCAACACGTCTCCACGTCTCTCTGTCTCTCTCTCTCTGTCAGCCTGTCAGCGTGCTTGACCCACTTGATGTGCTTTTGAATTTTCTGAAATATGTAAATCAAATTCTGAAACATTTCGGGGGCGAGTTTATGTGTCATTAAATTCCCCCAATTTTATACTACAGCTGTAAAAACATGAGCAAGCCTTGCCCCAAAAATTTCTGTTACGCCTACACCACATCCAAATTCATAAATATCTAAGCAAATATAATTATTATTATTATTACAATACAAGATCAGTGGAGCTAACAAACTAACAATTCACACAAATTTAAATTTAACAAATTTTTCGGAAAGTTTCATTTGATTTCTATTAATATGGAATGGGTCCTCCAGAAAGATGCAATTTGGTTTTTATGTCTTGAACCTCTACGTATATCTACTTCTGGTGTCATTAGGTTTTTGTTGCTTGCAATTTTTCAAAGCGTAATGGGTCTGTGGGGCACAGCTGAATCACATCAAATGGTACCAGCCACCAGCCGCCTATATGGGAACGGACTCCTCGTCATTAGTCGCCACTGGCTTTGGCCCCTTGTCATCTGACTAAATGGCGGTAAGCTTGAAGAACAAATAGAAATTATCATAATTTTAAGATTTGTCTGTAGGCACTTGGTACATTTGTCAGGGAGTACCCCGGTCTAGATGCCATACCAAATCAGGATATTCTGCACAATGTCACAGGTGGTTGCATTGCCCTTGAATCCTGCCATCTGAATGATTTTTGTGGAAGCTCTATGATCGGATTCGTCTGAAATTTGCTTGTCTTCGAGGCAGGCCAAACGCTCGACCGACTTCTTGTCCGGTTCTTCGGGGTATATGACAGATTGATTGGGTTCTACTTGAGCTTCGACTCCATCGTGTTGATCTGCTGTACGTTTTATGTTTTCATTTGTAGTTCGCGTTCCGTCACCTGTTAATTGGGAATCATGTATTGAAAACTATTTTGTTACTGCTTGAATGCGATTCATCCGGGATTTGCGTTGTTGCTCGGTTGAGCAGCCTCCAGTCTCACTAACACCCTCTGCCTGGAATAAGTTTTAAAAACATTGCTGGAAAGGGCAGAACCAATAAATGAATAAATAATAAATGACTCATGACAAACTACTATTCGATAATTCTTTCTCTTTCAGTTTGATTTACTCTCAGCCTCCCCTTACACTAAATCTCTTGTACATAAAGTAGTTCTATAATTAGATAATTTTTTGTCAACTTAATGGAATATGTTTTTCCGAATGCCCGGTATATTTTTAGTAAATTTTTCGATTTGTATTCGGTAATCTGTGCTCATGTGTCCTCCCTGCAGCCTGCCTTCGCTCATCTCTCTCTCTCTACACAAATCAAAACATCATCTGTCGGCTTTCGGACAAAAAGTAAATCCCATAATAGTCCTTCGTCGCTCTCAATGCCAGTGGAATTTACTCTGGCATCTTCTCCATAATGTCCAATTCGACGGGAAATGATGGGGCTGTCAAGTTGCAAAAACAAACAACAAAAACTCGCATGCATGTAGGAGGCCTTGCCTGATGACAGGATGGGCCTCCACCCCGCTCCCGCTCACAGATTACAATCGGAAAATGCGCATAAGGTTTTACATTCCGTACGGCGTTGGCATTAGTTTGAGATACGAGTGAGTATGTGGCAGCGTATCCGAGAGCGCTGACAAAATAAAATTAGGGGGCGCTCTTAGCCATAAACATAAAAATTGTTCCCAAAGTCCGGAGAGCCCTCCCTCAGTTATAGCCAGCAGCGATTCCTTGGTATCATAATTTCGAAATGACAGGTAATTTGGTGGCAACAACAACAACAGTAACAGCAACAGGAACAGGATGTGGAAGTGGCAGTGGCAGGGGAAGTGCCACTGGCGGAGGGAAAACATCGCATGAAGTGCGAGTGCAAAATGGGAAAATGATGCGGGTTTATTAAGTATCGTTACTCAGAGAAGAATCCCTCGCAGAGACCCAGACCCAGACCCACAGCCGAACTCCAACCGAAATCCCACCCAACAAATTTATGATGCGCCGTTTCCCAACGAACGCACGCCGAAAAAAGAAAATGCAGAAAAATGTATATTGTAAATATATGAAGGACTCCAGCGAACGGTGTTTTTTTTTTTTTTGAGGGTGGCGATGAGTAATAGTGGGAGGTTTTGGGAGGCCACACGCCCACTTCCTTTCACTGCAGCAATCTCCGAATGATTTAAGCACAAGAAAAATGTTGCCCCGCTCATGAACACATGCAACTAATGAGGAGTCCTCCAACGTTTACCTGGCCGGGGCCGTGTCCTATCTGAGCCAGCGCGCCCTGGGTGGGTGGGGGGCGCTTAACTCAATTCAGTTCGTTCCCGTCGGCTGGTTTAAACTCTAATTGAAATTTAGATAGCAGAAACGTGTGCCAGCAACGGAATCACCACGAAGGTGGGGGGCTGTCAAGTGCCAGGCCGCTGATGAGTTAAGCATTCAGGAGGCGGATGTGGCGGCGGGCATAAAATTGGCCAGGGAATATCCAAAGGGCGTCAAATGTGTACCGCTGGGGCAACTACTCCTCCGTTGGTTGACTAATCGAAGCAAAGCTACGAACAGATTGTAGATCTATAGATAGTTTAAGTAGCTTTGCCCAACCAAAAAAAAGGAAGCTGCCTCTCCACAGTTAATTCTTAGCCACTGCCCCTGAGCCTGCGGCGTGTAGCATGGGCATCGGGTTGAGCCATATTTCATTATGGGGAAAGCCTTGCAGCTCGTTGAACATGCGGCTATTAAAAATGGGCGCCATTGATGCGAATATTTATTGTAGCGAGCTTTTTCATAATGTTGGATTATCTAGGCACATGTCTTGGCAAGATTTATGTGAAAAGGAAAACGACCAGAGGGGGGCCAGAGCGAGCGAGCAGGCAAAAGCCAAGAGTCAGCTTTAAGCTCCAAGGAAATTGAAATCTTAAGCTTTATTGTTTTACTGGCCTCTGCCTCGGCCTTCTTGCTCTCTCCTTCCCGACTTCCCGATTGGCTGCCGAGTCCGTCAGAAAAGTGTGTTGGTGGTGGGGGGGGGAAGCGGATTTGGATTCCCCACACGCCGCATGCAAAGTGAAGAAGCGGAAAAGTGAATAAAACTGCACCAAAAGCAATTTTCATAAATGTTTAATGGATAATGGCGAAAGTAAGCACATGGGGGCGGGGAAGCGAATGATGAGGGGGGCACACACATTTCGACTGTACACGTGTTCGTTCATTCTCTCTCTCTCACTCTGCTATCCCCCCCCCCATTCATATCTCCCTTTGCGATGTACGATGTACGAGTATTGTTATGTTTCCGCAGATATATGTCTGGCTCTCTCCCATAGGCCGCACAAACACACATACATTCATATATTCGTAGTTATATTCTCAGCGACATGCCCGGATATGGGTGTATGAATCTCAGCTTTTAGTTTCGGTCCAGGACCCAGCGATTCTCATTAAAATCACAGAAAAAACCGACACCAACACCGACACTTCAGCAAGAACTAGAGTAACGATTGTGGGATACCCTCTTCAGATTGCCGCTTGCATTTGTCCTCATTCCATATAGTAGCCTTGCAGGAAGCTAGATCAGGGTATATCCTGTATTCTGTATCCATAAGAGATGCAAAATGGGAAATGCATGGGAAACTCTGCATAAGGAAATATCGTATGGAAATACTTTGTGAATACTGGCAGCCCTGCCCTGTGCAGATACGCTAAAAACGTCAGAAAGAACTTTGGCAGCCACTCAATTTGATTGTATAGAATGCGAATATATCCCTGTTCTTCAGATGTACTGGGTATTAACGCGAAATGGAGCAACCCGCCGGCCAGCATGTCCACTTATTGTCTTTGCTGCGGCTCCTCGCCAGAGGAGGAGTCCTTCAAGTGTGCCCATTACCGACGGCAGAAATCATAACAATAAAAGTGTGACAGCACCAGCACCAGGGATGGGTCTGAAGCTGCGGCTGATGCTGGTGCAGGGGCTGGTGTTGGGGGCATGGTTCTTCGAAGGGCGCAAGCCTCCTGTTACTTAATCGATGATGATGAATAATTGATTCGCTGCGATGCGCCCAAGCATGGAAATGAAAATGTCGGTGCAGGCGGGAAATGGCCTCTCCTCTCCTCTGTTTCTGCCACCAGCTCCTGTCTCCTATCTCCTGTGCCCCACCCCCGCCCGGCTTCACTTTGAGTTTCGCTTTCAGTCTCTGGTTCGCTCTTTCTACTCCTGGTGTGTGTGTGTGTGTCCGTGTAGTGTTGTGCTCTTCTGTGTGTAACGAATGGCAAATTTCAGGAAGCGGAAATGGCAATTGCAGTGACGGAGCGGCAAAAAAAAATTGGAGTGAGAAGCGGCAAGTGGAAAAGACAACGGCTGAGGCAAATGTAAAGTTGTGCACTAAATGAAATGCCAACACAGCAACACGGCCAGCAAAAACGCAAATAGCAAATGTGAATGACGCTGGAATTGGTTATGTCGCCTCGCCCTGGATGCACTGGGGCGACGGGTGCTGGGCAGACAATTTTCTGGTATTTAAATTCTATTTTGGGTCCCATTTAGGCGACAGTACTTACTATAAGAAAACACATTCCAGAGTGAGGTAAATGGGGCACGCATTATACATCCATAATGCATAAAATATCAATGCAAAAAATTGTATTCGCTTTTTGCATACAATCTATTTTTGTTATTGAATCAATGAGTGAAAAATATCTAGAATGACACTGAATTTTTGAAACATTTAAACACACAAAACTTTAACGCGTTGTAAACGACGCCAGCTGAATGGGAAGTAAATTAATTAAATTATTTGTGTTTTTTTTTTCACTTGCCTTAAGCACTTTTACCATTCAAAAAATTCCATTTTTATTCTTCTTCCTTTTGATTGATTTTTCATGGGGTAAATTGTATTGTTTTCTCCGTGAAAATATTTAAATTCTTGCCATAAATTGTGTTACAAAATGAGTGGCAAAACTGGACGAAAATCAAAGCTGAATGGAGCTGTGTGGGTGGTGTGTGCCGCTGGCTGCTGCCTGGTTGCCACAAAATTAGATTTAAATATTTTGGCATTTTCATCAATTTTCATATGAATGCAACGGCTTTTCTCCCACTCCTGCTCTCCTGCACAGTCGATGGTTGCGAACCCTGTTGCATGGAGGAATGCTGATAGCAACTGCGAATCAGAATCGGAATCGGCTGTGGTAAGTGATTCCATTGCTCTGCCACTGGCAGAGGCACTCGCACTCGCACTCTCACTCCACACCCACAATCCTCCACTCTTAGTCAGTCTCACCCACAGACAGGCAGACAGACACACATGCTCTATCATTTATGCAGCAATCAGTGCCGAAGTCTTTTCCACACGTACGATTACCGTCCGACTCGACATAGAGCCGTGCTCGTGCTCTTGCTCTTGCTTCTGCTTCTGCTTTACCCTCACTTATGTGGAGCATATTGGGAATCGAAATTGAATCCCGGATAACAATGCCGCAGCTGAGGTTGCACAGCGGTCCAAAGAGCAAGCATCGGATGTAGATGGAATTTGGTTTCGGTAGCAGCAAAACGGATCCAAAATTAGGCTGCCCTTTCCTCATTATTCATCAAATTACAAAGCACTAATTGGGGCAAGTAATGCAAACAATTTTGGGCGCAAACGGAGCAGCAAAAGGGCATTTTACCTGATATCTGATAGAGTAGAAATACCCGAATAAAGAGTGCATTCAGTGATTTTAAGGTTGAAATCAAATTAAGTCAACTGAATAAATTGACTTTTAGTGCATATCAAATTCGGAAAATGCGCTCCAAAAACAGAATGCAAAAATAAGAGGAAAATCCAAATAAAGATAAAGTGAGCAAATCAAATGAAAGTGAAACGTTGCCAGCAGCCAATCCAATCCTATTGGCAAGGATGAAAAGCCAGTACGCAAACGGGTGAAAAAATTAATTCAAATTTATTTGGCTAGAGCGAATTGAGTGAGGCTCTAATCTTAGAATTGTTTGCTACAAAATTCTCAATTGATTCGAAAGTTCGGGTATAAAAAACCAGCCCAGTAAGTGTTGAATTATTATGTTTCTCGCTCTGAACAAAGCACTCACTGAGATCAGAGCATTGCCGTATTAATCTACCAGTATTCGCACCCACATCTGTTGTTCAGCTGCTGTTCAATTTCATACAAGCATAAAATTGAGTACTATATTTCCAGCATGGCAACCTCTAGTCTGGTGCAATTTCCAGATCTGATCTCTACTAAGAACAGGACCGAATCCCTGGGCCTACCCGATGTGAAGCGCATCAATAATATCACAAAGTTCATGGCCGATCCCGTGAACTTCGATGGCGATATCACCAAGCTGGCAGCTCACTTTGAGAACCAGGCCAAACAGTGCCAGGACGTCATCAATCTGTTGAACGATCAGCTGAAGGCAAAGACAACAGCACTGCATCAGGTCAAGGAGGATATGCTGGAGCTGCAGCGGCAGCTCAAGCAGCCAGATGCCACTTTCGTCTATGTGATCATGAAGACGCAGGTTCTGGTTAAGTTTCTCGATGAGACCGAGGTGAACGAGTACGATGTGCCCTCGGCCCTCGAGCGCTACAATATCAAGATGAGCTGTCTGTATGGCGAAATCCTCGCGCTGGACAGCGACGTTGATCACGTGACCTACTTGAAGAACGTTGCCACAGTCAACGCTCAGTATGTGAAGGATTGGTACAAGCGCGAAATGGCCAAGTTGGAGCCTGAGCAGACGGACCCTAAAGACAAGCAGCCTGAGGAGTCCTTCGATGGTGAAAACGATCCGGAAGAGGAGTCTGATGAGGAGCTTTGGGAACATGAAAGTGAGCCTGAACAGAAGTATTCTAAAGAGAAGGAGCCTGAGTTGAAAGATCGTGACGATGAGCCTGAAGAGAAAGTAATCGGGCAGAAAGATTCTCAGATGAAGGTGCCTGGGGAAAGAGATTCAATGAAGATAAAGGGAAAGTTACCTGAGAAGACAGTTTCCAAGGAGAAGGTCATTGGAAAGACGTTCCCAGAGGGGATGAAGCCTGAAAAGAGAGTCCCCGGGGAGAAGGTGAACGAACAGAAGTCTCTAAAGAATATCGGTCCTCAGGATAAGGATGCAAAGCTACCAGGGAAGAAAGTTCCAAGCGAGAAGATACCTGATGAGGCAACTGAAGAGAAGTTATCTTGGGAGAAGAAGCAAACAACAAATGACACTGAAGATAAGAGCCCCAATGCGGAAGTCATTTCTGAGATGAAAGTTCCTGGGCAGCATCTGAATCTAAAGAAGGATAATGAGCACGAGGACGCCAAGGAGAAGTTACCTGAGAAGATGGGGTTTCAGAAGAAAGTCGCTGGGAAAAATGCCCCCAAGGAGTTAATCTCTAAGAAGTTACCTGAGAAGAACTTCTCCAAGCAGAAGGTCATTGGAAAGGATGACTCTGCGCTGCAGGCCCTCAAGGAGCTCCCAGTGAGGGGTGACATTAAGAAATTAGGCAACAGCACTGCCTAATTCCCAATTATCTAGTAAATTGTTATCAAAGTTATAAGTCTTGTCATAATATTGTACAAAATTAACTCCCATTTTGGCATAACTCCAGAGAATAAACATTGTTGCAGGCACCGCCTTGATTGAGGTATTACGTATCCTGCTTAAGCTTCTGTGTGTATAGGAATGAAATAATTTACATTGACAATGTCGCACTGGCACTCACATTGTAAGCAACGTTAAATAAGCTTGTTAACCGTACAATCGGTAGACATTGGCTCGTACTGAACATTTGCGTAATACTAAGTCGAGTCTTCCAGTTGCTATCTACTGGCTCCTTTGCTTGGCTTTCCTGTCTGTCGCATGCCTTTCTATCTTTTGGCTTTGCTGTCACTGGCAGCCCGCTTGCCGCTTCATCTTCATTCTCCAGCCATGAATAATCCGTGCGACACTTGCGTTTAATGGCAGTGGCGCTTGCATAGTCAAGATCTGTGTGTTCCTGCACCCTGGACCAGTTCCCAGAGTCCGGGCAGCACAACAACAGTCTGCGGGCTGGCTTGGCCATGCTCTTTTTCATTCCGGAAAAACGTCGGCGCTGATAGCGAGTGTAATTATTATGCTGGACGGAGTGTGTCTCTTGCTGCCTCCCTCTTGCTGCCCCTTTGCTTTTCGACGCATAAACGCCCCCAGTTATGCAATAAAATACTAACTGCAATTGTTGCGCCATTCTGAGCTGAAAATGTGAATGGGTTGGTGTTGGTGTTGGGGTTTGCTCTGCGGGTCTGCCGCCATGCTTGCCAACAACTGCAAGATGGCGCACGGCTTCCGGTATGGCCGAACATCCAATCCCAGTCAGCCGCAACACTTTCGCTTCCCATGCTGCTGCTGCTGCTGCTGTTGCTGCCTCTCCCTTTCCATCCGGGGTGTCTGCTAAAATTATATTTTTGCCAAACTGGACAGTGCTTCGTGTGTGTGTGCCCGACACGTGGCTTTAATTTGACAAAAGATGGCATTTTAAGCGCTCTCAAATGAAAGGTCAAAGGCTGGCATTAATAATGCGGAACGGAAACGGAAACAGCGGGGATGCCAGCTGAAACAACGACAAAGTTGTGGAAACGTTTTGAGGACTCCGCCGCCTGCATGCAAAGTGCAGCTGCTAATTGAGTGTGCGCCGAGTCTGTGCAGGTTGCTTAATGTAGGTAATTAGTGAAGGAAACTTGGCCAAAAAGATGCCTCAGCCAGAGACAGAGACAGAGCCAGAGACAGAGCCAGAGCCAGAGACAGAGCCAGAGACAGAGCGAGCGCCAGAGACACTTGCCAAAGTGGGAGAAGGAGAATGGGGTACAGCATCTGCTGCCAGTTACATAAAGTACACAATATCCCAAAGCAGAAGGTTGTGTCTTTGCTGCACTTTCATTCTCAAAATTAGAATCTAAGTACTCCCTCGAATACTCGTACTCGTGGACGAACCACAATTCCAGCAACCGACATTCGTTTGCATTAAGCTCAAATTCGATTTAAGCCCAGAATGCCGTTGCTATGGGAATAAACCAAGTTTATGGGTGATTCGAGAGATGCAGAGCACATGCTGCACAAACACACAACGTGCCACATGTGGCAAATTAACTTAAAATGAAGCAATTAATTTAATTATAGATGGGCATGTGCAGAGCTCTGTTCGCTACTGCACACGCAACAGTTGCACAGATACCCACCCCATCCACATGCATAGCTGCACACACGAATTGAATAACGCCATTGAGATGCAGTTGCAGTTGCAGCTGCCGTTGCAGTTGCTGCTGCACACTTGCTGTCATTGCCAATTGCATTTTAATCGCAGTCGGAAATTACAAACACAAATTGATATCAACGAAAAAAGAGAGTGCTTTCCATTTTCCAAGGAAAATCGAAAGTAAATCCGTTTGTAACTCCAATTCAATCACACGGCCGTATTTATCATTTGCCATCTGTCGGCCATTGAAAGCGCGAAGGGAAAAAATACACAGTAAAACTATTAATTGCATTTAATAAGGGTAAAGAGCGAAAAAAAGGTTTTAATAAATGGAAATTCGAATTCACTTTGACAGACAGCATCGAAAGTGCTTTAAATTGAAACGGAAGTGCATGCAATGGTTAAAAACTGAATTTAAAGCCAATATATAAAACGTATGATTGAAAACTCAGTCGAGGTTACAGCCGTGAGGCTGGCACATGAAAAATAATCAGAATTCGCTCTGAAATGAGTTTATAAAATCGGCAAAAATCACCAGTTGTGGCAACCTTGGTTAAACCCAATATTCCGTTAACGAGAAACGAAAAATTTAAAATTAAAGTCAATCAAGTAAATGGAATATTAAAGGCGGCACGCGCAGAGCCATGCCAATATAATTGATTGACTTTAGCTGCAAAATTCTAGCAGATCAACGATCCGCATGTACATACGTATGTGTGTACTTAAATATATATGCAAAGACAAGTTGATTTCATGGAGTGATAGTTACTTTTTGTTTTGTATCCAATTTAAGATGATTTTCTCCGTTTGGCTTTGTCATTCGCGTAGCTTATAGGCAACTAATAAAATTCGAGTAATATTTTTCTGAGCTTACTTTAAATCTGGGCACTTGCTTCAGAACTAGCAATAGGAATTTGTCTTTAAATCAATTATAGAACGTTTCAGTCATTATACTTCAAGCATAGGCTCAAGCAGATACATTTGGAGGCACTTAAAGGCTATGTATGACAGTGTAAACTGCATTGATATGTGATGATGTGAAAACCGATCCAGGCTGATCGCATTAGACGGCCCCGTGGGGTGGTGGGCCCACCAGACCCGGCAGGTTCAGACCCATCAGCATGCTGTACAGTCGACGGCTGGCGAATCGAAAAAAGAATGGAAAACGAGGGGAAACAGAATCAGAGAGAGGTTGATGTAAGCTGCTTGGCTTGGCTGAGATTCAATGTCAATGGCTTACTAGATCGAGTCGCCACATTTGCCCTGGGCATTCCGTGTCTGATGGGAACGACAGCGGGCGGGCTTCTTGGTTGGCGGCACTGCAGATCGTTGAACTTTCACCTTGAAGATGGGCGAGTTGTGACCTTGAGGGGGTGTATACTCAATGCCTGGCGACAGCGTGGGTCGGGTGACTGCAGCAGTGGCAGCGGCAGCAGCAGCCATAATGGGAATATCTTTGGATCTGGGATGCGGCAGATGCGGCACGGCTGTGGGTCGTGCTCCGCCAATTGGCGTCTCCATTATCATTAGATTGTTAAGCCTGGACTTTGGCTTGATCCTGCTGGCGGCGATATCCGCCAAGAGATTCGAGCTGTAGGTTGAATTCGCATTTAGGCTGCTCAATGGTGCCTCAGATGTCATTGTGGATTCCATTAAGGCTGCGGTGGTTGGCGCCTCTGTGGTGCTGGTGCTGCTGCTGCTGCTGATCGCTGTCGTGGATGTCGTCGCTGCTTCTGCTATGCTGCTGCTGCTGCTGCTGCTGCTAATGCTGCTGCTGCCAATGGCCTCAGTCGAGAACTTGATGGGTTTGATGGTCAACGCACTGTCATCGTAGTAGTAATCCTCCGCATCGCTGTACGCACCCTAACGTGGATCCAGGTTATTTTTAGAACTGTTTCTCAACTGGTTCTGGGCCCCTTCTACTCCTTGTACTTACTTCTGACAGATCGTTCTGACCCACCTCGATGATGGCGACATCCTTGATGCTTACGTGGATGTTGTACCTGCCCGACTGCCTCTGATCGAAGACCACCCGCCCGCCGTCATCTGGCAGCTCACTTGTGGCCGGTGACAATGACGACTCCACATCATCGAGGGGCAGCGTTTGGGCCAGTCCGAATAGTGAGATCAGGGCAAGCGGCACGAGCAACATTTCCAATCGATATGGATGGACCAGAAACCAGTTCTATTGATGGAGTGCGAGTGGATGTAATCTGCTGGTGGGACTGGACCGTCTGCTCTGCTTGAAGGTGCGACAACAACTGGACTGCTGGATGGCTGTGAGGGCTCTACTTAAAGACAGTTCTCTGTTCTCTGTTTGGTTCTTCCTCTCCACCTGTCTTTTCGTTCTTACATTTAAAATGAATTTCGGTTTGATATTTTCCCAGCTAGAACCTAATACTTTTGTAGGTGGCTTCGTTTTTCCGCAGGCTCGTTACCTATGCTGTGAAATAATCACCATGCATATGCACCTTAGGTCTCTTTACACATTTGTAGCCGCAAATAGATGCTCGTAGTATTTACCCACTCACACTTTGGACTCATCTTTGAGGTGCTAAACAGCTACGCTACTCGAATGCGCTCTAACCAAGTGACCAATAGCCCGGCCAATGCTCGCACCAATTGCATATAATCACAAGTGCACACATAAGCATGCACAGCCAAGTAAATAGTTCTGTTTTCAGTTGATGCAGGGGGGGTTAAGGTGTGGGAATTGTAATTGTGTGTAAAATACATTTTGAAGCTTAAAGTTTTCCTTTATTTTAAACAATACTGTGGGTGTGAAACATCTGGTAAAAAGTACTGCAAATTTTAACTAAAATAGTTTTTCATTCAATTTTCTTCTTAATTGTTGGACAAAGCATTTGTGTAAATCCGATTTTGGGCTTACATCAGCCCTTGGTCATGGAAAACATTCTCTCTAAAAACTCATATTTCATTGGAAATGTTTTTGGCATGGTAGAAAAAGTTTCTAAGAGAGCTTTTACCATTCCCAGAATACACTACACCACACACCACCGCCTTTTTGCACAGGTATTGAGTCTCCCTTACACAAATATTTCAGTCGCATTGCCATGGAAATCTTATCCAGCATGGAGATGGCCACAGCCTTGGCATTCGAGTCCGGCTTTGCCTGCTCCAATTACGAGTGGTTGCCATTGAGTCATTAGCAGAGCACTTTCGGGCGTCCAATTTCAGTGCGTAACCAATCAATGGCCGTGCACCTAGCCACTAATTATGCGAAGAGGGCCAGGGAAACGATATGCCAGGACCACTTCGGCGCAAGCCCTTCACTCACTCTCATTCCCATTCCCATTCTCGCTCTCATTTGTATGCAACGTCATGCAGAGTGCAAAATCAGCATTTCTCATTAGATGGAATGCCACAAACCAAAAGCAAAAGAACCAAAAAAAACAAAAAAAAATTGTGGGAAGCGCAAAAAAAAATTAGATTAATTTGAAATTAAATTGCAGCCAGCCGACAGTGGACAGTGGACAGCAGCTTGCCGCTTAACGCTGCTTTCTTTGACTCTGACCAGCTGCGGGCGATGGTTTTGAGTGGCAACAACTTTTCAAAGCAGCCAAGGCAAGGCCAGGCAGGACAGGGCAGGGCATGTCTTTGTAATTAGTTTTTGGGTAATTGTGGCCCGCAAATAGTTCAGGGCTAAGTGCCGCTTGGTTGGATCGACTACCAAAAGCTGTAGCGTACCTTATTCTAGGGCGGATCTCTGTCAAGCTCAGCAGAATGGACAGGGAAGAAGAAGGAGTGGAGAGGAGTAGAGTGGAGTGCAGCATCCGCATATGAAGTGTATAAATTACTCTTCATCATGAATTTATTATCAGTGCTGCTGCAGCTGGAAGCTGGAGCTGCCACGGATGCACTACGGCATAATGCTGGCTCAGCATCAAGACACCCAAAAGGTACCAAACACGCATAGCCCCCAAACAGAGGAGCTGTGGTGTAAGGTGTAACCAGCGGCAGCTGCAGGTGCAGCTGCTGCTGTGGCAACAGCCACCACACGCTCCAAGGCTGTTGACCAGAGCATGCATTTTTCGCGCAACCAACTTGAAATTGTGTAGACTCAGCGGAAAAAGATTAATTCTAATTTTAAAAGCCATCCCCAGCACCAAGGACTTTTCCTTTCTCTCGCTCGGCAGTCTCTAGCCCTTGTACATGTACGAGTATGAAAATGTCTGCCGTTTAGCAACACCTTTAATTGTGCCAAAGTGCAGGCGAGAAACATTTTACCCAACAGCTGCCATGTCTGTCTGTTTGTCTGCCCCTAACTGTCACTTCCAGTGTACCCCAGCAGAGTGCCGCCCATTTGGAGCTTTCATCAATTAGCTCCTTGAAGCTAGCAAAAAAAAAATGGCATTTGTTGAGTAGCTTTTAGTGCCGTAAGATGGCTTATGCAGAAACACTCTCACACCTCGCATATCCTTCTGCGACTGTTACCTTTTCGTAAATAATGGCCAGGACTTGGGCGTAAGGGTAGAATACTTTTTTTTTTGCAATGGGAGGATACAAAATGTACACAAAAGTGATGCAAATTTGAGCACTTTTAGGGAACGTTCGCCCAGGGATACTTAAGCCGTGTTCACTGCCTTTTGCAAATGTATTTGACTTATTTCTGTCTACGGACATTCTCTATAAACTTAGCCAAATGTGTTCGTTGGGGTGTCCGAGCAGTAAATTCAATAAAACTTGTATTCAAATTACTGCATTATGGCAGTTGATCAAACATAGGGCTGTAAATCAGTTCAGCATTTGTATTTCTTCCTGATAATTATCAGTTAAGCTTTTAAGGGCCCACTTTTGAGGGGGGTGCTTCAGTATCTATTGCCCAACTTTATATATTAATTAGGCAAGCATTCAATCATTCCGAATCTGACAGTTGTCAATTGCAAAACACATTCATTACGTTGTCGGGCGTACAGTTGCACATTTCTATAGTTCAAGTGATGTGTGTGTGCTTCAAGCAGGAGCCCAACAAAATGTTTTGTATCTATGCCATTTTGTCAATTATATTTCATATTTTACAGCTGCCAGAACTGGTAATAAAACATTCTGGAAAATAAGCTTAATATTTTTATTAAAATCAAATCAAGCAGTGTTACAGGTTGGATTATCTTTCCGGGTGTTCGGGTTGTGTACCTTTACCTTTCTTTATTTAATTCAAATAGTCGAACCAGGAAGCTGTTCCATTAAAGTGCCTTGGTTTGAGTTAAATTGATCGTTAATCATGGTTCCTTTTTTTTTGTACCCAAAAATGACAATTACTTAACTGAAAATGCATTTCGTGGGGGGGGCGGAACATGTGTAAACAAGCGCTTGTCAGTCTCCTGGGCGGAAATTGTTATTTTACAGCTGACAGAGCCCGTCACTTGATTAATGATGGGGGATATATACCTACAGCTTAAGTGGAAGCTGCTGAACAAAAAATGGGTCTATCAGTTTGGGCCAAGTTCGGCCTTAAACTGTCAAGCAACAATGGCTGTCGGCCGGGCAGCCGCAGCCGACCAAAAAAAAAAAAATTTAATTCGATAATTAAACACAGCGCGCGCTCATCGTTTTAATCTCTGCGCACATTGTGCATATTAATCACATAATTAGGTTAACATTATTAAAATAAACAACCGTCCCTTTCCCGCTGTTGGTTTTGGTCCCGTATTTATTCGCCAGGCACATGCACACACTATACACACGTATATGTAAAATCATTATCTGCATGGCAGGTGTTTAAAATGGGGCTCTCATTTAGCGAACTATGCTGAATACTCGTACAGGTATCCAGGCATCGTCTGTAGGACATTTCAGTGTAACCCTTAAATAATGTTCATGGGCGAGATTAGATATGCAAAATATAGATATATATATATATAAATATATATAGATACTTATATGTACGAAAATATGCGCGACTGCATTCCAAAAAGCAGTGGAGTGTGTGAGTGTGTGTGGGGGGGGGGTCCTTATCGTTAGGCTCATAAATAATATTTATTGTGCTTTATGGGGATGCTCCCCAGGCCCGACAAAATGGCGTCGGCCTACATACCAGCAACCCCCGAACACCCCCCCGGGGAAGCATCCAAGTGTTTCGAATACTTTTTTAACAGCTTTCCTTCTTCGCACTACCAACAAGAAATATACATACATACATACACAGACTTCCCTGGAAAATGTCTTCATTGCGCTTTAATGAAATGCGTGTGGAAGAGCAGCAGGAGCAGCAGGAGCCTCCTGCTCCTGGTGTCACCGTTTTGCCCTTCATATTTGCACTTTAAATTGCGCACAAAAGTATGCCACGGTCTTCATAATAAACACAATTTATGTTCCGTTTCCGCATCCGCATCCGCTCCGATTTTGCTTCCCTTTCCGCATTCGCTTGCCAGAAGACGCCCGCGACATTGCTGCCGGTGCCAAGCGCAGAACTTTGCGATTAAGTAATTTCAAAAGTTGTTTGTTAAAAATTACTCAAGTTCATGAAATGTGTTGTGTTGTGTTGCTGGCAATATTTTAAATTGAGCGACACTGTCATCTGATATTAATAATACTTTTCGGTGGGGAATGCTGCCAGTGTCTGTTGGGAAAGTTTTGAACAGAGCGCTGCCAGCACACAGTGGCGCACAAACATTCAGTTTGTGGCGCCCCAAGGAGGCATCAATCAACTAGAGCATCAATCATTCCACAGCCAAACACTGAGGTTAAATTGCGAACTCACAGCGTAGGTAAAAAGGGGAAATGATTTTTGCTTCCTACGGATATATGTAATTGTCCATTGATGAAGCTTACTTTTGTGATTTATTTTCAACCTTTGATTGATTCACATTGATTCTGGTAAAACAAAACAATAAGGAACCGCTAACCCAAACTAAAAACAGAAAATATTCCTTGGAATATTCGTAGTTTCATTTACCAGACGCACTGAGTTGGCTTTTGCCATTTCTTTTGCGTTTTCAATGACCTTAATTGGGATTTCCAACTATTAAATGTTCGACTCAACTTCTGTGGCTTTGCTCAATGCTCTTCAGGAATACTTTGCATAGGAATACTTTAAGGAGAATTCTAGACCATTCCTCGCTGTGGAACTGCTGTTTGCTGACTGTTTTCGGCACAGACTGCGATAAGTGCGCCTGGAGCTGGTGGCCGATGCTGAATGATCCAACTACCTCAACCACCTGATGCTGATGGGGCATGATGCCCGTCGAAAAATCCGATGGACCGCCGCTGATGTCGTTTCCCAGTCTGATGGCGGTCAGCTTGCCAAATACGCGGCAGCACAGGCTGTCCCCCAGGCAGTCATTCGACTGGCAGCAAACGAAAATGGATTGTTTTTTCCCGGTTCTGTTGGTCTGTTGCTCCTGATGTGCGATGGCCTCCGAGGGAATCCGCTGTCCCTGGTGTTATTCTATTTACAGTTGCCCCCAGGGACAGCCTTCGACAGATGTTGCTCTGCTGGGATAAACTGCTCGTTCTGAACTCTGCCGACTGCCAGATGAAAATGTTTGACGAATTTCTTGCACAACTGCAACATGGTACAGCAAGTCCGGAAGTCCGTTTATTTACCGATAACATACACAGCATTATCGATTTTTTTTAAGATCTAAGCTAGGAGCACTATAAACCCCATCTGAACAACTCGCTCGATGGCACATCCATATTTAACTGAAACTCATTTGGCACAACTTTTGTCTGGAAAACTTTGCAAAGCAAACGGAAAAAAAAAAATACAGAAAAGAATTTGCTGGGAAATTCCAAGTACTATATCGACAACTGGGTAAATAGGAAAATTCAATTTGATACGATTGCGCACTAGATATGGAAGGCCTGTTCTTAGCTGCAGCCTTGGGCAGAACTTTCCTCAGGCAATCCGCATGGCATACGCTCCGTTCCCAATCCCAATCCCAATCGCAATGCCATTCCCATCATGCCATCATGCCACTTCCTTCTCCAGCCCCGATTGCCACTCACCAAGTTGGCCACAAACAAACTTCCTGTTTCGATGGTAGCACACACGTAGCGTTATCGCCCAGCCCCCGGGCCAATATCTAAGTGAAAACACAGATCAACAGGACGACAATCAGCAGAGAAGCAGTGGATGGCAGCAGCAACATATTCCCATTCCCAGTTCCAATCGCAGTCCCAAGCCCAGGCCTCGCACCTGAAACGTAGGCAGCCAAGTCAGACAAGGCAAAGACAGGACCAAAGGCCCACAGGCATCTCTGTCTATCTTGGCGTGCCCTCCCCCCCCGACATGCCAGGCAGGATACAAATTGTGTGCTAGCCCTACACCTCCTCCCCCTTCACCGAGCACAACCTTTTCAAGCACATCCCTTGACTGGTGAGAGGCGCCTTGCAGCAAGGGGGCAATGTCTATTTTTGCACGTATTACGGCCAGTTGCATTTCTTGGATTGCATTTAAGCAACATTTATGCATTTTTAATGTGACAGCGGAAAATGATGAGGCGGCCCCGCCTACGATTCGACCTCTTTCCTGCTGTCAGCATGTGTTCACCTGCCCCGGGACTTGGCCCCACCAGCCCCCCCAGCCTTAGCCTGTGCAAGGCCAGGACCTACTCGAGGCTCATGCATTTCCCAGTGTCAGGAAAGTTTCACTCTCGTGGCCCAGACCAGACCCTTTCAGTAAATCATTGGATAATGTGCCTGGGATTTCCGTTGGGCCCCCCAGCACATCTTGTGTGATATATTGGATGGATCATACAAATTCTAGTCGAGTCTAGTGACTTCAAGATGAGCTCAAACTAAAAAAATCAATGGATTTTTATATGTATACCTAACTGAATTTATACGGCGCACATTTCGCAACGAAGAATTTGGAAATTTAAGGATTTTCTTGACCGGACAGCAGCTGCTTTGTGGCCATAATACTAGGATTACCATTTACTGGCTCAGCCCCAGCCCCAGTCCCCCCGTTTCTTCTCGGTTTCCTATTGGACCAATGTATTAATGGGCCACATTGGGCCGCACACAAATGAGAACCTGACCACAATAGAGTGCCAACTAGGCGCGCGCATAATCATTGCAATTTTGTATGCTTTCCCAGAACCCCAGCCCCAGCAGCAGTCCCAGCCCCATTGCCACAATCGTGTTCCCTTTGAATGGCCAATGCCACGCAACAACCGCAAAAAGCAACGGACTAATATTGGTCCAGTGGCATGGACACTGGGTGTGGTGCCAGGTCCCCAATTCGATGGATGGAGCCTGCAATCGCCTGTAAGTACGAGTGTGCAATGGTTTTTGTGCCGGCGCCAATTGCAATGGCAATGGCAATGGCAGCGGCAGCTACGAGTACAACTTTGCTGTTTATTAGCATGATTAACCCAGCCACATTGCTGCACAAATTGCAGACGCATTGCATTTGGGTCAGCGGGAAGTGGATAATGAGGGGGAGGGAGATATGTCCTTGCATGGCCACTATGCCTGGGCTAATGCCAGATGTCAGGGAAAGAGGGAGAGCGAGAGAGAGAGCGAGCTAGAGTCTTGTAATTTGATTTCAACGTCAGCCTGGCTCAATCGTCGCCGCTGTTTGTTGGCCATTTGCGGGTTAGCGTTCTTGTTTGCTGGCTTCAGCTACACTGAACAACAAAGCATTACGAATACCATTAAAATTGCAGCTCCAAATGTTGATATGGCCTCCGTTTTCCGTACAGGATTATAATGCAGAAATTGTAGGGCTTAAAGCCAAGTTAAATTAGTTTTAGATGCACATCGGTGAGAGCCCACGCGTGTATGGAATAGAGCAATAGCGTGGGATGGAATAGGAGAGGGTACAGAGGAGCTGTGTCTATGGTGTATTGTCGCACTTGGCTTGCTTCGTTTCATTTCCGGTTAACCACATCCTGCGTAATAAGCGGCACTTCCGCTCCGCAATGGACTTAAACTGTTGTGTTTCTGGTTTAGTTGCTGCTGCTACTGCTTCTGGCATTGTTTTCCCGGCCTGGTCCTGTTTTTATTGTGAGTCAAATTTTCGTTTGCCAGAAGACAGGGGAACCGAGCTTTGACCAGGATGCTGCCACTTCCGCAAAAAGAGAGAGAGAGAGGCAGGAGGCAGTCTCAGAAGTTTTTGCGCTTTGCATGTGAATGGCACGTTTATGGATCCGCCCAGCCACAACCAAGTTCTTGGTCCTGCCACTGCCACTGCCACTGCCATGCAGAATGGAAGGCCAGCCAGCAGCCAACTCCAGTTGGAGTTGCATTTTTATTTGCATTTCAGTGGATGTTGCTTGTGCGACTGTAATGGTCTGTGTAGGACATGGCACTTGCTTTCGGAAATTTCGGAAATTGAAGTAGTGTTTGCTGGAGATTTTACCCCCAGCAACAGTAAGTGGAGGAATAGTTGTTTGCCGAAGCCATCGGATATCGGCTACGTTCTATGAATTCAATTCCATTCGCCACCAAGACTCAGTGGGTGGGGTGTGGCGTCTGCTCGTGTATGCCCTGTGTAATTGTTGGCATAATTAACCTGCCCATTGAGCATTCGTAACCATCTCCAGCCATTACCATATTGGGCCCAGGCTAGCGCCCAGCCGCCTACCGATACGGAGGGAAGAAAGCCCGTTAAATAATGGTAAATTGCATTGTAATTGCGTTGCAAGCTTGCGGCACGGCACCCGGGAGAGCAGTGTGGCAGTGGCAGTGCCAGATGCTTGAGGAGGCAGCACGCTTCCGGCGGCAGCCAGGCCATATTATAATAGACCCACAGCCCACAGCCATATCCCCCCAACCCAAACATATGCTGCACAATCATTTTATTTGCACGAATTAAGCAGTTTCCTTCGTGCTTCTGTGGGGCACAGTGGCACCAGATTGACAATGCAAATATTGCAGAACCCTCTTTGGAGAGTATTCTTTGGGTATTCTTGCCATTTGATCACCCAAAATGATGCTTAGTCCCACTGTAGTCCCGACTGAAGTACGTCTGCTCGGGCTGCTGCTGCTGTGGCTGCAACGCGGTTGTGCACTTGTGCGTGCTGCCACTGCCACTGCCATTACCGATGCCGATGCCTGTGCCTCTGCCGCTGCCGCTGCCCGCCCCATCAACGGCATTAGCATTCATGTGCGTGTCTCCCAACCCAGCCCAGAAGTTGCAGGCTGGCATGCAGGTTGCTTGTGGGCCAGGACCTGCCAAAAAACAAAACGAACCCAAAGCCATTGCAGCTGCAGCCGAGTATGGGGACAACGTTTGGGTTAACTGGCATTAATGTCAGGCAGCACAGGACAGGACAGGACCAGGACAGCCATTCTGTAGCTCCCTGCAAGAAGTCGGTGGCCAAACCACTTGGAAAATTGCTGAAATGCCATCATCAGCCGAGCAGCCCGGGGGCTGTGGACAAGTATTTTTCCACAGCAATTTCCATTGCCATTCATATCGAAAGCGCCGCCCATTACAATGTTTGGAAAGGTATTTTGAAAGTATTTCAAAAATATGCCAAGCCCTGATGTGTCACAGCAGGCAGTTAATTTTGAACGAGTTTTTTCCGGGCCAGTTGCCGCCGGCTACACTTCATTCATATTTCATTGAGTTGAGTTGAGTTTGAGCTCAACGTGCAGGTGGAGTCTGTGCCCAAATTTCAAGTTGTGTCCGCCTATAGAGGACTATAACGCGCATAAATGGAAGGTGAGTGTGGCCAGTTCTGTGGTGCAAAATATCCACTTGAAAATTTTGTATGAAAAAGTGAAAAATATATTCGAGTGATTGACATTTTGCTGCAACGCACTCTACTTTTTTGTAGCTGCCACTCAACGAGTATGGGGGAATATTAGATTAGTGTAAGAGCCATGTACATGGTACATACATATGTATGTACATATATATTGACGAAGTTACCGCGTTTCAATGTACCAATTTGATGGTGAATATTTTTTCACCTGCTGTTATCAGAATCAATGAAAAAAACGCTTTGTGCCGCCAATTCCCTTCAGCCGCCTTTGGCCATTAAAAGCCAGCAAAAAGAATTGGCCCAACTGGGTCAAAGTTTCGTCAGTCAGGCAACAGCATTTTACGCTTCGCAGCTGAATAGAAATATGTTCAGAAATATTGTGGGCTGGCATAAAAGCACTGGCTAGACGTGTGCGCCAAGTGCACTGGAGCGACGGCAAACTGATTTCGTGGCAAACCGTCGACGGTTTGTCATATTGATTTTATATCAGACAGCTCGCGACGCGATGATTATCGATGGGGTGGGAGGGTAGTGCGTGTTGGGATGCGTGGGACATGGCCGGGCCGCCTGTCACGAATCGACAGCTTGCCAATTTCCGCGCTGGCTTCAGTCTGGCTCCGACTGCCACTTCTGATGCGTGCCCGAAAACCGAACGCCCAGGAACGGGAACAGCTGCGTCGCCAGCGCTCCGAGGCGCGCCTGATAATGGCGCGTTGCAAGGAGCGAGGTTCGGCTATCGGCTATCGATTATCGGTCACTAACCCTGATCACTAATCACTGATTCAATTTCCCTCTTACAGGCTTCGAGTATGTGGTTAATCCACCGGAGATACCGACGGTTGCCTTTGGCAGAAAAATCAAGAGGTCGCCCAGCGGCACGTTCATCGGCGATAGAGACATCGAGCCGCCCCCAGGACCAAGTCCATTCACGTATGAATGTGTAAAGGAAATCGGTTTCAAGGTGAGAATGGCAACAAAAAACAAAGAAGGATCGATTCAATTAAATAAATAACTTATGACCAAATAATCCTTAGTATCCATCGAAGGCGGGGTTCTCGGCGCTGGCCAGCAAGTCGTCCCGATTGCCAGGGGTTCGGGACTTGGGCTATCCCCCACTGGGCACCTATGACGTGAGGTATACGCGCACCCAGCATGTCTACACCTTCAACAAGCAGGAGCTCAGCAAAGAGCCCAAGTGGCTGACGCCTGGGTAAGCATCGCCATCGTCGACATCGATTTCCGATAGAAGATTCTAGTGGGCCATTTCGACCATTTTGCAGGCCTCCCACCTACCCGTACAACCTGAAGTATCCCCAGCTGAATGTGGATATGGCGTTTGGAACCCGGAAAATCATCTGGCCGGCGGTGGCCGTCTTCTGTGGCGCCTTCAACACCTCGCTGTGCATGGTGTGTGGCGAGCGGCCGGTGGGCGACTACTTCCATAGCTTCAACAGCGACAAGGACATATGCCGCAAGTGCATGCATGCCACGGAGGCCGTGATCAGGAAGTGCGACCTTGGCGTGGTGCAGCGATGCATGAAGCGGCGCGAGATGAAGCAGTTTGTGCCCGCCCGCAGCTGCAGCTTCTTCCACGACCACAACGGCACCACCGCCGCCACGGAGCGGACCACGCGCAAGGAGCTGCGCGACAAGATACGCGTTGAAAATTATTTGTATCGCTTTACCCAGAAGACCGTTTAGAAAATAGAATAATAGAAATACATCAGACCACCGGAATGGCGGATTCGCCCGTCATTCAATGCAAGTCCATATTGTACGTTCTTTTGTGTGTGTGTTTCCTGCTCGAACATCGCATTTCCCCGGCCTTTAGCTTCCCACCCGCTCACTCTTACTTTTGCATGTGCTTCCGTTCGGGTAACGGTAACGAGCATACCGTTACCAGGTTACATACACGTGGCCAACAGAAACAGGCACCGACCATGGCTGCAGGCCACTGTGAGCCACTGCAGACCATTATGGCATTAGCATTGCCATCAGAGAGCTAGAGAGAGAGAGCCATATCGTGTCATTTTACGGTTTACTTGCTTTGCATGAAGCAGTGAAACAGTGGTCCAGTTCGGTGCAGAGTCGTCCTCATCTTGCAGGCCATTTGGACTTTTGTATGCAAGCAGCAGGCAAGTCAAGTTACCCACACTGACAGGATGCCAGGACGCTTCAAGTAGAGTTTATTCCAATTAACTTCTGCCGAATTGATACCTTCAAGAGAGCCATAGAATAAAATAATAATAATCACTCAAGTTACCAGCGAAACTTTCCGAATTTTGAGAAGACCCAAACTTTGGCCCACACTAACATTAATAATAATAAAATACACTATTTTTTTGATTGGATTTTGAAACTTGTATCGTTGATCGATTGGCAAACAAAAAAGAACAGCCACTGTGATATAAGCTGTGCGAAACTTGAACTACATCAGCAGCAACCGTTCCCTTCCTTTTGAACAATTTTCGATTGAGCAATTTTGGCGGTGGTGTTCCCCATCAGGAATGCTTCGGGAATGCGTGACGGAGATGACAAATCGTTGGACTTGGCCGTGCAACCAAAAAGAACAGCCACTGTGATATAGAAATGTCAAAGATGCTTGGATAATATATCAGCAGCAGCGGTTCCCTGCGGTTGGGGGACACGGCATGGGGCATTTGTCACTAACTGTAAACGTTTTTTTTTTTTTATCACATACACTGTAACTGTAACAACGCGAGTCCTTGGCTGTTTGGCACTTTAGGTACAAAAAGAACAGCCACTGTGATATATAGAGTGGGAGGAGGACATACAGCACAGCAACTATTCTCTCTACTTTAAAGGCATCTGGTATCTGGTCACCCGCTGAGCGCTTCGCGGATGCTGCTGATGTTGTTGGTGTTGTTGATGTGGGTGCAGACATGCGCTATAAAGGAAAATCACTGTGATATGTAACGGTGAATTAACGCATATCACAACGATCGTTCCTTTTAGCGTATGGCCCCAAGAAACGAAATGGGAACCGCGTATTGTACTTGACACTGGGGGTTTCGGGGTGGGTTTGGGTGTGGTAATGCTGCAAATGCCACAACGAACTTCAATGGTTGTCTAGCTTTATGATCAGAGAAATCACCTAAGGCTGGACGACCAAAGAAACTAATTGCAACCACCAATAAGGTATCAATCAACCCTTGGAGTATATACACTTCATTCACTGTCACAGTCACAGTCACTTGCTGGCCATGTTGAACATTCTAAAATTATAGCACGAGTGTTCGGTCTAGTCACTTCGCTTGATCGGAATCCCTGGTAAAAAGCGACCATACCGACAATCGCCATTTAATTTTAAAATTCGTTTTCCTCGACACAATTTTCTTGCACTTTCTTTTGTACACTTTGCCGATGGGGGCTGCAATCTTGAGACACACTTTGCCCAGTGATGAGGATATGGATCACGTAGACATAACTGCACAGAATGCATCCCAAGATCGGGGCCTCAGAGAGTCCTTCACAATGTGCTGAGACGTTCGCTGATCGTTTACTATGTGGATTATAAGACAAACTTCACCCAGTGCTGCAAGCAAGTTGGCAAAACTGAACAAAGTTTATCGTATAATAGCTGCGAGATGGTTTGATTATTTTTCTCTTTCACTTTGGACACCTCACACACCTTGAAGATGCGTTTGCTAACTGATGATCTATCTGCCGGACATGGTATCTTTTATACCAGATCGAGCGGTCAGCGATCAGCTACCTGTGGGTGGCGGGCGAATGGCCGATGATACCTGTGTAAGGGGCTGTGATGCTTTTCCGTGAATTCGCTGCCGTCTCGCGATCTTCGGCGACCTTCGTGAAAATTTTGCAACTTAATCCGTGGCCATAAACGGATTAATACGCGTACAGCTCGGGCTCGGGCTCGGGGAAAAACGCGCAGCTGTGTCGCGCACAAATTCGCAGAAGTGCAATTAGGTTAGGCCCACAGCACAAAAGAAGGGATCGCCGCTCCGACTGGTTAATTTGGCAGTTATCGAGAAGGGAAGCATTTTTCGGGGTACTTGGAACCATTGTACTTAGGTATGTGACACCAACGCAATCCCGCATAGACTAATGCCCGAAGTCCTTTACGGCCTCAAGCAATCTGGTGTGCTGACTGTACCATATCCAAAGGCCTTGCCGTCGGTTTTCCGTAGCCTTGATGCTGGCCATGCTTAAGTTTCTTAAGTGCCCACCTGCAGCTACTCGTAAAACTGAAAATGATGCTCATTTTCCTCCATTTAGGTAAAGAATTTCAGTTGAGATTGACTGTACCAGGGGCAGTTGAGATACCGAATAAAAAATCAGATTGAATGAATTATGTTTCAATTTAACATCTTTAAATTTTATTCATATATAATATAATAATTATTTAATTTAATTAATTGAACAATTGAAAAAAGTAGGAGCAATCTAGAAATAATAATAATTAATAATAATTAAATTAAATAAAAAAATTAATTAACTAGATTAATTTATCATATGATATGGCATTTCTCATAAATACATATATGTACATATCAAACAAACAGCTGGGACGAGTTTTATGTCACATTACTATAAACAGTGGCCTTAAATATACTGGTATATGCCAAACAAAATACATAAATCAGATTCCAAACCAAAAACACATCAATAATACTTGATAAACAATACGTAAATATAATTCAATCTTAACCACAATTCCAACTACTCCACAACAACGGCTTCAACGTGTTGGATTTATCGTGCTCAAGCCGTTAGGAGAATAAAATGCATAACATTGGAATATTCAGTGTGTTCTTTATCGCTCTGGCAGCAGTTGTCGTGAGTTATACAAAAATCTTGGCTTTGATCTTTAACTTATGAGCCCATACGCCACAGTGCCTGAGAGTAAAAGAATTCGTGGCATTGCCAGTGTCCTCATCTAAGCAGAATCGTGAGGATTTAGAATGCTCACCAGTGCAGAAGACTACGATTGAAACCACCGCAGTCCAGGGACGGGTGAATCTGAGCCAAGCCAGCAATAATAAGGCCTGGGGAATATGGATGAATCAGGGCCCCCACAAGAAGAACAAGGCCAGGCTGTTTCCCGGTGGCTTCAGGATGAACACATCATCATCCAGCACACCCAAGACAACCACCGCAGTCGATACCACCGTCCAGCAGCTACCCATGAATTCTACTGTAACGAATGGAACGATGATGACAGACTTGAGATTTTTCGAAGGTGCTGTAAGCGTGAGAGCCGGTAAAGGAGGAGATGGTAAAGGAGGAGACGGTAAAGGAGGAGACGGTAAAGGAGGAGACGGTGCTGGTGGTGGTGATGCTCCCCCCATAGAGTTGACCGTAAAAATTCCAATGCGTAAACAGGATGAGTTCGGTCAGTGGGTGTTCGATCCATGGGCGGCCACCTTTGGCGTCTTGTATTTAGATACGCGCTTTGCGGCAAGGGCTGCGCACACTCTGCCACGGGTGGTCGTCGACTCCAATCCAATCAGGGAATACTATCCGAAAAAAAAATTGGATGTAGTCTGTCCCAACAAGAGCACCCTTTACGCAGGTGCCGGTGTTAAAGATTGGCTAAGCCGCCACCTATCCAAAACGAAGGCCAAGTTTCGGCCCTTCCAACTTGGCTTGCGGAAGACAATGTACAATTACGGCGTTTCAGAGGTGTGCCACAGCGAAATTTACCACGATCTGGTGAGTTTTCTCAATTGCCAGATACTGCGACACACTAGAATGGAAGGCGAGGTACCAAAGTATCCAGCCCAGCAGAAAGCCATATCTTAATAATTGTTATGTGGTTCTATCGACTACACATCAGGCTTCTTCTCGTTGGTACTTAATTAATGGTTCTTAGAGCATTTCAATACCACTCGAATAAAATGTGAAATAAAACAAAAATTATTTGGTTTGATTTTTTTTGTTTAGCTTTCGCTGTATATTGTTTTTCTGGTTTATTTGGTAAAATTAAATCAATATCTTCATTTTATTTTGCAATTCTTTGTTTGCTTTTGTTATTACCTTTTTTCAGATATCTTTTTCTTAGAAAAACGAACATAATTGTTTCAAATTTTCAGCGTTGTACAACTAGAAGGAGAAGAAAACAAATACATATTGAAAACTAGAAGATGGAAAATGATAATGGAATCTTCTTAATTGATTCATAGTTCTTGTTGATGCAGCTGTCCTGCCTCTGGTTGTCCGTCCTCTGGCGCTGACTCTTCTCCTCTCCACTTCTACGCACTCCTCAAACCAGCTGTGGGGAAGTAAAAAAGATGTACAACATATTATTATTTGGACATGCTAGCGAAATCGTTCTCTGCCGCTAAAAAGTTGCTGAAATCGGATGATGTCGTAAGCAAGCACTTTGATTTCTGTATGCATTGTTTCATTTTACAATTGGGGAACGGAACGAAACTTTAGTTTGTTGATAGAATAATGTTCAACATAACTCTGAAGTGTGGGGGGGGCATGATCGAAACCTGCCAAAAGACAACAAAGACTGGCATTAGCATTTTGAATATCATAATTGTAAGAAATCCCACTCACCGATTTGTGTAAAATGTGTTGGGCTTCCACTTGGATTGGGCATCATCAATGCCAAGAAAATCAATGGGGGAGAATAACTATGATAACTAATCCTTAAATGGTATGTGTTATAGCTTTTTACACTGCAAAGATACATTAAAATATATTCAGTATATTAGATACATAAATCGTTTTAATTTAAAAATAATTATATCTCATTTTTTCTTGTTTTTTTTTCCAAATTTCATGTAAGGGCAGAACCTTCTTACATTCTGTGTATTCATATGTACATCACATATGAATCTGAAATTGGATCAAAATTGAAGCCAAACAACATTTCACTTGAGGTAAATATTACAATTTAGCCCTGGAATGACTTATAAAAGATACCCGAAAAAATAAACAAACCCGACGCCTACATTCATTGCCGGAAATAAAATATGATAATTTCGAAAATAAAAATACCAAAAAGTGTAGCTTTTTCTTTTGTTTTATCGTTTAATTACTTTTTTCAAAAGTTTATTTTCATCAAAATGAATTTAATCAGTTGCAGAGCATAGTCTCTGGATTATGTTTTTGTAATTTTAAAACTAAGAAACTGAAACCTTCAGGCTTAAATCATTTTCCCCCACTCGTGGAGTCAAATGGGTAGGGGGGGGAGTGAAATACTGTTTAAGGATACGTAAGCTAAAAATAGTAAATAGTCAAATTAGAGCATAGACCAGTCTCGTGTCAAGGAAAGTCGGAATAAGTAGCACATATGTACATATGCGTTATGCGAGGAGAATGCGAGCGAATGAGTCAAAACATGGAAACAACTTACAAGAAATTGTCGTGGCCGATGCAGCGGCTGGGGCTGCCACAGAAACTGCCGTGGGAGTGGCTGTTGCTCCTGCCGATACTGTGGGAATGGCTCTGGCCAGTGCCTGCGTTTGTGGTTGTTGCTGTGGTTGCGTAGGTATTTGCTGATGCTGGTGGTTGTTGTCATCATCATCATCATCATCGTCGTCAATGTAATAGCAGATCTGGTTGTTGTTGTTGTTGTTGCTGTTGCCGCCGCCACCGCCGCCAGAACCATTGCTGTTGTTACTGTGGAGGATGTGGGTGTGGGTACTGCTGATCGGTGTTGCCGAATGTATGGGTTTTGTCGCCGTCTGCTGTTTGCGGTTGTGTCCGGTTATGCTTAGAGCCGCCGATAGACTCGAAGCCGCATGCAGGATCGAGCGCTGATTGAAAATACTATTGGAGGCTGCCGCTGCAGCCGCATTGTTGTTCTTCCGAAACTTCTGATGCTGATGATGATGATGGTGAGATGATGGCGGCAGTGGCGGCGGCGGCGGTGGCTGCTGTTGCGCCGGCGGTGGATGTAGCGTTGGCGGTTGTCACGAACATGCCACCTCCGTTGTCGTGGCAGTGCTGTTATTTCCGTTATTATGCGCCTGCGGTGACGACTGCTCTGCTGCTGCTGCGGTTCCTGCTCCGAGCTGTCCAACTCCGAGCCGTTCTTACCCGATGTCTTGAAACTTGGCGCATTCATTTGTGCCGCTGTGGGTGTGGTTGGCGTCGGAGCTCCCAAATCGCTCGATGCATTCGAATTATCCTCCGTTAGCTGAATAAAACCCAACAGTTTTAATCAAAAACTTCTGCAAATAATCTGTTTTGCGCCTGTACTTACCGATTCACTCAGCCTGTGGATCTTTGCGCCGCTATCCCGCCCCCGATTGCCACTGGCTGGCTGTGCCTGACTGCCCGGCGGCAGAGCTTCCTGCGACTGGGCCAATTCTGTGGAGAGACGCTTGCGGTTGGCCAGCAGCGTATTGTTGAAGCTAGTGTGGCTCTCCATGCTCTTGCGCTCACGCTTGAGGAAGTCAGCGTCCAAGTAGAGGGTGAGCTGCTTGCGCTTCACATGCCGCGCATCAATGGCCATGCCTTCCTTTAGCATCTTGATGTTGACCTGGAAATAGCCAAAATATCGATCAACCACCACACAGAATATGACCTTTCACTTTCCACTCTACTTACGCCATGCATGATCACGTGCTCTGTGAAATTCTGTATGCTTTCTGTGAGGTCTACGTTGAGGTTCTCCGAACGCTCAAACTCCAGACCGATGAACCACATGGAGCAGAAGGGAGCCGATGTCAGGGTGGCCTGATTGGGCGGAGGCTGCTTTAGGTCGTCCTCGTTGCCGCTGTTGTTCTGCGAATTGTTGGCGCTCTCCCCCTTCTTCAGCTCAAAGCCCTTGGGGTTGACGTGCGCCAGAGCAATGTGAGGATTTCGCTCCAAGTTGCCGATAAGCAGGCGCACCTTGGACTCGACAAGTCCGCACCACTCCAGGTGGTCGTCAGCCGTCTGCGAGTTGACCAACAGCACTATGAAGTGGCGATATCTGTAAAAGAAGCTGGGCGCCTCGAAGAGACGCTCCCAGGATGCTCGGCCAAGCATGATCTCGTCCGTAATATTCATGCCGCGTGTAAACTCGGTCAGCATGACCTTCTTGGTGGATTCGGACACATTAAATGTAGAATTCTGTTGTGGATACGCAGGCGTTATGATTGGCATCAGATGATAGCGATCTGATGCATTGACACGCGGATCCCAGACCTAACCCATCCGCAAAAGCATGAAAGACATGGATCAGTTAAAAAATAACATTTGGGTTGGCCAAAATTTATGCACATACTTGAAATCTGAGATTCACGTTGTCGGGGTGCTTGAGTAGCACCGGATTAGGCCACTTCCAGCGCGAAAAGACCAAAAAGAACTTGTGCACCAGGGTGGCAGCTGTTGCGTTCGGGTACAGCTGGCAAGTCCGGGCCACCAGCATGGCCCAGGTGACACCCCCAAAGTATCCCAGCGAATTGGAATAGATGCCATGCTCTGCGGAAAGACAATCATTTAGTTTGCTGCAATGGCTACGGCTAGGTGCTTGACCACTTACTCTTGGCCCACAGCTTGATGGTGCGCAAGGCTAGGCGAAAATTCTCAATGTTGGGCACCAGGGCCAGGATCTCGTCCGTCACACGGCAGCCGTTGAGGCTGCGCACCGAACGGTGATCCAGATTCCGAAGCAAATTATCATCGCGCAGATCAAAGTCGTCGGGTATCTCTTTAAGCGAAAGTCGCGCGAACAGCAAATCGATTTCGATGCCATCAAAGTTCATTTTGATGACAGGCACAAATGCCTCTTCCACGGAGCGACACTCGGTGACCTCCGGCTGCTTTTTCAGCACCTCAAAGAAGCTCTGAAAGTAGTCGGTGCGCTCAATGTTGCGGGGAGCCACGCACAGGGCATCGATATCGGCTCCCTTGTGGTGCACACCCAGGCGATACGACCCGAAGGTGTATATCTTTCCGCCCAGCTTCTCGGCAGCCGCCTCTGGCATGTTCTTGCTGACGGATATCTCCTTCACCCACTGCTTGACCAGCGTATTGAGCTTGGCCAGGATCTCCATGCGGTGGTTCAGCTCGTCCTGGCTCTCGAACACGTTGAACGGCTCCAGGGAGGCGCGGAGGTTCTCCGTCCGCTGCAGGTCCGCCGGCTTCGGCTCGGCCAGGCTGATGGCCGAAGTCATGCCCAACTGTTTGGCGGGCTGGCCCCCCGAGGTAGAATTGCCATTGTGTTGATGTTGGTATTGCTGCTGCTGCTGCTGGTTCTGGCGATGTGTTGGTTCGGAATTCCACATTTTGTATAAAGTCGATCTTAAAATATAGATACTGGAGGGTGCCAGGTGGCAAATGGATTATTTGATGCTCTGAACCGTTTGTGTCGATTGGTTATCTTACCTATCTAGGCTTAAAATGTATGTATTGTAGTATAATTAAGTTGCTCGTGTTGCTGCCCAAAAAATGGAATTGTATCTGTTGCCACTTGCTTTGTCCTTTTTCCTTCTCGTCTTTCACTTTGCTTACTTCTTCTTCTTCTTATTCCTGTGACTTTTCACGTTGTTTATTTCTGCGACTTTTCTGCGCTAAATAAAATGCTGAAAGCAATTCAAATAAAAGTTTAACAGAAAATTGCAATTTATTTGTGTGCTGACGAAACTGCGATAAGCACACACCAGCACCGTTATGTGAGAAAACAAAACAATGAATGCCAAGTGGTAGCTGGTCACACTGGAACGCACTCTTTCCTCTCTCTCTCTCTCCCCCACACACACATACCATACTCTCTTCTTTCGTTTTGGGGCATAAACAAATGCGTAAATAAATTAGCGTAAGAGATGTGTGGTGGGGTGCGGGCTGCGATCAAAAGTGCCAACTAATCGTGGAATTGGGCAAACATAAACAAAGAAATCAAAGGCATCCACTTCTTTGCATTTGCAGGCACTGAGCGCACCTCACGCGCTCCAGCTCACGCACACACACCTCACACTGGCAGGCAAGCGTATACATACACGCCGAAAAACAAAATACAGAAGAGTGGGGGGGAAACTTTTATCTCTTTTATCCTACCTGCGCTGCGTCGTATCTTCTTGTGTGGGCTCCAATGTCCCAGCGAATCTCTCTCAGACTAATCGAATCCCGGCTACGGGACGTACCTCCGGTACATATGGGCAATATATGTTTTTGTAATTTGGCAGCAGCGGGTGCGTCGTATAGAGTTGCCCATTCATGCGTTGTGGTTGGCGTCCGGCGTGTGCAAACTTCTTGCAGCTCTTGTGTCTTTTGCTTTAGCTCCTCTGTCTTCTGGCTTCCTGCCCTCTGCGCTTTTCACTATTTGGTTTTTTGTTACCTCTTTTTACCACTGTGTGCGGCCTCTCTCGTTTTTTTTATGCTACGTGACGTTCTCTGGCAGCAAAGCAAACTGACGCACACGCATATAGGAGGGAGCACAACAAAAACACTATTTGACTATTGCTGGGGGACTTCTGTGGCGGGGCACGATACTTGATTAGGTTGGGGGCACGACGAGGTTGCTTTTAATGTGCGCCAAACATTTTCCGCTGCTTTTTTTATTTGCGCGTTCTAGTAGAGGTGTCAAACCAAAGAGGGCACTATCGATGGTATCGATATTTTGATGCTAGCCTCTACTATCGATGGTTTTGAGACTATCATGATAGTATCGAGCTACAGTCGTTGCGCTTTTGATTGGATTGGCTGCTATAAAATACGAAGACAAATTTGTAAACTAATCGACAGTTGGCATCTAATTTTTACAATGGAAAAGATCCTAAAAGGTTTCAATGGTTTTTTAATGATTATTAGAGCCCGTTACTATTACGATAGTATCGATTGTTTTTTTTTTTCAAAACATTCAACGTTGATATTCCTCGATTTTGATATTCCGTTTAATATTACTGGCTAGTTGGCCCTCTCAGCCCTAAACAAATAATTTTATCCGATAGATACATAAATTTAAGGTATGCAGACTGTTGCTCATTCCGTGCCAAAGTTGCAGAACAATGCTGCCTATTCATTTCCCCATGTTGCTGAAATTTTTCCCATACAAATCAAATTTTCCTAACGGGAAATGTTCCTGATGCAACAATGAATCTTCATTCGTTCCCGTTAGGAACATGTGGCTCACACATTACGAAAAGGAGGGGAAAGTCACAACGAAAGCGCTCTCTTCACCACGGAAAAGAGAGAAAATTTTGAAAAACCACCACGAATTGAGAGCGAAAAATGTCAGTATTTTTTATGCGCTAAATGTGTTTGGCGGTCATTTTTAAAAGTATATTAAAATATGGAAAAATAAATATTTCACTTGATTTGTTTTGTCGAGTGTGACTGGAACCTCAGAAACGTCATTTTCAAAAAATTTCGTAACAGAACAAAATTAGCGTAAATCAGAGTAACCAGTAACAGCTCCACATTCTAGCAATTAAAATATGAGCAGTGTGACAGCGAAATGATCGTTACTAGAATTTCGACTGACCCTCCGAAATATACTGAAATATACCTTTTTATTTTCAAAATATACCGTAAAAAAAGGACTTAAGCCACTGAGCTCCCTCTTTTTTGAACAGGTAATACTTGAATTAAACAGTGGAAAAGAATAATGTTTTGTACATGTTCCTTGTAGATCCATCCTTCGTCTTTCCTTACTATACTTTAGCTGCGCTTAAATTCTTCAAGTTTCATAATATTCGTGGGAAGTGAAGAGTATGGGATGGTTGGAGGTTTGTACACCCCATTTCCTGAATAATGCACTGATTAGAGCATAGTATGACAATCATATCCTCAATTCCATAATAACATTCAATATAACATTTAATCTCCTCTTTCTTCATCCCATAATTATAATTGCTATTTGGTATATTTAAAATATGTAACAGCCCTACGTGAAACAATCGATTTCGCGATATATTTTTGTTTGGCGATATTTCCGCTGGCAAAATTAGGACATTGTCTGCCAGCCACTCCACCTAAATGTGACATTCTGGCAGCGCCGCGAACAGCTGGAGCAATTTTGCATCGATTCTGTTTATATTCCGTGGAAAATGTTGAATCTCCACAGAAAACTGATGCAAAATGTAAAGCGGACTTAATGGCCGACACAACATGATTCCCTGGATGCGCGAAAAGTTCAACGAGAAACGCGCGAAGTGGCTGGCGCGGAGTAAGCGGTCATCCACTCCATCGGCCGACAGTCCTGGAAGCAGTCGCGTCCACACCGCCAGCAGTGCCAGCGATGCGGAGAGTCTCAGTTCCGCCTCGCTAAATGTGCACACGACGGAGATGGAGACCCAGACGGACGTTGTCGTGGCGGGCAGACCCGTTGTGGGTGGCGGCAGCTGTGTCCTGCGCACACCCTCGCCGGCACGGAGGCGTCGCATGCACCTGGAGCTGCAACTGCATATGCAGAGCACTGCGGTCGCCACACAGACTGGCACTGGGATGTCAAGTGCTGATGGAGACCCACTAGACACACCCACTCCAACACAGCAGCATGAAAATGCGTAAGTTGGCAGGCGATTAAATGTCTCCGATTGCCTTCCAATAATATTAAATCTTTTTTATTCATTTTCGAAATTCTCCGTGGGATTTCCACACATTGATCTAAAAACAAACTATGCAAAAACTGCGCAGTTTGTTCCTCAGGTGGGCCTCGCAGCTCTCTCTTGGATTATCACCACCCACTAATCCTTTGGCCTTTTGCAGGAAGACATGCCATTCCAGCCGCGTCGACTCGACAGGCTCGACGGGAGTGGACGAGGAGGACTCTCTGAAGGCGGGCGATACCATCGCGGTGCGCGTCATATGTCCCAGCTCGCGGGTACTGGTCTTCAAGACGAACGTGAACAAGCGCCTTAACGACCTGAAGAGCGAGGTCATCCTGGAGTTGAGCGACGATCCCGACTCCATCCAGCTTTTTGCCCCCGATGTGCGCCACCTGAATCCGCGCTACCGCCTCTATCGGGCCGAGTACTTTGGCGGGGAGCTGAACGAGGCCGAAACACTGGCCCAGCTTCAGGTGCGCCACAACGAGACCTTCATACTCTCGGCCAGGCGCAGCACGCTCACACAGACGGTGTCGCGCATACGGGAGGTGCCCGGGCCCAACGAGCAGTTGCTGGAGAGCGCTACGCGTTATGTGCCTACCAACGCCAACTCGCTGCCCACCATCGACATTAACGAGATCTTTCAGCAGTCGAATGTGAGTGTTGGGAGGGGAAGATGCAGGGAATTGTGACCCAACAGTTTTATTCCAGATCCAATACGATGTACGCAAGGTGTTGATCTCCCTGGCGCAGGCCTCGGCTGCCGTCTTGGGGGCTGGGCCGTATGCCCCTCGGCTGATAGCCATGCTGAAGCAGCGGCTGATCAATCGACGCAACCACCAGTCGGACACACTGCAGTGTCTCGTGGATATGGGATTCAAGCGGGAGATGGCCGCGTTTGCCCTAAAGGCCAACAGCGGCATCTACTCGACCACCCTAGAGTGGCTGATACAAAACCAGAACGAGGATGTCCTGCAGGAGCCGGCCATCAATATGCAGCAGAGCATGTCCTCTATTTCGCCCTCCGCCATTGTCACCAATAACGTAATAATCGATAGCGTCTCAGTTCGGTCCCCCTAGGAAATTAATCGCCTTGCAATCTCCGCAGGAAACCATTGAAAACACCGCTGCGCTGATGGAGATTGTGCGCATCTACAGCCACCGTGACTCGCCACCCAGCGAGGAGATTGTCGAATCGCTTACCGAAATGGGCTTCGAGGAGGCTGCCGTGGTGTCGGCGCTGAAGAGGACGGGCAACAACAAGGCCTCCGCCTGCGAGTGGCTCTGCGACAATCGTTCGGGTAGTGTGATTGAGCTGCGCGAGGGCCTTGCTCCCGATTCGCCCATCCTAAAAGTTATTCTCGAAATGCCGCAGGTCCAGATGACGCTCAGTAACCCGAAGACATTTTTGGGTATATTACAATTATTCCCCATTTCTGTGTAGATGCTTATGTTATGTTTCTGTTGACAGCGTTTCTGGCCATACTGGAGAATGAGCATGCCATACGCGTGTGGCGCGGCGACAACGACACCACCTCGGTCATCACACATATCCTGCAAAAGTACCATGAGGAGAAGCATGTGCTGGGCATCAATCAGTTCTACACGAACCGATGGTGATGATGCTGCCACCTGCTGCTGCTGCTACTGCGCCCCAAAGTGGCTTTATAATGAGATTAACCAAATTATATTTATACATACACATACTATATACATATATACATATACATATGTACACACACACCCAGCCGCACACCTCCGAAGCGGATGCCTGGAGGTGGTTCCAATTTTTGGTCCTCCAGCATGTGTTTTGTGCGTGTGCGTGTGTCCGTATGTGAAGAGTATTTTTGTAGCCAAAACTATGAATGTAAAACCGCACAAAGCCAAAGATGCAATCGCTTTGCCAGAAGCACGCGACTGCACTCTAAAAACGCTTACCGATCAGTACGAATAACGCATTATATATATAGTTACATACACTAGGAACTAGATCTAGTCAGCCACAACAGTAAGAAGGCCCGGCCCCGGCATTCACTATCGTCTATCAACTATCCTATCTGCTATCACTCAATCTTCACTCAATCGGATCTCGCACTCTTGGGCCGTATATACATATATAGATCTCCGGATAGTTGTAAGCGAGCGAAAACTGTTGGTGATTTCTGTGCGTATTGCAAAGCTATTGTACATTCGGGGGGGCTAACAACCGACAACCGACATTGAACATAAAGTATTATTTTGTAAACCAAATATTCTATTAGCATTGTTTTAACAATAAGCAAATAAATCAATTAGTTTTTGATATAAAAAAAAGCAAGCTTCACTTGCGAATTTTCTTGCAAGGTTTTATTAATTCTTTTTGACTAAAATTTACCGAAAATTCTACAGTGATTCCCCCGCAAAGGTTCGACTTACTCTTACCCAAGCGGCTGATGCTTTGTGAATCATAGCACGCCTGTTACGGTGTTATCAGGATACAGAAGCACTCAATCCAGCATTAGGGGCAGCTCGGCGTATGAGTAATATTTAACCAGTGTGATTCACACACGCCGATAAGAGGGTGGCCGCGGTCTTTGGCCCCTCCACCCTGCGTAATACCAGAACATATGTTAAGCGAAACAGTTTTTTTTTCATTACTCTTCATTGCAATTTGTATAAATTGTATTGCTTTATTGTTCAGCAGCAATTGCACTTTTAATGTATTACAATTAATTTTCCATGTGGCCGCACATTTCTCACATTTCATTGTTTTATCTGCAACGCAACCAGCAACGCAACGCAACGCAATCAGAGCAACAAAACAGAACAGAACACAACAAAACTATTCTATTCTATTCAATTGTTTTCTAACCCTTTTTTTTTACCATACGCTGAGTGCGCGGTGGCCTTGCTGGGGTTTGGTTGAATGCGGGGGTGGGAAATGCATTTTAATTTATGTTAAGCGCGCTCATGTACTCGTAGTGGTTGTATCCATGAGATACATTCACTAGCTAGTGGCAAGTGGCTTTTAATTAATATTTTGCGCGCAATTGTTAAATTGTTTAGGAATTGCATAGAGACAATTACTCGATTTTATGGTCAGAAATAGTTTTTATTAAATGTTTGCGGTTGCAGGCAGCTGCACACACGCTCTCGCCGCCTAATGGCCCTTGTCCTTGTCGCTGACGATGGCCATGCAAATCTATCTCCAGAAATTGATGACGCATGCAACGGAAGGCGGGACATGGCATTTAGTATAATAAATCATCTGGTGTCCAGGACGCAAGGGGTGGCCCCCTCAATGTGGCCGAGGTAAATGAGTTTTTGATATTATCAAAAGACGAAATGCATTGACAAGGACGACGAGCGACGAACATCTTTCAGCTAATCCTCCCCCGCAGCCAGGCAGGCACACGCCCCAGCCCAGCCCAGCCCACACCCATCCGCCCTTCGTTGGCCATAAAAAAACATCAGCTTCAGAGCTCTTGAGCGTGCTCCAGACCCCGATACCAGATCCAGAGGGGTTCTGGATATTGAAGTCGTGTGGCGCTGTGCTGGCAATTTCCGTTGCATATTGGCAGCCGCCGCAAATTTATAAACAGCATTATCGACGCCCCCACCGAAAGCGAGACAATGCGAATCCGCATGGAGGAGTGGAAATATGGCGAATGGCTGTGTTGGGCAGGGTGGGGGCGAAAAGCTGCTACGAAATTCCGCAATTTGTATGAAAATGAAAATGTTTTGTCATTTCGCATTCAATGATTTAAAATTCCTGTCTTGTCGCATGCGATTTTTGCGAGTTTTCCATGTTTATATTTACCATTAAATGACAAACTTCCCGAATGCATTTAATATGCATTAATATGGCCAGGCTTATGGAACGAGCGCGGATTCTCATCAGCATCCCAATCCCAAATCGAATATATTTATGTGTATATAATAAAATATTGAAATTGGGCAGCGCATAATACGTGCGTGCCCATTGTCAAGACTGGATCCAAGAATGAAGTAGGGATGTGGAGGTACGACATTAATGCATTAATATAGGCCAAAATAAAATCAGGAAAAATAAATTGGGCCACAAAGTAGACGAACAGATCCAAGGATGGATATTTAACGCACTGCAAAGTCTTTTGTACTATTTTGAAATTAAAATGGCAGATAAATACAATTGCAAGTTATTTAATTTATTTATTTATACATTTCATTCGCATTGTATCATGTAATTCGATTGTTTTAATGCTATTTGCGTATCCAAAACTGAACTGATTTGCATACAAGTTGCATTTGAGCTCAGAAACAGATTATGAATAATAAAATTGCATGCCCCCAATTTGGCTTCGAAAAATGGTTAAATTTGTAATGCAATTTATAATTTAAATTCCAGAAACTCATCACAAAACTAAAATAATGGTAATGGAAGGCAAAATGTATAAGCTTGGTTCTTGGAAAAATACTATGCATCCCCAGGAGATGATGGCGACAGATAGACAGGCCCTTGGAATTCCGTATTCATGCGGCATCATAAAGGGCAAGGCAAGGCAACCCACAACCCCAGCCCAATTAACCATTTAAAGGCGAATCGAACTCCTTCATTAGCAAACATTGCCCAACTGCCATTTGCTACCCTCAGTAGCAAATATTTCATTTATATGCCATAAATACTTGTATGAAACTTTCAACGCGACATGAAAATTAAACGAAAATGGGCAATGGGCCCCCCTAACATCAGATATGTATCCTGCCCCCGCTCCCATCACTGTATACCATCCATGTAGCTGTCGTTTGTCTTTACGGGGCAGCAAATAAAAATTCTGCTTTAACGCATGAAATCACACAAAGATACTAAAAATTTGAACATGCAACTTTATGTTGGGGCAAACGGCATGGAGTCTGCGGCAAGGATAAACTGTCCTTTACATGGCCACTACTCCTCCAGGCACAGCACACACACGCACAAACACACACACACATGCATACAAAACAGCAACACCAAAACGATACAGTTTATGACGCAGTAGGCCAACAGTCCCAGTCCCCCCGGTCCACGCCTTGCCTCATAAATATAAAAATTAGTTGCCGGTCAGTTAGCAAGTGGGTGGCTGGCTGGATGGGTGGTTGGGTGTCCGTCCACCCAATGTCGGTCCGTTTCGTTTCGTTTCGTTTGGTTTCGATTCGGCCTCGAGTGGGAAGGAAGGCCACGCTGGCCGCCCACAATTAATTAATTAGTTCAGTTGACAAAAATTGCGGTGTTTGCTGGTGGGGTGAACGTGGGTGGAGGTGCGCTCGGGTGGGGTGTTTGAGGGTCATGCAGGCAGGGGTCGGGTCGGGTCCTGCGGCCAGCTCGGCATGTGTCTATGATTAGACTGGGTCGAAGTCTCCTCGAGTGAGTGCGTTTGTGTTCGTGGGTTCGTGGGTTCGTGGGTCTGTGAGTGTGGGTGGCTGACCGTTTCGGCTGATTCTAATTATGTTTATGCGTCCATGCTGTTTGTGATGTTCCATTGTGCCTAAAGTATTTTTTATTTAAAAAGTAGGTAAATTAAAATTATTCCAAAATAAATTTAGTTATCATTGCTTTGACTGGAATGATGTGCTGAAAGTATTTACAAACTTCGCGGGCGCATAAACGAGGAGCTTATGTGAATATTATGCTGTGTGTGTGTGTGCTCATATTTATGTACATATGTATGTACATGTGTGGGCGAGACTGTTTTGGGTCCACTTTGACCATGCTGTGTGTCATTTCAGTCAAGGGTCGTGTGGCAGCAGGCGGCAGCGGTCAACTGTTTTCATAAGCGTAGCAAATATTTTCACAAGGCCAATTAGTGGGCAGCCCCAGCTGACCGCACAGCTGCCACCCAACCCATCATTACACCCCCTGCCCACAGTAGCCGTACTGTTTGGGGTCGGCTCTCCCCCCTATGCGGCTGCCAACCTGCTCCATTTATTCTACTCAGCCCCATCCTTGTCACAGTTCCCAAAATTAATAAGAGCAGCAAACTTTCGAGCTGCAGCAGCTCCTCTCTTTTTTGGCTGCCGGTCTTCTTAGCTACTCCCCCCCCCGTCTCACATTCGGGGTTTTTTTTTGTCAACGCCGCCCCTCACCGACGAGAGGGAGCGCAACATACTTGCGAACAAAAGTGAAAAAGGCAAAAGCAATAAAGTTTTCAATTGTTTCTTTCGCACTCCATGCAAGAGTACAGTTCTTTCGCTTCTTTTTTCTACATCATCTTCTGCATGCTCTTATTTGACTATTTTTAGTTTTAACAGTTTTTGTGTGTTGTCGTCGGCAGAGGGAGAGGCACAGGGGCAGAGAGACGACTGACTGCCTGCTGCTGCTTGAAAGTTTTTAACTGGCGCTGACTTTAAGTGCAATTCAGTGCCGAGGCCGAGGCGCACAAAAAATGCTAAAACTTTTCTCCACATACCACACCCCTTCTCCCTAAAGCACATACCCGCTGACTTTTTGTTGCCGGTCGGTCGGTCGGTCGTCTCCCTCTCTTCTATTCTGTTTTGCGGCTGCCACATTCGTTTTGTTCTCCGTTTTCTCCAGTTTAAAAACGCATTGCCAAATGTGTCACACAGAAGTTCTACTGCTTGTTGTTTTTTTCTGACAATACCCTTGCAGAGGGTTCTATGCTGATGTTGAGCATTTGTTTACCACCTGAGACAAGTGTCTATGGGCAACACTTGTCTGTTTGCAAAGATAATTCAAGATAATTCTTTGCAAATTGCAGTTTCATTAGTAATAATAAAAAATGGAATATGGGATATCGCTGCCATGGGAACCATGAATCGGCAAGGGTATCAAGCGCGCGACCTTTGGTCTCTTATTTTGTTTTTCGGTTTCTCTTGTTATTTCTGCCTCTCTCGCTCTGGCCTAGCACAATGCAAGCTTGCAATGCCGTTATATGGCAGGAGAGGACGAGAGCGGCTGCCGCATGCGGTCGCTTTGTCTCATGCATTGCACATTTTGCACTTGACACAATGCAAAAAGCAAAGAGGATGAACGCGGGGGAGTGGGAGAGCCATGAGTCGAACGGCACTTAGCGGGTCAGTGCTCACCGCTTACTCTCAGCCCCTTGTGGCACAGGTGCTGTTGGCACAAAGGAAACCCGTAACCACAACAATCTGAACGTATGCATCTAGGTTGAGTGTCCTAATGCGTGGCTAAATACTGACATTCGTGTGCATTCATTTTAGCCACAATTCCAGGTCGCTCAGTCTTCACAGCGCTATGACCTTCTGCGTCTTCGCTCTTTCCTGATTGCTCATCAGCTAATGGATAACGGGTTGATTGTTGGCAAATGCTTGTAACTATGAGTATTTGTAGAAGTCTTTTAATAATTATAAGAATACTCTTTGAGAGTATAAGCTTATCAACTGCATGGAATTTTTCCCAAAGAAATAATGCTTTTATTTTATCCTTTATTTTTAATAAGCTGGTAAGGAAACCGCCTAGGCAATCCATACAGCGACAGCAGTGACCGCTTCATCAATGAGAACTGATTAAATTCTTTGTTCAATTTCTTTTCTATCCAATTGATTTGGCAAGTCAAACAGCTTTTGAGCCGATCTGACGCTAACAAGCTGCGACTCTCGACTCATTCAGCTGGCGTACTGAGCCATCGATGTGGACTCCCATGACGGATTAGTTTTTAATGAGTCCGTTAGGCAGAAATTAATGAGGCAGATCGCAACAGACCGCCCACTGCCCGCTGGTCTGGGGAGCATTCTCACGTGCGCGGCAAATAAATCATCATTGCCAAAAGCCAAAGGAAAAGCAACAAATACTAAGGAATACAATTGCAATTTCCTGTGTGTGCTGTGTGCTGTGTCCTGTTCTTGCCTCTCCTCAAATCCTGACAAATGAGCGCAATTTCATAGCTCAAAGGATATTAACGTGTATTAGCAGGAAAGACCCCGCGAGAGAGAGAGATGGGAAGAACGAGCGACTGGACGAGCGAATGCATTAAGTCAACTTACTGTGGTAAATAGGGGGGAATTAACTAGAATGACGCCCAGCCAGGGTGGAAAGCACGTTGTTGCAAGCAGCAACATCAAATTTGCTGCTTCATCTATAAGGATTAAGGGGCCCAAAACAGTAAAAACTCATAAAGAAATTACTTGCAGGAAATGCAACAAGCCTTAGATGTAAGACTCTCCAGCTGCCCAACCCCCCCACTATACGCGCCCAGAGGGTGGAAAACTTGTATGTACCACTGTGGATGGGTGATTGGCTAAGTGCGTGGGTGGGTTGTCCTCGTTGCGCAAACACGGAATGTGCATTAGTTTCCCGTTGTATTCCATGATTTGAGGTTTTTCTATTACAAATATCGGCGGTTGACTCTCTGATGGAAAAATCAACAGAGTTCTTTAGCAATTTATCTAAAACTTATTGAAAACTGAAAACGCCAACTTGGGGTAGAAATATTCGGGTATCCTTCTAGGTCATAATACTCCATGCAAATGGTATAAAAACCAGAACTTCAATTAACCCACAGCAGAATTTCCCAAGAGTAATATTTTCTGTTCTTCTCCCCACTTTACACAATATTACTTTTAGTACAACCCTTTTGGGAGCATTTACAAATACATATGTACTAAAGATGAATCGCAGCCTCGTCATATGGATCCGTTCTACACGCCAGGTGTCCTCGATGTCATCTCGTTGCGGTTGGGCCATTAAAGTCAGTGCGGATGTCAACCACTCCCAAGTTATTATAATTAAAGCCAAGTCCTGTACAAAGGAGTTTCGCTTTCTCCGCTTCGTTCCGTTCCGTTTTACGAAGTATTGTTTCTTTTGTTGAGTTCTGTGAAATGTTATTTGAAATTTTGTGCGTTGTCTCGGGCGTTTGGTGTTTGGTGTGTCTGTTGTCGCTGTTGTTTGTCGTTTGCCGTTTGCCGTTTGCTGCGGTCCCAAGAACATTCAGCCACAATAACAACCAAGTCCTGGGACCAGAACAACACACCAACAGCTTGCCTTACAACGGAAATGGCAACGGCAACGGCAACCGACGGAAGCAAGAACAACAGCCCATGCCCATGCCAGCTACGGCTATATGCCTTTTTAACTTGATTTAATGAGTGCAGGGAAAGACATCAACAAGAAAAATGAAATAACTGTCATTGAAGACATGAAACAGGGAGCGCAAATGGTGGATGGGCAACGCTTTCCCACTCCTTGTTTCAGTGGGATTCAGTCGGCTTGAGCCGCCTGATGGAGTGCGAGGCTGTGCTACTTAACTGGGACACGACACCGTCAGGGGTCCGCCTGCTGCTGGCACTCTACTGGGTGTGGCAGGGCGCAATTATGCAGCAAATTAACGCTTTATATTTATTAAAAGGAAAACCCAAGCAAATGAGTATGGGCGTGGTCTCCACCGGGGGGGATGAATGTCTTGCAGGAAAAAAGTCTTGCCGAGTACACAGTAAATTTTCTTTGACAGTTTCCCCAAAAATAATGTACGCGGTAGTCCGGAGATGGTTGTCTTGTTGAAAGTCTATCTATCAGGGTGCTCGTTGACGATGCGGGGGAAATCGAAATCTATTGTCATTGATATTTATGTGAAGGCTAACACTCAGAGAGACTCAGGTAGTACACACATTTTAATCAGATTGAACAGGAGTTCAAGTATAGGGAAGGATCCTTATAAAACTCATAAAACACACATATTAAAATGACAATGTCTATCTGTGGCTTACTCGCAATTAGAGTATCTTTTGGTAGCCCTTATTATCTGCACCTGTGAGTCACCACAACGCTGAGACACGTTCGGTTTCAGTCTAGATTTATTAATTAATTTACAGGCTTCTTATTCCACATATTTATGTACTCGTATTTATTCCATTTATTTGCGGTTCTAGGAGATGACGCACATGCCGCACTCCTCCATGACGCAGCAGGCGCCCAACATCAGGCAGCACTCCATTTCGCCAGGCGAGGGTCCTGTGGCAGTCGGGCCGTAGTTGGGCTGCTCCACCACCACCACGGGCTGCGTGTAAATTGGCGAGGGCATTATCACCTCTACGGGCGGCGGCGGCTGCATCACCTCGATGATCTCCGGCGGGTAGTACGGATCGATCACTTCCATTTGGTAGCCTTGATTGTAGTACATTTTTCCTTGATTTCTTGTTCGCTTGTTCGACTAACTAAATTGGACTAAACGGCTCGACTAAGTGGTCGCTGCCCGGGAACGCGCCTATAACTGAAGCAACGCATGAAAAGTTGGCTCGAAATAATTGATTTAACCAGTTTTATCTAAAGCCCTGGGAATTTGATCAATGAGCTGCACTGATAACAAATTTCAGCAAGTACATAAAACATCGAAAATATTCACCAGAACAGTGGGGCAATCGCAATACATAAATATACCATACATACATATGCAGATAAATATGTGTGAACATATGAATCAGGTTTACATATTGGGTTTACTAAAAGCCATACAAAAAATGTTTCCCATGGCAGTTTGGGTGTGACAACACAGAAGTTTGGATACAAAATTTGGGTTGCTCTAGCCTATAGAGAGTCTGAGGTCTGCACAGTCTGAATATTAATCCAATATACCCTTATAAACAATGAGTATAAAAGGATATAATAAACCCAAGTGTGAGTATAAAATTGCACAGCAATTATCTCTGATTGTTTCGATATTTCCCAGCAATTAAGGCAGAACTAAACCCGACAACAATTAATGTTGAATGCCTTCTTTCATTGCTGCACAAATAGCTAGAAATATATTTTGATCGCAAAATCGAAATAAATCACACATATCAAATTGCAAGAATGCAGCACAGTTCTCGGGCGTTCGTATCACATTGCGTATGAGTAATTTTGTTTGGGCTTTAGATAAAACCTGGCCAAGCAAAAGCACACGCACAAATGATGGTAGGTGAGCGCCAAGCACTAGCACACACACACACACACACACCACACACACACTTCACTCCTGCTCCGGCGAACACCCTTGTCAAAATGTTTTTGGGGGCAGGAACTTTCAGGCTGTGGTTGCAATTCCAGAGGCCAAAGTCATAAAATCCTTTATCAAATGGAAGCAGCCTGGCCATGGAGCCAAAGTTGGCAGCACTTTTGACACATTTTCCGGTTTTATTGGCAAATCGAGCCACAAATAAATAATAACTCGGAATGTGAACTAACTTCGCAATGATGTGGCGAGCATTTCCCATCCCCGCACCGCGCATCCGAAAAGGATTTGCCAGTCTCCGTGTGTTGTGTCATAAAACTACAAATTTTTGTGGCATGTTATTAAATTTGGCTTTTTATGATACGGCGGCCCCAGCATTGAGATTTATGTAAGACAATATGTTCTCCGTGGCTCCCAAGCAACAGAGACCGAACGAAAGCGTTTGGGATGGGGAGGGGATTGAGTGGGAGTGTAAAGCATTATTTATAACAAATCGTAAAATTTTATTGCACGAAAAAACTGTGGGAATTATGCGGCCTCGACTGCGGCCTCTCTATGCCTCTACATAGCAAGTTAATTTAACGTAACGCATTAAAGGATCGGTGGTCCAAGGTCCAATGTGTTTTCTCTTCCCTCACATGATGGTGCAGCAGCAACAGCAATCGCCGCAGCCACAGCAGCACGGACAGCAGGGGCAGCAGCAGCAGCTATTATTCTTGGGCGGCGGCGGCGGAGGAGGCGACTGGACGATGACCGTGGTGGCCGGCTGCGGGGCCACCTGCACCACCTCTACGACACGAGTACGATGGTCCATGCGGATGGATGGGTTTTGCGCTTTGCTGTTATTTGGGGGTCTGATTTAACCGACTTGTTGCACCGATCGCGTTCTGTCTGACACTGGGCAATATGCCGGATTTTACTATTATAGCTATGTTCTTGCCAATCTCGGACTATTGCGCGCCGAGTCTTATCTATAGATAAAAGCCACACTGCCTCACAGTGGCTCTTATCAAGTCTGCAGCGTAATGTTCTGTGTGAAGTACCCTATGCTTGTGGGGCTCTTACGTAGGTAGACATATGTATCAGCCAAATGATGATAGTGTAACATAAACAGTTTCATGGGGGAACGAGTTGTGTAAGATCTATAATTCCGTTCATAAGCGAAAGACTCTCTTCAAATAATAAATGTAATAATCAGATATATATATTCCTACTGTTATGATCTTATCTTATTTGAATTTATTTACTCAGTCAGTTGTCTTATCTTTCTGATAGCATTTATCGTTTACCCAAGTTCAAAGTGCTTTGGAGCATTACTAGATAATTTTGGATCCTCAAACTTTCGGTAGTATAATTATTTATTATATTTATTACATTACTAGCCATCGGCTTGGATAATTTTATTAACAAATAATACCTTTCAATTAGTTCAAAAAGCACCATACAAATTAGATGTGTTTGATTTAACCTTGGTCCAATCAGGTCGCTCAATAAACACTTCAAAAAAGTTCAAATTTATGTGGCTGTATCTGAAAAACATCAAATAGTTATCAGCTAGGGATTTTGAATTTATTTTGAAGAGACCTTCAACAGCGCTGCCTATCAATGCCGTGAGTCACATATCACCGACCATCGACGGTGTAACCTGAAGCACGCTAATGTGGCATACTACACATCTAATGGGATGGCTAATTGCACGAGTATGGGTAACCTTATCTAAACCACCTACCCATTCACTATTCAAAACTATGTACATTTGAGGACGCACTTTGCATTCGACACCAGCCACCCGACTGCCATTCAGCATCCCCCACTCCCCCCATTCTGGCAAATAGTTCCTCGTTGCTATCACCGAACGGGGATCTCAATTAAAATTTTCCCCATGACTGGCGAGGACAAGCGGGAAGGGAAAAGGAAAAGGTGGTGGTGGCTTACAAAAGGGGCGTTACCTTACAGAAATTAATAAAAATATATATATTTTTGAGCGTCCTTCGTGCAATGGCGATGATAATTAGTGTACGTGATTCTATTTACTTTGACGGGTCCCAAAACCTTCGATGGGGCCTCCGAAAACATCCCCGGTGACGGGAAAGGGGTCGGCGAGTCCTTTAAGCCAACAAGCCAGCACCAAGGGAATGCGACAGGGTGTGTGTGTGTGTGTGTGTAATATGATATGCGCGTAAAAAATATAGTACGTGTGTGCGTGACAATGGCAACAACGTGCGGCAGATGGGTTGTGGGGGGTATGGGATGTGGGTTCGATGGCGAATGTCGGGTGTCAAAAATGAAACTACGCCTGCTCGGAATTTTAAAATAAGCAAATGAGTTCGAGCTTGATGAAAGTAAGCAACAAAGGCGGTAGCAAGCAACAGCAGAGCCCATAAATATTTATAAACTTTCCCCTGTCATATAAATACAGGGGGTCATTAGTTGGCTTGCACACCTTTCGGCAGGTCTACTGTCCTCCTCCTCCTCCTTGGGGACAATAAAACCCAGCCCCAAAACGGAGCAGGCCATTTAAATTCCTATACTCTATAAGCAGAGGTCTAAAGGGACTTGACTTCTAGTTCGACTGCTGTATGTGGGTAAGAGGGGAATTTTAGGATGCTTACCCGTACAAATATCTGAATATTCATGCTGAAGGAGTTTTGTAATTAACGAAATGATAGAGCCGATCGAGATAATACATAAATTATAATTTTTAGTTAGGAACTGTAGGAAAACTATTCGAATATCACTTAAGGATCATAATGTGCGGGCCGATCGTGTGATTGAAGAAATTTTACAAACTTCCACTATGCCATGGGTGCTTATAGGGTATATGCCATAGCATCGAGCCAGTGTTTCGGCTTATATATATAATATATACACACATATATACGATACATATAAAAATGATAAAGCAAAATGGCGAAAAGTGGCAGTAAAAAATAAAATGCGCTGCCGCAAAAGTGCCATTTGTGGCATAAACACATGCGCGCCAGAAAGTTTGATAAGACAAAAGGCAAAGGGAGGTGCCATGGCCATGCCACACCAGGTGGCAGGCAGGCAGGTGAAGTGAGTGGGGCGCGGCAGGCCGAAAACTTTGCCAAGTGTGGCATGAGCTGGCAAGCGGCTGTGTGGCAATGTCCCAAGAATGAACTTCGTTTGCCGCAGCGGCGGCGTTGGCGTTGGTGCCGAGACCGCAGTGTGAGTGTGCCACCAAATGCTGCCACTAAATGTGTGCCAAGTATTATTGCAGTCCCCGACACACAGGTCCCTATCTATGCGGGTGGTGGGGATGGGAAAGCTTTCTGCCCAAAATTGCCCAAGGAGCTGAGCTGAGCTCCTTGAGGTGCCGCGCCGCGCCACAGCTCGCATAAAATTAGCACAATAAAAACACATAAATGCGGCACAAAAACATGAAAATCCACTTGTTATAATTTAATCGAGTTGATAGAATTTTTACGACACCTTTTTCCAGGTGCTATACGTGGCTGTGTGTGTGTGCATGTGTGTGTTGGTGGAGGAGGCTTTCCTTCAAAATGTGGGGCCAGAATAAAAGTTTTAATCACACGTTGCCTGCCATTTTATTGCTGGCCATGAAGATTGCGAGTGCATTACGAACTTTACTTGGGATTGGGATAAAGTTACTTTTAATACAACATTTTAAGTGCTCAAAACTAAGTGAAATCACTTGGATTTTATTTGACTCTAATTGGGCCAGAATGGCAGGCCAAATATTAGCATATATTCTGATACGGCAGTTGTTGCAAAACCAATATTAGGAACTCGAATATTTTCAGCACATTAGGCAGTTTCGAGACCTTTTTTAGGGGGCTCCCGTTTGAAGAATTCTACAGTTACTCTTTTGGTTTTTTATTTTTTTTATTTTCTTTATTTATATTTGTTTTTTGTTTTGCTTTGTGCTTACGGTGGTTTATTCATGTCGGAAAAGTAAGTTTAAAACTACAGGGGTCAGTGGCCCCCATCTATAAAACGATGCTACAAAAACAATAATCAATAAAAAACCTATATGCTGAATGGCATAACTAAGTGTCCTCGCCGGCTGACAACTCTCTGAAGCTGCCATTCGAACGGTTACTAGACTCGGCCCTGCTCGCGCGAGTACTGAGTATCACAGTGTTCTTCTTCTTGACCGACTCCTCGTGGTTGCACACCATGCAGGTCTCCACAAATGACACCAGGGTCCGCGACTTAAGGGCCCGGGCAATGGGCAGGGCAGCCTCCAGGGCGTCTTTGGTCTGCTCCAGCTTGTGCACGACGGCATTCGCCTTGACTATCTGCACCACATTGAGGAACTTCCAAAGGTTGCTATTGCAGTTCTTGGACTCTTTCACGCCCTTGCGGGCAACAAATGCGCACTCGGAGTGATGGCCCTGTTCCAGGTGGCACTGAGATATCTGGTGCATCAGATAGCACTTCTCGATCGAGTACTTGGCAAAGATCATTCTGTGCTCGAGGCGCGCCAACAGTCTCCTAAGGGGCAACAAGCGTGTTTTTACAGTATGAGAAACGGGACAAAATGTGCTCTTACTTGGCCCTCATGGTGGCGGGGTCCTGGAGGTCCGGCTCCGGGTGGGTGGAGCGATCACCAAAGATGAACGACACAAATTCCATCAGCTTGTCCGTTGGCAAATGCAGTAGCCTGAGGATCGACGATGGCTCGTTGGGATTGAAGCGCTTGGGGGGCGTCAGTTGTTCGGCCAGGGCCAGGGCCAGGGTGTTGTACATCTCGTTGAGGAACTCGAACTTCCAGCACATCACGCGGTGCGTCTTCTTCACCACGTAATCGCCCATCACCTCCTCCACGAATTTGGTCAAAGTCTGTGGGGTGGGGACAATAGGTTAAACATTAATTGGCCCATTCCCCATCGGATGTGCTGTTCACCTTGACCCTCTTCTCCTTGCGCAGCACACGAATGCGCTTCAGGGCCGCGTTCATGGTGCGGTATGTCTGGTACTGTACGTGGTAGAGGAAGGACTCGCGGTACCGGTCCGACAGCTTCTTGTTGCGATACTTCATGAAGTTCACGTAATACAAAGGACTACGCGATTGTAACATTTTCTGCGGAAGAGCAAAGGGAGTTGGCCTGGGACAACAGCTGATCGTGTGTGATCTCTTCTCACCATAAACTTGCGCACAATCTCGTACTGCTTGACACTGATCTTGTTCAGAAAGTAGGAGGACTCCCTGCACTGGGACAGCAGGAGGGCGGGATTACTGAGCAGGCTCTTCATGAACAGCACATCCACCCAGGACTCGTTCAAGTACGTCTGATGGAAGATATTGAAGGCTCGCTTCCGGCGCGCAATCTCCAGTGGGGAGAGCAGCACCTCCTCAATCTCGGGTATGCTGACAACATCGCATTTGTTCTGCTCCCGCAGCACCTTCCACAAGGGCCGCTTGTCCACTATCTCGTTGGCCTTCATCAGATCGTTCACAATTTGGACTGTCCTGGATTGTTTCGAGAAGAATGCGGTCATCGCATCACCCGTACAATCTTTGATTACCTCGTCCACCTGAGAGCAGAGAGCATTGAATGAGAATAGAACTGCCATCCCAAAGATCAATGCGATTCCCTACCACCACCAAGCGGTTCTCGAAGCTCCTCGTCTTGTTCCCCGTGAACTGGCGAATGTTGTTGTGCATCTCGGCCTTGCTGTTCTCGAACTGATTGAGTTCGTAGAGTGCATCGCATATTTCCAGATTGATGTAGGCCTTCTCGCCACTCGTCCTTCGCGCCATTCCTGCACACAAGGCACAAAGGTTGGCTCGCTCAGTCGCAGACTCTCTCTCTCTCTCTCTCGCGGATGCTCTAATACTCACTCGCAGCCTCGCGGCTGTCCAGCAGGGCACCCTGCGTTTGGGCCGCCTTCCGCTTGCTCTGGCAGCGCTTATACATCGTCATGTGATCCTGGGCATCCAGCTCGAGGGCCTTGTTAAAGTAGTGCATGGCAAAGTTCTCCCTGCGGCGGCGGGAGTAGTAGCCGCCCCAGTCCTTGTAGATATGCTGCTCGATCTCTGGCGGCCAGTCGATCTTCTCCCATGGATTCACGGCCTCTCCCACACCCACCTTGGGCGCACCCACGATCGATGTCATTGTATTTTTGTGGGAATATCCTTTTGCGTTTCCCCCTGCTGTTATAATTGAATTATTTTGTTGGAGTTTGAAATGTGAATAAAATGATTTGCTTGTAAAAGGCTTTAAAGGCTTTAAGTGTACTGTGAATTTAAAAAATGTCTCAAAATAAATGCCAAATAAAATTTCAATTGAACCCTGAGGTAAGCTGACTAAAATAAATAAAATCACACCATATATACCAGCTTATACATACATACATACATGCATACATACATATGTATATTTCCAACCGCAAATTATAGTTTTGCCTCGTTTTCATTTGTGCCACTGAAGGCGTACCTTCGTGTGTGTGTGTGTGTGGCAAGTGGCAAGTGGCAAAGGCGTATACGTTTCCTCTTCAATTTTGAATTCTGTCACACTTCTAATAGGCGCCTTGCGGCTCCGTTAAAAGCCACGCAAGGCTGAACTGTGCACCCAAAACATGTGATTAAAAGAGGAAAGCGGAAAATGTTATGGAAAATTCAACCGCAACTCAAAAGTGACAGAAGTGGCACACACACACACACACACACAGGGAGACTTCACCTCCATTCCAAGCGAAAGAAATCACTTGAAAAAAAATCGCCTATAAATTGTGCTTCACACCCCACACACCCCACACAGTTCACAGCTCAAATAGGAATAGGAACAATGAAATTAAAGCCGTCGGCTGCGATTGGGGCATGGGAACGGGCGAGTGGGCGCTAAGCCACAAAAGGCAATGATAAGTGTCGGAAGCGGGCGCGGATTCCGGGTAGGGGCAACTCAACGCCATCATAAATCTAGTGTGTAATAAATTTAAACAGCAAAATCATGCAAAAAGCAAAAGCAGGTTCTGGGCAGGGCTCACGCACAGGACTCCGAAGGACTCGAAGGCCTCACAGGACTCTGGTCACAGGACGAAGGACGAAGCACTAGCTGGGTCGCTCCACAATGACTACACTTTAGCGGCAAATTTGTGCGCATTGTCGCCGTATTATTTGCTATTATTTATGCCTTTTCCACTATTTACTTCCTTTCTTGGTCCTCGCCACGCCACGCCATCCATTGGTGGGTTGGTGGGTTTGTTGGTGTTGGGGATATGCAAAAGTGGCCACTCCTTGGCCAGGACCAAGGCCTGCCTCACACACACACACACACACACTCACACCACAACATGGAAAATCCCCGCTCCCATGCCCCACCGGCCGACACTTATGGCGTGCTGAGCATTTGCGCTTGGAGAGGCTTGCGTGGATTTTAAACATTTTCACACAACATTCTCATATTTAGACGTCGCACATCAGCGCCGCTTCCACCCCAAAACACCAAAAACCACCTCGATTCGAGTCGACTCGAGTCGGTTCGGTTCGGTTCGGCGATAATGTAAGCCAGAGCCATAAGCCCAAAATAAAGGACACCCGAAAGCGGACCGCGCACCAACAACATGCAACAGCACCACGCGACCCCAAAGAACGGAAAATCTGTGAAATGTAATTGTTACCATGAAAGCACGGCCGAGGAGGCACAGGATCTGGTTGTGACTGTGGCACATGCAGAGCTCCCCTGCCCAGGCACACACACACACATATACCCCCATTCGGTTAAGAGCATTTTAAGTAAGTTTGTGTGGTGGGCAAGGGACAGGAGAATGGGGAATGGGGAACGGGGGAAGCCATCTCTGTGCCACATTCGCAGTTTGATAATCGCCGTGCCAGGGCCGAGGTCTGGGCCTGGGGCCTGGGCCTGGGCTGCCTTCGCTGATATACAAATTGGCTTTTGCAATGACTTTATATATTTTACGAGCTGCGGCCCTTTTTTTTTTGGAGTACGGCACGTCCTTTCGCTTTCCCGCTTGCCACGAATGCCTCATGTGAGTGGATACTCTGTCTGGGGCTGTGGCTGTTTGCCCTCGCACTCTGATGCGATTATAAAGGAAAATTGATGCAGATAAAATTAATTGAATTCAAAAAGCCCAATCCACTGGCCCCTGTCCCTGTCCCTGCCTGGCCCATTCCGCGCTCAACTTATTCCATTTTCTTGCAAAAGTGCCTGGGACTAGGTTCCCTGCTTTCAACGAATAGTTTTTCGCTGATTTCAGATCTGGGTCAGGCGGCAGTTGCGTTGCCAATTACAAACCCTGACGTGAGTCGCTTCATCCTGAATGGAAATCACTTGTAATCTGGCAAGAAAGGAAGGCCATAATTGTCACTCAATTAAAACCACAAATTAAGTTCCTCTGGGAAGTAGTTTCCCTTTGGTTTCAATCGAATTTCAGTCACAAATTAAATTCCAAGTACGCGTAAAATAAATGCGGAATTCCACAAATTTTCTCACAAGAGTCGCTCAGTCTGAAGTTCCACATAATTCTGGAGCAATCTAATCACTGGGTTGCACAATTCAATTATCTCTGGAATAGATAGATTACAGGTTAAAAATAAAAGTTCCCCAGATGTTTATCGCCAGCATATAAAAGGGGGACCGACCTTAGAGGGGTTTTCCTGGCATGACTAACAGGCGGCTATACTCGTATTCATTTACAAGGTCTTACTCATCGCCATGGTCATAATATTTGGCCCAATATTTGCTTTAGTTTATCGATTAGCAAGTTATACAAGCAGATTAGATAGGACTTTATCTATATGAGTGCGGGAACGGACAGATTTGATAAGCGCTAAAAAGGCTGTCGATTGGGAGTTAGTTGCCCACAAGTGCTGGTTCGTTTCGCACGTGCATTTCAGTAAGCAAAACTCTTGAAAAATACAACAATGCCACCACCGCACGGAGGACCCGGAGGACATGGAGGACATGGAGGACACGGTGGACATGGACATGGTGGACCACCACATCATGGCGGCCACCACGGACCGCCGCATCACCATGGACCACCCCACCATCACCACGGACCGCGTCGACCCTGCTGCCTGTGCTGCACGATATCCTAAATGTTTTCCCATTGATTAGTTTAAATAAATCCACCAGAAGCGGCTTTCGTACATTTAAATGCGCTTACTTTAATAATCAGACTAATTAGTGTAATCGAGTGCCTTGAGTGCTGGGCAATTAATGGCTGTCTAATGCCAATGTGTCACCTCGCAAGGCTTTAAAACCTCAAAAGCCACAGCCACAGCTACACGGCCACGGCGGTTACTCTCCTTATACATACATATATGTATATACAATGGCACGAGGCTATGTGTGTGTGCGTCTGTTATGTTGCGTGTCGAATATTAGAGTGTGGGAGTGGGAGTGGGCCCCCCCCCACACGCATCGCATTTGAGGTCCAACTGACAACTGGCCTCCCCACTAATTTATAGTCAGTTGAGCTGCTTGCTGCTGCCGAAGACCAGAAGACATACAAGTGCCATAAATTCTGCAAAAGGAACACATTATTTATACTGTCAACCAGTCTATATTTTCGGTACATTTCGGTATATTCCGGCGAGGGAAATGCGCACTCTCAGAGACCTAACCGTAAATAAGTGCATTGCCAAGCAGCCGTTCGCCCTGAAATAAGTCTTCATTAGCGGTTAAAATGCTGACTGGCTGACCCACAAAGGCCTTAAGTCTGTGGATCTGGTGGGGGGTGTGCTCCACGATGCTGGCCAGGCAATGCGCCTGGTAATCGACTACTTTTCTTCTCATATATATGTACGATATACTCTTTATATTGAGCTGTCGCCCCGTCGCAGCCACAGAAAGAGCCGCAACCGTAGCAGCGTTAAAGCCGGAAATGGCCAAACAGTAACAGCCAACAACTGTGGGCAGAAAAGCGACAACGCGGATGGCGGAAAAGAGGAAAATGCTTAAAGTTCAAATTAAGCACAACAGCTGGCGAAAAATTGAATTGAAAGCAGAAGCAGCAGCAGCAGCAGAAGCAACAACAGCAGCACCCCAGTCCCACCAGTCGCTGCCGAAACAGCCAACCAGCCACCCCCCAAACACAGCACCCAAGGCATATTCACGACAGCAGGGGGAAAAACAGCAAAGAGAAAACACAGTCAAGGGAAAACCTTAAAAGTAAGGAAAAACCCGAAGCACGCTTTCAGGCGATGAGGCAAGGAAACAAAACGATGTTGCCGCTTGCTTCGTGCCTAACAGCTGGCAGAGACGACTCTCTCTGAGAAGACGCTCTCTCTCTCTCTCTCTCTCTCTCTCGGTTTCTGTACGCTGAGAGCGCGGACACACTGGCGCCATTGTGTGGCATGGCGTTCAGTTTGGGTACTAAGCCCACGCATGTGCCACAATATTGAGTGGAATCCAAAGTAACAAAGTTTTCTGGTTTTAGTCCTTCGAAGCATGTTCAGTGGATGCCAATAAATGGGATTGCGCTGCTGCAAGGCCCCTCCAAACACAACACCAATGAAAGACGTCTTATCGAATTCTTTGAACAGGTTATTGTTCCATAATCAAATTCTGTTTTGATAAGTGAATGGAGCATGGAAAAACGGGGCCCTGGAAGACGTCGGACCCTCTACTAATCCTGTGTTAATCCGCTTCTTGCTGTGTAAACTTTTTCCAAATTGTTTTTTTGTAGCATTGTTGAATTATATTCGCTCTTCCTGCATCATTTCCCGTGCTTCACATGCACAATGACCTAAAAGTGGCTGCCACTAATGGCCCCATCCATGGCATTATCCGTGAGTACGTAATTACATATGCAACTGCTTGCGTTGTCTGGGCCCCGTGATGATGCCCGTGCCCGAGGAGTTTTCCTTGTGCCTTCTGCCAAGCAAGGCAGTTCCAGTGCATAAATTATGTTGGGCCAAAGTGCAAGCAGAGGCTATGTGTGTATGAGTATGTGCAACATAAACCTTGCCACTAAGCGACTCACCAGACGGACTTTAGTTTGTTGGAGAGATTAACGCCTTCATTTTGTTTTTTATGCCACACCAGCACACTCACAACGAGTACACCCATACATAGAAGTACACATACTCACATACATATACATCCTTTCTGACACTAAGCCGTCTGGGAGGAGCATGAAAACTGCAAACTGCAACGGAAGCTGCACCTCATTCTCATCCCCAGACCAAGTTCCATCTTTTTCCGCCTCCGCCTCAGCCTCCGCCCCAGCCCCTGCCACTTTTTGGCTAGAGCACTGGCGCACATGGCGGCCACTCCACTGTGCCGAGTACAGTGACAATAATACTCATAAGCGCCACAACAGCTGCAGGAGCAGGGGCAACTGTTGGTCCGGATCAAATGGTGGAATAGTGGAGGCCAGACCGCTCGGATAAGGTGCGAAAGATAGTGGAATGTCTGTGTATGTGTATGCGGGTGGTATGTGGATGTGTATGTGGCACGGAACGGAACGGAACGGCAGTGTCTGTTAATGTTAATGATAATGATGACAGTCTGTCGCTGGCTTTGGCTGCACTTGCTCTTGCTCTTTATGCCGACGCTGGAGGACTCTCGGCGCGCTAGTTAAAGTTTTAATTTGGCATATTATAGTGGCTGAAGTGGCACAGCAGGTGCTCGTTAAATATGCCCACAGAAACACATGGCATTAGAGCACGAGCATCCACAAGCATCCAGCACTCGCGAAAGCATAAAAAAAAAAAAAACAGAAAGAGGAATCTGAGCCAGAGTCTGGAGACTTATGGCATTGAACTTAGGGGCGGGCGTGCGGTCTTTTCACTGCCCTCCAAGTGGGTGTATCGGCACGCTCGAGTGGCTCCAAATGAATAGTTGAAGTGGCGACGCTGCATCCAGACGGATGGTTGTTGCAGCATTATAAATCACATATTCATCGCAGTATTATGGGCATAATTGTCGGCATGGCGGCACTTAAAGGTTTATAGATTAAACAGGAAAAAATCGCCATCTCTGGCCCGCTTAATTAGAAACAATAAATATTTAACTAATCTATCTGTGCACCTACGATCCTATTATCTTCGATATCTGGCTGCTCAAACAGATAATACGATGGTCACGATTTGGATGTTAAATATATAACAAAAAAATGGAAGCTATGAATGTTAAGTACACGTTAACAGCGGCATTAAACCGGATGACAGAAAGAAAAAAGTTACAGTTTAGCTGCGTGTTTTTAATTGGAGATATTTGATGGTTTTTTGCCATGATTTACTTCTCTCATCCATGCCGATTGGGAAGTGAATCCCCTTCCACCCACACAGTAACGTAGTTGGGGCAGATTTATGGCCAACGATAAGCTGGGGGGGGGGGCAAGACAGCGACAGTAATTGACTCGTATAACGCTGGGCACTATAAAAACTTATATGTATAACTCGTTATGTGTGCAGCGACGCTCCGCACTTTGGCAGATGAGGTGATCATAGATACGGCCACGGCCATGGCCATGGCCGCAGTCAAAACCAGCCCAGAGTCCACTCTGTCTATCAGTGTTCTTGCGGCTTCTAGCTAAATACATTAGGCAAATTATTTGCAACTTTCCACCACCATTTGAATATAAAACAGCCAAAGGGAGGACGAGACAAGGCGATTGGATATATATTTTGGCAAAGCATTTTCAATTCAATCAAACGCCCACACACACACACACACTTCTTTTGGCCACACACGTACACATGATGGCATTTAAATAAAAATAAACAGGGAAAAGGAAATACTTTGAAACACTTTTAAGCATCATTACATTAGCAAATTTTCCCGATTTCGGGGGCGGGCAGGAGCGGTCTGTATCCGATTGAGAGGAAGGATTCTGGGAAATTTTTCTTTTCTTTCTTTGTGAGCGGAAAGTACGCGCTGCCTTTGGAGTGGATTGGCATGTGTGCAATGGGTGTGGCAGAAGCAATAACAATACACACACACACACACACACACACACAGATTATATCAATGAAAAGCTCTTCTTTCGTGCGCTTGGAGTCTTTTTTGGCATTTTCTAATTTCCATTTGAGGGGAATTGCAGAAAATGTAATTATTGGCGAGACCGCTGACAGGACCAACACGTAAACTGTTGGCCAACATTTGGTGTAGTTGTCGTTATAATAAATAACATCAACTGTCGGACCCTTGACACTTGACATCAACTGCAACGGAAGCGGCAAACAGCAACAGGAGAAGCAAAAAAGGAGCTTACAGCCAAAGACTCGAACCCGGATCCGGATCGGGCTCCGTCTCTGGGTGCAGTGCATGCAAAGTGGCAGAAAAACAGTTGCCACTGCCGCATATTTCAAATGTGGACACATGTAAAAATGCTGAAGCGCTGATAAGGACATTAACATTTGCCCCCCAAACGGATGGCGGGGTAAGGGCTTGCAGAGGCTTCCTTCCGTATGCGAAACATCAAAAAAAGCGGAAAAACCTTCACCCCGTCGCTTTTGACACGCAAATTTATAACGGCAGCAGCAACAAAAACTTGTGGCCAAAACACACAACACACCAACCTCCCAACCACCCAACCACCAAAGCAAACACCCCTCCCCAGCCAACGGTGGATCCACAGGAAAAGAGAGGGAAAGAGAAGCACAAATTTGGAACGCATACAAATGCAATTTAAATTTACTTATTTAGAACCCCTGGGAATTCCAAATTATTTGCCTTTTCACGCAAATTTAGCGACCATTTTTCTAACAGAAATACGGCAACACAAACAACAACAAAAAAAACAAAACAAAAAAAAGGCCCAGACAGGTGGGCCTCAACCACTGTGGGGTTCGGTTCGCATAGTTGGACAGCGCTGCTGCTCCCCATAGACGTCCCACTGACATGTGTTTCCCCAGACCGATTCTTGGGCGCAACTTTTTCCAACTTGGTTTTCTTGTGTGTGTGTTTTGGGTGGGGTGGGGTTTAGCGATTAGAAAATGCTTTTCCCCAAGCAAAAGTAACCCAAAGACTCTGACAAATGCTCTTTGGCTAGGATATTTGTGCTCTTGTTGTTGCCTCTGTGGTGATTAATGACGTCGAAAGCTGAGCGGGAGTTTTCCGTGGCATGGTGGGTCTGGGTCTGGGTACCGAGGTTGGTTCATGGCTGGTGGCTGCGGGGGAGCCTGCTGTGTGGGGGTGGTGCGGTGAGGGGATGCCCTGGCAGCTTAATTTAAAATGAAAATTGTACTTAATTTTCAGCTGGAGAGGGTAGGGTGGGGGGAGGTTGAATTCCAGGGTATGGGGTGGGGGGAAGTTTGTAGACTGATTATGTTTTTCAAGTTTGGTTTTTGGCCAAACTCTGCAGCAAATATGCGCTGGGTAAGCCATCAAAGGTCATCCGTAAGTCAACTCCATTGCAGTGCCCTGAAAAAGTTACATTAAAAATCACATAATTTATAGAGAATATTTTGCTATAGAAACAAAAAGCAATGATCAGTAAAATGCTCAAGCATGTCAAATATATATAAATGAATCCTTTCCTTTTATGAGCCATTATTATGATAAAGTTTTCGGGTTTCTTGAAAACTTGTGCTCGTAGACAAATATCCTGGCATACTCAAGTGTACGTAAATACATACAGATGTACAGACGTACACTTGTATGCCGGGTCAGAGTTTGTCATTCTTGTGGAGTGTTGTCCCCCCGCCACAGGCAAATTGAATTAAGATTACCACACGAGGATTTCAAAGTATTTCGAGAGAGAAGTCAAACCAGCTTTAGTTTATTATTATTATTGCGTGAGGGAAAAGTTTCGACCGCAGCTGGGGAAATGGAAGGACGTGGCTGCAGATGTGTGTGTGTGTGTGGGTGGAGATGAAACATTTTTCAATCGCAATCTTAAGGTTTATTTCTTTTGCGCCAAAGCTACTTTATTTTGACAGCAGACAAACAAATGTCAGAATTGAAATTAAAAGGAAAGCAGCGACAGGCGGCAGCGGCAGGCGGGAGCAAAGACAGCAGCAGTCAGTGGAAAACTTGTGAAAAACACGCCAAACCCGCAGAATAATACCAAGTCGGTGAGGAAGGAGGGGTGGGGTGGGCGACCGCAGTACGCCATTCCAATCAGGAACTCCAGCACTGTCTTGGAGGCCCGGACCCATCCTCCAGTCCATCAACGCCCGCCCATACGCATTGCTTGGCTGACTTTCTTGCATTCCCGTGTTGGATCTGGTTCGACTTCGACTTCGGCTTTGGCTCTCCTCCTTCTGCTCCTTGGTGTGGTGTGGTTTGGTTTGCTTTTCCGTTGTGTTTTCCGTTTTTCTTTTCATTTTCTTGTGTTTTTTTGTTTTTTTTTTTGTACATTTCACACAGCGTGAAATTTTCTAAATGTCATTTTGCTGTCATCTCGTGGATAATAAGATTACAACTACGTTGAAATAATAGGATTCAAATGAAAAAACTTTGCCGTCGTCTGTCTCCTTTTGCGCGTCTCAACTTTCAATACGAGAGCTACAACACCTCCACTGCGATGTATATCTGGATCTGACTCTCCGACTGGCTGACTCTCTGACTCGGTTGGTGGGTCTGGGTCTGGGATTGGTATTGGGATGGGGATTTAGCAGCAGCTGGATTGGGGCGCAGTGGAAAGTTTCCGTTGCGACTGTTGATAGAGTACCGCGATAATGAGTGAACAGCGACAGCGAGTCAACTCCCTCTACCTCTCCCAACTTCTACTCCTAGCCCGACCTATGATCTTGAGACCACATCCATGTCTGTGCCATGTCTATGTTCTATTTATATAATTGATTCGATTCCCCATCGCGAACCGACTCAAAGACGAGTGTCTGTGGCTTGCGCACTGCGGTTTAATGAACCATGCTTTCGTAGAGAACAGGCCTGGCTGGGCCTGTGCCTGTGCCTCTGCCTGGGCCTGGTCGGAGTCTGCCTAGCCTCGGGCCAAAGTCCGATGAAAGTACTTGCCAAGATGGCATACAAAGCCTCGCAAATCGCAAAAGAAAAAAAAGAAAAACTACAAGACGAGACAAAACAAAACCTAAACCAAAACAGAAACCACCATCAGCATCAGCTGGCTTAGATGGATCACTGCCGGGGGTCATAAACACAGAAACCGGCTCTCATTACCGTTGGCTGCGGGTATAAAAGACGCCGGCGCGGCCCACACTGACATCAGAACCCAGCCAACGTTCTAGCAAGTCATTCGAAAATATGAACTCCTACTTTGTGATCGCTTTGAGTGCTGTGCTCGTGGCCCTGGCCCTGGCCTCGGTAAGTCTGAAGCCCAGAGAGTCATCTTCTGTTTCTGAGTTGTGAAATTCAACTTGAATTTGTCTGATTGCAGCCCATCGAACTGAATGACGATCAGAAGGCGCTGGCCAAGCAGCATGGCGAGCAGTGCTCCACGGAACTGAATCTGACCGAGGAGGAGGTGGCCAAGGTGAAGGCCAAGGACTTCAAGAATCCCACAGAGAACATCAAGTGCTTTGCCAACTGCTTTTTCGAAAAGGTCGGCACCCTGAAGGACGGCGAACTGCAGGAAGAAGTTGTCCTCAAGAAGCTGGGCGCCTTCATCGGCGAGGAGAAGACCAAGGCGGCCCTGGACAAGTGCCGCTCCATCACGGCCGACAACAAATGTGATAAGGCTGTCAAGCTCCACGAGTGCTTCGAGGAATTCAAACCCGATGCCAAGGCTTAAACTACATAGACAACAGCAACGAAAAAATATGAAGTCTGGCAAAATGTGATTGATTTGTGTGCGCAGTGAATAGGATAAATATTTGAATACACAATTTGTCAGAGAAAGCTTCGTGTTTGATTTCTAAATCATACTTCAAAGTGAGCTTAAGTGGGGGAACTGCTATCACGGCTTAATTGTGGCCTCCTCATGCCCTGACTAGGACCAAATCCCGAGCTCAAACAGCTTATTCAGTTTCTAGTTTTCAGTTTGCATCATTTTATATACATAGATTTACAGCGTCCCACCCCCCACACACGATGCGGGCATGAAATGCATTAATAATTCTATTATGTGATGGGATCGCACTGGCTTTAGGCCTTGGCTCCCTTCACCACGCACTTCTCAAAGTTGTATACGAAATCGCAGGTGGTGGCCGCCTTGGTGCCCCCACAGCTGGCCAGCAGTGCCCTAAACTTGTCGGCGGAGAGGCTGCTGAAGCGGAGCTGTGCGAACTTGAGGATCATGTCGTTGTTGGGCTTCGAGTCGGCGCTGAGCAGGCCCATCTTTTTGTACAGGCAGCTGTGGTAGCACTTGACGGCCTCCGAGGGATTGGCCACCTCTTTGTCCGCCGTCAGCTGTGCAGCATCGGCAGCCGCTATGTTCAGCTCCTTGATGCATGCCTCCTGATTCTGCTTATAGGCAGCCATATCTGCAGCGCTCTGGCCCTGTAAAGGTACGGATGTAAATGGAAGAATTGTCGCCAGGATAATTAGCCTTGAGTACGCACCGCCACAGGCTCGTAAAGAGCAAGTCCCAGGAACAGTATCATCACCAACATATTCACGTTCATCTCGATGGAATTTTCTCTTCTGTCTGACATAATTTTGTTAGCCCAAAGCGGCTTAAATAGACAGGTGACAGTGCCATTTTTAACCGCCTAATTGAACCAATTTAGTTATTAACACACGATTATTCAATTTAAAATAATATTTATTCAATGTGTTCGTTTCTTGGCAATTTAATGTCGAAGGTAATCACCGCCGCTTGAATTAATCTATCGGGTCAGTGAGTTTATACTCACTTTAGTTTTTTTATTTTGGACATTTTTTTTAGTTTTATTTTAAATTCTCGATTATTGTTTGTTAATTGTTGTATGTGTCTGTCAGCTTTTTTTAATACACTAAAATGTTGTTTGGCTTGGAAATAAATAAGCATAGCTCACGGCATTGCATCCTCAGTTCTGGGATACTGATTTTCCTTCTGGTGGCAGAATCATGAAAATTTATGCGCTATGTATATTTTTTTCCGAGTTGAATATCAATGCAAATAAAATCTCACCAATTTAGTTCAGGTATTAAATGAGAAAAATATTATTTTACACTTTTTTTGACGCCATTGCAGCCATCCGAATTATCAGGAATATGTAAGAGCACATTCTGCAAAATTCTACATTAATTTTACATGTATTCTACACAAAAATAATTACTAGCCGCAGCCCCAAAAATATACTTCAAAGTTATATAATGTCAATCGCTAGATATTCCATCCCAAAAGTATTTTATGCTTTATAGTAGACATAATAATCAAAAGAACTTAAATCTGAAAGTATCGGTTTGCAAGCGTATCTATTTCATTTTATTTCATTTCATTTCTATTGGATTTATAATATTTTTACACGGACTTTACAAGCTCAAACATGAATGGATTATTTATTTGGATAAATAAGGAGAATATTATTACATATTTTTGCATTATACCTGGAAGAAGGCTATTGTGTGCGGGCTATACAAGATTTACTCGTCCTTCGTGTCGGCTTCATTGGAGTGCTGAGTGCCATCGATGACTTCGCCGCCGGACTCCTTCTCGCCTAGTTCAGCCTCAGCTATTTCGCTCCGCTCGATTATATCCCTGATCCGCTGCTCCGCATCCATGGTCTTGAGGTGGTTGTAGCAGAGGTGCAGCTTATAGGCCGCCTCGCAGCGGGTGCGTCCCTGGAGGTCGCCGCATTCCTTCACCGCTGGCTTCTCCTTCTGCAGCATGGTCTGGACCTGTTGCCGGAACGCCTGCTCCAGCAGGATATTGTATCGGTACACGTCCAGGCTCTCATACAGGCAGCTCACGAAACACTGTAGCGGCTCGTTACCCTTGAGGTCCAGGTATGGCATCTGCGAACTCATGCCGTAGTCCCCGTCGAGTATACTGTTTTCGCCGGGGGCTATGGGGGCCGCAATCTCATTCTCGGTGGTGTAATCGTTGTTCAAGAGACTCATGTGGAAGAGCTTCAGCTGCGACATGGATATCTCCGTCCTGCGGATGCACGTTTGCAGCATGTCCTCGGTGAGTGTTCCCTTCGTTGAATTCTGCTCGTCCTCGTCCACGGATCGGGTCAGGGACATGTTCAGCGAGACGGTCAGCGATCGGCTCTGAAACGTGGATGGAGTATAAGCCTGGTGGTTCTCTTGATATTCTCCCTCTGAGCCTCGATTCAAATTACCCATGCCAGTGGCAGCAGATTGCTGACGCCCAGGCACAGCAGCAACAGAAATTGGTCTCGAAATAACATTGAACTGGTCTTCCACTGGAAACTTCAATCTGGCCATTGAGTCGACTGCTTTTATAGAGCTCCCCCCATGGATCATCTGCTGTAAATTGCACATTTTAATTGCAATTTAATCGGCGGCGATCGGAGCAATCTGCAAACCATTTTAACGCCTCACTGGCTGATCAGTGACTGATCTTTAATGGATCGCGTCCCCAAATGATGGCCGTTTCCAGTAATTATACGTTTGCAGATCCCAGAACGAAGCCACGCCACGCCCCAGTGCGCACCCAGAGCACCCATTTGGCATGTGAGAACTTCCATTAGCATTGGCCCAAAACATATTTTGTCAGCGCCGTGTAATGGGCTCTATAATCGATTTGGCTAATGACAGCCGAACAAACCGATCTGTGCAAAAAAGTTCAAGCTCAATTTGACAGATGAATCAACAAGCCAATGGGGTGCCCAGCACCCACCCGCCCACTTTGGAAAAGTCGACAGAAAAGCTATTAAAATATAGATTCTATATGCCCCCACCCGATGAAAGGTTTGTTCTACACTGTTTGCCAATTTAATCGTCTGCAATTCTATACTCTATATAATAACTATGAGTACTGACTGACAATCCTTCTGTCTGCCTTACTCTTACCTGCCTTTTCCCCTTTCCCCAGTGTCCTCAAAGGCCAACTCTAATTGATGAACTTAATAACAGACTTGTGCTGATAATCAGGAGTCAGGAACAGAACCACATTACCCTCGAACCCCGAAACATATTGGACTTTAAGATCAAAGAGAAGAACACAAAAGAGAGACAGATAAATAGAAGAGCAAGAGAGCCAATACTCACTCGTAGCGTGGTTTTTATTATAAAATTAAATTACATTAATGCGAGAACCGCAGGCTAACAGTTCCCACTACCACCCGGGCCAGGCCAGGCCAGGCCAGCCACCACCCACACACCAACCCCATTGAAGCGAATCATTTCTTTGCTCTTACATTGAAAGCAAAGTGGCAGGAACAGGACAAGAAGGCAGAGACAGGCCAGGCAAGAGGAAAGTCTGTCGCTCAAGACAAAGGCCAAGTCAAGCCATCAATGTGTTTGTCCCTTTGGCAGCGTCCACGGATCACGGACCACGGACCACAGGACCCACGCCACTGCACAAAACTAAGACTGTGTGTGTGTGTGTGTATCCCGGACCAGCAAACACGGAGGATATCACGCATGTTGGTTTCTTTGAAAAGCCGCCGGGACAAGAACGGAGACAGCGACAGGGACAGGGACAGGGACAGGGAAAGGGAATCGAACAGGAGCAGCGATGGGACAAGGAGCTGTCTACTTAAATGCATTAGCCAGGAGAGTTGAAGCAGAGTTTGGGAGATGGTGGGGGGGGCTGCTGCCTTTTTAATAGACATTAGTAAACGCATCACTGATTATGCCGAAGCTCTTGTGCGGACAACTGCAACTGAAACGGATGCTAAATGGAAGTGACATGACAGCCCATCCCTGACATCCCTGCCAGGCCCATTCCAGCTGTCGAGAGATCCAGCCAGACGGAGCAGACGGAAGTGACAAAATGAATTATAGACGCCAAGTCCAGCCAGTGCGGCGCCGTCAGTTGTGTTCATCCCACTAGCTAATGGCTCTGCTCCAAATTCCCCAAAGCAATTGTCCCCAAACGTGCAAACCACCTGACCCACGACCAATTCAAGCCAACCGAGAACCGAGAACCGAGCTTAACTGGTGACTGCAATTGCGACACGTGCTCAATGAATGTTTAATGATTTGTTAATTGGATTTGGGCCTTTAAAAAGGCGTACCATCCCCTTGCTCCCCTGTCCGAGTCATTGGTTTTGGATATTAGGCCTCATCCTCGTATGCGCCTTCGCCTTCAAGGTCTTTTGTGGCATAAAGTTTACCGGGCGGCGCTCATCAATATTTATGCAATACGCTCGTACATGAGCGTGCAAATGCCTTGGGGATCTGGGCATCCCCGCCCAAGGACTTAAGCCCCTGACGACGGTCTGACAGTGGGCTCTAATGATGGCCCACTGTTATGCAAATGGCTCATATTCGTACTCGTACTCGTACGCGTACAGTGGATACAGCATCCAATGACAAGTCAAATATGCATAAGTAATTATATGTATATAGGAGTTTAGGCTTTTTATTTCCTTTGAGATGCCAAGGCATCTCAGGGGCTGGGCTGATGTATGAGCTGGTTCTGGCTGCAAAGTTTCAATAAATTTCTATACCTCAGAAAGATGGGTGCAGAAAGAGGTTTAAGAATCAGCTGCATGGACTTAAACTTTTGCCATTTTACATTTACTTTTGGGCTGGACAAACAAGTGCTTAACAATTCACAGATACAATATCCTTGCACATAATACATTTTGAAGGTACTGAGATGGACTGAGAGGTGGGCCTGGATCTGGGCCTAGATCTGGGCGTGCTGCTTGTGATAGCACTGGAACAGCTGGTAGGCGGTGTCACAGTTGTCGGCGCCCTTCAGCGAGTCACATTTGGCCTGGACAGCCTTCACATTGTCCTCGCCGGCCAGTGGGCCCAGCTTGGCCAGCACGATATCGGGCTTGATCTGGCCATTGGCCAGAAAACCAGCCTTCTCCAGGAAACAGTTGGCGAAACACTTGACCTTGGGATCGCTATCCTCAAAGTTGCCGGCTCGCAGGGCCTGGGCTTGATCCTTGGTGATGCCCTCCTGCTGGATGCACAGAGCACCGTTGGCGTGGGCCGTGGCCTTCTGCTCCTCTGAGAGCTGCAGATCCTGCAGCGAGAAGGGTATTATGGGGGCGAGTTAGAGCTGCAATCCAACAGTGCGTATGGGCGATACTCACAGCAACGGAGACAGCCACCAGGGCGGAGAGGACAATCAGGAGCTTCATTTTGCTGGTCGAGAGATGGTGTCGGAAACCCTTTGGTATCGCAACTGTTGGCCCCACTCGGCTGGCCACTAGCTTTTATTTGATTTTGCATGCCGCTCGACTGCCTTGTGCTTTTATTATCGCTTTTCGCTTTTTGTGTTCGCTCTACTCCGCTGACCACATTGTGCCCGCCCCAAATGTATCTCTTATATGTATGTGGAGCTCTGTTAGTTTATTTTAATCGTGCCTTAATGATTCTCTCTCGATTTTTTCGCTTTGTTTTAGGTCCGTGCCTGGTCCCTCTGATCCCACTGATCGCTGCACTGAGTCATCTGTTTGCAAGTCTGGCCTAAAGTCCACTCGATACGCGAGGTACCTGCTGCCCGCTGCCCGCTGCCCGCTCCACAACCCCATGCCCCCATGCTCCATGCCATTATTCAGCGCGTCAAGTGCAGTCAAGTAGATTGTTACGATTCCCATTGTACTGCTAATTGGCTTTAATGATCGAGACTCGTGCTCATTATAAGGCTGGGATAATTTGATCTGCATAATGTAAGTGCTAATAGTGATTTCAGATTTGGCTACCGATTAAATAAATCGACTTTTTTCGGACAGGCAGAGCTCCCAGCGCTCATCGAAGCGTCAACCGATTTGCTTTTGTAATACGAGTATATACAAAACCTTCAACTAGAGCAAAATTTCGCACTGCTTGTAAGTATACTTTTATGTAGAATCTTAGATATATAGTATTACACAACATTCATGATTTGGCAGCTTTTGAGGGGCAATAGGCAAAGCCAAAGAAGTGGAACAAAAGTAGTTCTTTGGGGGCCTTTCATTCAGTCAAGGTCAAAATACAATAACGATGTTGAAAGAAAGCAAATAAAACAGTTTCGAAGCTTTTGTAGATCTCTTATATTCTAGATAATTGAATGTACATATATTGAAAAATTATTTGGATAAATATATGTAAAGGCCAAGTGATTTCCATGAATCCCAAATATCAACAGCCTGTAATTATTATATCAATTTATTCATTAAAATCTTAGGTTGAAGATTTGTTTGATATTTGTACACAACAAGAAATAAATACTCATCTGTAAATAGTACACTAGAAATAAACCCAAGCCCAATGAGGCTTGCACTCGCATGGGGTCTCCAGAATATTTGCAGTTAATGTGTTAGTTCTATAAGTGATCGGGTGGCTCTTTCATACCGGTTTCCGAATAGTCTTGGATATGTATCTTCCACTCTCGTTTGTCTCTCTTGCTGTTGACGTAGCACAGAGTTTCTAGCCCAGTGCCAGGTGTCAAAGTCTAACCGAGGTTTGAGTCTCAAGTCCAAACATTGAACTGGTTTGCTTTGCTGATTGGACCGACAGTCTACTATATATAAATGAAGCTGCCTGATTAGTAATTAAAGTGACAGTCGAAGGAGTTGCTGATATGATATTTACATACATAATTTATAATAGTTTGAGTTGAACTCAGCCCTAAACGGTTTCGGTAATGGATGCCGAACTTTGTCCGGAGTTTTCTGGATGTTCACGTGCAACGCAGAACTTTGTATCGCTTATATTACTTATATTTACTGCTGACAGCATCGATAATTCATGACCTACTCAAACTCAACGAGTGTGTACCTGTGCCATGGATGTGCCAACTTTGGAGACAAAACTTACCCGAACAAAACTCGTAAATAGTTACGCACGCCAGGCAAAACAAAACAAAACGTCAGAACGATTATTGGGGGCCCATCGTCGCCTGCCAGGGCCAAAGCACAAATAAAATATTTAAATAGTAATAAATTCATAATGTCAACGTGTTTGTTGTTGCGGCTGTGTCTCCGGCTCTGGCTCCTCCGTAGATTTATTGACAATACTAACAGCAAACACGAATCGAGTCTAGGACCGGGATCCGGGATCAGGTATCCGGGGGACAACTCCTCAAGTAGTTTGATTTTTCTGTTGAATTCACCGCGAACTAAGAGCTCCCATTGGGTAGCTGGAGGGGAATAAAACTGTTTTATCGGAGACATGATAGGGCTGAAAGGATAGGGCGAGGTAGGAGTCGCATGCGGCTCATATATAATATAAATATTAAATACTATATGGCATGGCATAAAAATATAAACAGCACATAAAACGACAATGAAAAAACAATGGCACACGTTATTATGTGCCCGAACAAAGAACTCTGCGAGGCTAATGAAATGTCATCGGACCCCAGGGCCCCAGGGCCCCGTGTCGACTCAACCGAACTGAACTGAAATGCAAATGTCACGCGAAAAACTATTTGACGACAACATTACGTTGACATTATAATAATGCCGTCGAGTCGACCGTTGAAGGAGCTGCTACCATCACCAGTGTCCCCGACCGACCCCAACCCGATCCGATCCGATTCGTCCGTCCGTCCCCGACCTGAAGCGAAAAGCTCTGCCCGCGGTGCTGGCTGGTCCCCCCAGTCATATGCAAATTTTACGAGCTTCTCAGGGCCAGTCATAAAAGTCAACTTATTAACTGTGAGCAATTAAAAACAAAAACAATTAAATAAAACAAAACAAAACAAAAGCGTGAATTGGATTATGGCCAAAATAAGGGACAAACTAAGAGTAGAGATCTCTTGCCTGATCCAGAGTGCATTTATTTGCTTAAATATATCAGTAGGAAGGTAATCATTTGTTTACTGTTGCATTTCAGCAATTTCAAAAGTTTCAAAATCACGTGGGGCATACTATTAGCTGCTGAAAATCAATATTTTAAAGGCAACAAACACATGGAGTAAGCATATCCCCTTTTGGCATCAGTTTTGTAATTAATTGTATACAATATCTATGTTCGATAGTCGAACCTCTCACCTCACCCTAACGGCTGTGCTCTGCGGACCAGCGGCCCAATCCGCAAGCCTAGCAAAAAGCTACAGAAATTCAATTAGGCTTATCCACCCCATGCAAAAACAACAGCGCCCGCCAACCGACACCCACAAAAAACAACAGCATAACGGCTGCAACACCTGCGCAATTAATTAGTGTTTGCGGCATTAATTTCACACACAAAAAAAATGTATAAAATAAAAGATGAGAAAGGAAAACCAAAGCCAACCGCAGATAGGATAGTAAAGGATTGGTTGGGATGGGGTCAGCACAGGGAAAGCGAGGAATATGCGTCCAGCGTCCTTGGCGCGGGCTGTGATCCACATTTAGACCGGGAAATCTGAAACAACATTTCGCAATGGTCGTCCGGAATGGCCCCGAATCACTACGAGTAAGCTAGCAAAATCAAATATAGCAGATTTAGTTAATTTAAATTATAATGAGGCGCGTGGGACGGGGCCTAACCAAAGAGAAATCTCTCATCAGCAAAGAAAACAAGGAGTGAAAGAGCGGAAAACTTGTATAAATAAGGAAAAATCTTATTTGTGTTTGGGCGAATGATGAAAAAAAGTAGGATGCATAAAGGGATAGCTGAAATCTGTTTGCTCCGATCTCGTCTGTACTACTCGTACTGCACGCCTTGGTACGCGCAGATATCATAATTTCCACTTCTATAATTTGTTTATGATTATGGGCCGCATGCAAAATGAAACGCATTTAAGTAATTAAGCCATAAAAAGAATGGCGTGCTCTGCTCGGTCCTGTTCTCCATAAAAACCAGTCCATACTGCAATAAAATGCCAAAAACAAAACAATTAGGCAATTAAATGTCTTTCGTATTACCAAAAATTTTCGTTTTGGTAACAAAACGCGTCATAAAATAAGCCAAAATGTACTCTCACCCTCTGGAAGTTAATGGGACAAGGGAATGGGGATGGTGATGGTGGGGCAGGGGCAGGGGTGACACTAAAAATGGATCACAAAGGGGAGAAATTATGTGAAAATGTCTGCCTTTGCCTTTGGCTCGGCATCTGCTACTTCTATATAAAAGCACAAAAGAAAATGGGACAGCGAAAAAAGAAAAGGCCAAATGAAAGGGCGAAGGCGTATGCGAGTGTTTTAGTAATATTTATTGAATTCCAGTTAACGAAGCCAGAACCGATGAAGTGGAGGGTAAGGGTAAGGGGGATAGCACAGGCCCGGACAAACCAGAGCAGAATAAGAATCCGAGCCCGCCCCGAGTCAGAGGCCAAGCAAGCAAAGCTCACAAAGCATTTTCACGCACATTTTCCCCCCGCCACAGCAGTGGGGAAAATTCCGAACGCTGCAAAATGAATTCTTTTGTGACAAGTTCAATTCGGTTCCCCAGTGGCAGTGCCAGTACCAGCTCCCAGAGTCCGAATGGGAGTTCATATGGCAGCCCGACAGCAGATTGTTGGCGCTGTCATATAACGCATCAAAGACAGTCAGGTGAAGGAATGCAGTCCTCGTTCTGTAAGAAATTGAAAATCCCAACAGCGTGGAGCGAGATGAGATGAGGTGAGGTGAGGGAAGCGTCGCATCGCTGGCTGATGGGAAAATGGAAAATCTCAAGCTGTGAAAATCAGCAGAAAATGCGCTGCTTTAGTTCACATTATTGTCATGGCCCTGTGGATATTTTCCTGGGCGCTTGGAATTTTTAATAAGCGTTAAAGTTTATAACATTCTCAGCTCCACCCGAACCAGCTTCCAGATTCGACTCCACGCCCCCTCCCCGCCCTGCGCTAAGTCATCCGCATGGCACATATCGACAGAGCGGTATATCCCGGACTGAAAGACTGCTGAGGACCCAACAACGCCCGGCGACGACCGAAAGGTAAGCCAAGGGCATAAAGAGTCTCACATAAAACCGACTAATTAGGCAAAGCATCTAATTAGACGCACACCAGGGCCAACGAGGATATGCGTCCTTTGTGCCGCCTCGTAAAAGCCAAAGCCCCCAAATGACAACGTCGCTAAAAATTCTTATCGCCGGCACCAAAATTAAGCCCCCACACACAACAGCGGGCAGAAGCGAAACCCGAAAATATATTGTGGCAAAGGTTAAAGATGCGCCATGTTAAATGTGGAAATTGTTTAATCCACTTGAATCCGGCTCAGCAATTACAATTACAGGGCCGGACAGGGTCCGTGGTCAGCTGCATGAAATTGGAACCGGCTATGTCCGTGGGATGCCAGAAAAGTACATAGATTCCAGCTTACATTCGGAAAAGCACAACCCTCGCCCCAACTCCAGCGAAAGAAATAACGTGAAAAGAAAAGAAAAAAAAAAGAAAAGAAAAACCTATTTGCATTTTATTTGCTTTGTAATTTGATGGTCGATTGCGTTTTTTAGTGTGTAATGAGGTGGGCTGGCGCTGCCAATGGGTTCCTTACATATCTACATATTTTCCAGGGCCAGCACTAGAACCCCCCTCCCAGAAGGTTAAAGTTGGGACAACTTATTCCACGCATGGTTGGGATCGTTTTCCATTAGGCACCCACGGATAATGGTGGAATAAAAAAAAGCATTTTAATTTCTGTTTGAATATACTCTAATGGATATGGATATACATATCTACATAAAAATACATCTATACATATTTGTATGTACTCGTACTCTGGACAGAAAAATCTATCCATGGTTTCCATTCTCCCCCCAACTCTTTTAGTAACAATGGACTGGATCAAAAACGGATTCACCGCAATTTGTCATGCAATTATTGTTTCCAAAATTTGCCTTTTATTTCGTATCCGCGCAACAAGCAGGTTCCTGCGGGTCTCATTTGGAAATTACCATTCTAGGGGCACGCACGAGCGCATCAACAACACCCTGAGAATATTTAGGCGCTGTGCCACTGCGACGTGCAAAATTGATCAAAATAAATTGCATAAAATATTCCATTTACGTTCTGGCGCCAAGGCTGGGATGTTGCCCCCAAAAAATATTATCGTAAGCAGCATCTAATGCAATCAGAAAGTGTTGCAACGCCCGAGGGCTCTACTTATAGACGGGGGCTGGGGTGTTGGCCTCCTAGAACAAGGCGCATCTTGCCATTTATTTACCAGCTCCTCGCCGGGCAGTATTTTATTTGTGAGTTATGCCCGGAATTTCTGATAAGCTATCCGGATCAGGGATGGCTACTGGCAAGAGCTTTGGTTGCTTTATTTCTCCATAAATTACAGGGTCATATGGAAAGAACATGGCAATGTTTTGGGGATTCTTTGTCAAATTTTAATCACCTTGGGGCAGGCAGATACGGCTGCCTGCTGCCTGCTTTCAAAATAATTAGTAGCAATGATGCACTGTATTTTTTCGGTGTACAGACCAAGTCACACGCCCACACGCAGAATTACGCCCAAGCCTGCCCCGAGAGAAACTCGGTTTAATTTGAAATGGCAACAAAAGAGTTGATTATCTGCCCACGTGCGTCAAGCTCTCCCCACGTGCACTCCAATATGCAAATACATCAGCCAGTCATTAAATTAATTAAAAAGAGCTCTTCCCGGCAAATGACTTTGCCAAAACTTTCCACAGCTCCGCTCCAGCGAGATGTGTCAGCCCACTCCACTTGCATTTCCACATCGCCGTCGTATTTTGTAGCAGTAGCAGTAGCATCAGCAGTCGAGTTTGCACTGCAATTATCAGAAGGGCGGACTATTGTGCGGGATGCTTCAATTAGAAATAAATGAGTTCTTTTAATTTTAGGTATACAGTAGTCATGAGGGCAGTGCTTCTGCAATGATTTACAAGCTACTAAAACTTGCATAAGATATGGCAATACTTATCAGACACGTTAATGCCAGCCCCAAGATCGCTAGAATTAAGTATTATTTGAGGGAGCGAGAAGCAACGTAAAGTTTAATTATAATTCTCAATATATTCATTTGATGCATGCTTGTGAGTATAAGGAACTTGGGAATGCCCCATAATGCCCCACTCGTTGCATAAGCAAAGAAAAATGGTGGGGAGGGTAGGAAACAACCCTTAGTTCTTTCATAGTTTTCCACATATTACGCGGCTGACTATCCGCGCACTTGCTCCCCGAAAACTGTGGCGAGAGTTCATCAACCCTGCCCCCAAAAATCCAAGCCGCAAGGGGGGAGGCGAGACCGACCCCAAGGAATTGTCCACCAGCTACTGCTGATGATGATGCTGTTCCCGCCGTGGCGGCGGGGACTTATCGAAACCCTCCCCCAGGCTTGAGACAGGCAAAGCCTGGAACGAGAATAAACTAGGGCATACGATTTACTAATAACAATGATATAAGACATTTCCCCAAATGAGTATATAATAAAGCTAATGGAAAATTATGGAGCCTGGGGGGTGGCTCCATTCGGAGAAGTGGAATGGCAACAGTGACATCATATACAGACATATCAACTTAAGATACATTACAATAACCAAACAATTAATGTTCTTCTGCTATGATAATTTTGTTGTCTGGCTGAAATGAATTTTGCATTTCTCAATTTGAAATTGATTAAATTCCACTGCATTGAATTTATGGCCAAGCCATTTGGCATTCCCGTCCAGTGGCCAAATATTTATCACCTTCGCATATTGCACAGAACTAAACCTTTTTCAGAACCTAATGGCCTATTAAGGTGTTGCCCGAAATCGTGTTCGGCCAGCGATTTAAATGCAATTAAATGGAAGTGTCTGATGGGCATGCTTTATGGCCATCCCACACCAGAAAGGGGTGGATGGGGGGTGTACTGGACGGAAAGGAGTGGAGTTCAATTAATATAAATGAAATGGCCCAAAAAAATGGGCTCGTAAAAATGATAAGCACATTAAACGGGCACCAATAAATGTCTTTCCACTGACAATTTATTTATGAACTCAAATAACTTTTAAAGCATTTCATTTCAGTCAAATTCAAATTATTACCAAGCACCGCCAGCACCACCAGGTGCACATGTTTTTAGCGGTGGTTTTTTGACCCACCCCACCCCACCCAAAACCCCAAACACAGGAGAACAGAAAATGTCAACTTTTTGCCAGCCGAAAATTGTCAAATGCACAGAATTTTATGCGCCATACATTTATGTTGATGCGGTTTAAAAGTTTTTTAATTACATTTGCAGGAGACCCGCACACACACCCACACCCACACGCAAATCAGAAACAGGAGCAGTCCTTTTTGGTACACACATGCCAGTATATGAGTGTGGGTGCATGCGTCATTTGGAATATATTTTACTCTTTGTGATTGTATTTGGCTGTGAAAATGTTCAAAACTCATTTAATTTGAAACAAATTAGAAACGATAACACACAAAAGTGAGTTGTTGTTTTGTTTGGAGGTGGGATGGATGCTGTTTTCCTGGCGATAGATATGGCTATGGAGCTCTTCAACAGAGCCATTTTGACACTAATGAAAATTGGAGTGTGTTTCGTAGAAAACAATGGCCCTAAAAGGTGGGAGTTTCATCGGTCTTTGCAAGCTTGATTTCTGTCATTATTTATAGTACACTAAATTGGTAAATTTTGTTGGCTATTTTAATTACTGAATACCCAAGCATACATACATACGAGTATAAGTAAATTACTCTTCTCGTTAACAGCTTGCCATTTTCTAGATTTTAAAAGGCTCTTTACGAATTATCATTAGCCGATGACAAGCTGAAAATGTGACCAAACTGACATTAACCCCATTAAATTTCAGTTAAATTTGCCTATGCATTAGCATCTATTCCCACATCCTCCCCGACCGATTCGCCCCTTGTCACTTGCTTGTCAATCATCCATCACTACTGCCCCAAGAAAGAGAGCCCACCCCATCAGAGCTGCTGGACTGTAGCAAGTTTTTGCTACTTATACTTATCTAAACCGCAGCAGAAACTAATTACTAAAGCGCCTCTCTGCCTGTGCAAGCAGTGGATATTATCTAAGGCAGAACCGATGCAGAGTCTCCCCTATCTCTAACCCTGAATCACAAACGAGAGAGCTCATCATTCATCTGGCTGGGCCTGTGGGGCCCAAGCAAACATGGCCTGGCCAGCAAGTGAAAGCCAGCCCAATGATATCAGTTCTCTGGGATCTGATGTGACCCAAATATGTTGGGCCTGACTACTGAGTAAGCCACGTCAGGACAACGAATTTTAAAGCACCATACCCAAGGATGAGCAAACTATTAATAAGCGGCGATGTCTTGCGTAAATATTGCCTTGGCAATACAAATATTAAATGAGTGATAGTTTTTTCGTTCCGATCTTACAGTGGCAATACAAACCGAAAGTCATCGTGGTAAAGTGGTTTCGAAATGAGAGAAAAGAGAACTTTGCCAACTCTCAGCGATTAAACAAAATAAATGCTAATCAGTATCGGGGCCAAAGTCCAGATTTTAAGATCGCATAAAAGCACGCTGCCCACGGAGTCAACTCAACAGTTTCGCTTCCACAAAGTTCTAAGCAACTTCTCGATCAGCATCATGAAAGTATTCATCGTATTGGCTGCCTTCGCCGCACTGGCCGCTGCTGTTGTAAGTCGTATTACTCCCGTATTACCCCTCTACTATTATGACTCTAACTCTACTTCAATTACTCGCAGGAGCTGACGGACACACAGAAGGCCGAGGTTAAGGAGAGGGCCAAGGCTTGCGCCGAGCAAGAGGGAGTCACCAAGGAGCAGGCTCTGGCCCTACGCGCCGGCAATTTCGAGGATGCCGATCCAAAGGTCAAGTGCTTTGCCAATTGCTTCCTAGAGAAGACCGGCTTCGTGGTCGATGGCCAGATCAAGCAAGACGTGGTCCTAACCAAGCTGGGACCCATTGCCGGCGACGACAAGGTGAAGGCGGTCCAGGCCAAGTGCGACTCTCTCAAAGGCGCCAACAAGTGCGAAACCAGCTATGAGCTGTACAAGTGCTATCACCAGAACCGGGCTCAGATCTAACTCAAGAATCTCATATTCTTAGCCGGACAAATACACCTACACATTTAATTCCAAAGGCAGTTCTACTTACGTTTGCTTGGGTTGGGTTTCTGGAGCTGGCTCTGGACTTCAATTTGGGCTCTGGCAAGGCTATCGATTGATCGAATAATGGCATTGCAGTCCACAGAAACCATTCGAGGCTGGCTCAAGAAGGTGTTCCGGCATGACGCCTGATCGACAGACCCTGCTGCACTGGGGCTTTTCACACTGGGCCGACTGGAAGTTTGATTAGTAAATCTCTTGATCCCTCTTCGGCAACACGTTTTTAATTAATTTTCCATTCAACAATTTTCAGTGCGTTACCTCGCTATTACCCACACTCTCTCCTCTGTATCTTTGAGCAAATATCTACGGCTATGGCTATGGCTCCAGCTCCCTGTAGCCGCAATTCAAAAAGCAAACAAAGTCTCGTCTCGTCCACAAACAATTTGACACCCAGAGCTGGAGCAGGAGCAGGAACTGTTCCATCCAGGAACAACAAATACTATGTGTATGTATCACAATTGTTTGCGTATTTGTTTGCCAAGAACAATAAGCTGGCTGTGTACGTATCCTGGCCGGTTGTGTGAGGCTGTCTAGTGTAGGGCAATTCTTGGGGGAAAATTCCCTAATTGATTTTGGTAATGTTGCTTTTTAATGAAGTGTCAAATGTGTTTCTTGTGATACATGTGGCTTCCGGCCATGAGGTGGAAGCAGGACTCAACTCTCAGAGGAGCATAGGAGAGAGCTCTTATTGTGCTGTAGCACTGCAGATTTTGGCGAATGTTTAATTCATTATAGGTTGGAGAGATTCTAATGAATCATGAGGTAGCAAAGCAAAGCAAAATATTCTTTGTATATGTATTATCTATTAATAGTTATCCCTGAATATCTAAAAATAGCTCTGCAATAACAAATATAGAAAAAGGAAGCCCATACCCATACGCGGAAAATGCTCTCTGAACACGCCAGCGGCACCAAGGCCCATTAGCTCAGTTGGTTAGAGCGTCGTGCTAATAACGCGAAGGTCGCGGGTTCGATCCCCTCATGGGCCAGAAAATTTTTTCTCATATATTTTTTTTGTTCCTGGCATTCCTTTTGTTTTCATTCAGTTTGCACTTTCTGGCCATAAACGAAATTGAAATTGTGGAGTCTCACTTGGCCAGCTCGCAACTGGAGTTTGTTTGTGCTGGACCCACAAAATAGATTTGCCGCAATGTAATTGAGTATTTGTATTCAATTAAGACTTATTTCAATATTTGCATAAATGCTGCTGGACCAGTGCGCCAGACAACCCCACAGACAGCAGAGCCAAACCGAATAGAGCCGAGTGGTGGAGTGCAGTGGAGTGTCTGGTGGAGTCCAGTCCTCAAGCGTGTATAAATCCCTCATATGTTCGGGCATAATTTGGTGAAACGAAACTCAAACAAACAACTGGAGGAGAGAGAGAGCAGGAAGGCATCCAGAGACCAGTGGCCAAATCTGTAGCTCTGGTGTGGGTGCATGTGTGCCAACTGTCTGATTTTGACAGCCCGCATAAAGCGACCAAAGGACGCAGACGACAACGTTTCCCGTGATGACACGATGACTAGGTAAACACTCGTGGAAAGGGCTGGCTAAATGCATTACCATCTGACTACCCTCCCGCCATCCGCCATCCGCAGTCTCTTCCCAATTTGGCGACAAAAACTGCCACAAATATTAATTTTTATTATTCAAACATTGCTTTAATTACATTATTTTTGCGTATGGCCCACGAACAAACCTTCCGCACTGCACCGCTCCGCACGGCACCCACTTGACGTGTGTGGCAAGCTCTTCGGTTGCATTCAGTCCTTTCCCCATCACTCTGATCAATCACTGGAAAATTGGATTTTCATATGTGCGCGCCATGGTTGCCGTTCTGGTTAAGGGGCGTTCGGCGGCGGTGCCTGTACCTTGTGGTGATGAAAATCAGTCGGTGCCACTCGCTCCATGTTTGACAAGCACAAACAGAAACTTAATCAGAATCCATGGATTGGTCAATAATTTTTAAACACAAATCAAGTGTTAACTGGGGGCTTAATTGTGGGTTGAGCGACAAGTACAAAAAAAGGGGAGGAAAAAAGAGTTGAAGTCAGGAAAAACATGAAAATGTAACTATGAATTTCAGGGCATTTTTTTGTAACAAGGTAAAAAATGTTTTTTATGGTTGAATGGTTAAAAGATGTATGATTTAAATTTTACGTTGAGTATAGTACATCGTGTATGCAGCATTTTTAATATCTGAAGAGTTTTATTGCTAAAATAAAAAAAATGAATTCAACCTTTAATGTGAAATTTCAATGCAATTAAATCATTAAATTCGACGTTTATGAAGGGAAGAACGTTTCAATCGGCTAATAGCATTTTCAACAAAATCCAAAACAAGAAACCACAAATGTCCGTCCCCACGTGGGATTTTAACACTCGGCAGCTGCGAGTGACTGCGTCAAACCCAATCCTGTCGGAACCCTTTGCTGCCCCAACCATTCCCCAGTCAATAGAAACACGTCCGGCCATATGGAGAGACCAACAAGCAGTGGATGGAGGGGCAAAGTGTCCAGTTTATTTTTTGCCTGGCCATTCATCGAATACGTTGGATCCGGATGCTGGGCTGACGGAAATTCGATTTATTTTCATCAATATTCAATGTCATTGCAACATCTTCGTGGGCAAACCCAAAAGCGTACATCAGGCATGTCACAGGAAAACCACCAGCAGCAACCAAAAGGAACCATCAGAGTGAGGGATCCCAGCCGGGCTCCATGGAAATGGACTTTGTGGCTTGAAGCTTTTTGTGGTGTTTCGCTATTAAAATTTGATGCGCATGTTGTTGTCTCGTTGTCGCAGGTGCACGTGCCACAGGAGTGATCCTATGGACCCATGGAGCCCCTGTCAAGCGGGGCGGCAGTCTGGCGCAGTTGTGGCCATTCGTCTATTCAGTTTTTGTGCACTTGATGCGCTCTCTGCGCTGCCATTGCATATTTAAACAAATTTATTTGGAATTTAGTGTTTGCGGTTGGTTCACCCAAAAACGCCAGAGGGTGGGACCGGATGGTTCGGTGCACATTCGAAGCGCTCTTTTAAGTGGCGCGAAAATTAATTAAAATTTTTGAAATTGATTGACAAATATGTCAGTTTGATTGGCAGCTCTCTGGCGTGGCTGAACATATTTTGTTTGATTTCCCATTTCAGTATTTTCAAAATGAACGCTGCAGTTAAGTCCCTAATTATTAAATACTATATACCGGGTGCAAAGGGTTGCATGGATACCAACTTTAAAGTCTTCTCGTTAGCAGCCCTAAAATGTAGCACCTCCGGTGGCTGCCTGTCAGAAATCTCGCCTCACGTTGAAATGCAAACAGAATCGAGAAAAATCAACATGAGAATGCGCTGAGCGTGTGGTCTCCCAGGCATACGTATGTATGTATCTGTGGCAGTTGGCCAAAGGTAAAGCCGGCATCATCGTCATCATGTGTGGGAGAGAGTGAGATTCGAGTCCGCGAAGTCCGTGGCTGCATGCAACGCCGCGATAAGGGCGGCGCCATGGCAGAGAGTAAATACATAATCCACGTGAGTCGGTGGCCGGCGAATCAAATGCGACGGGACACGCATTGTGTGCATGAGAGACACTTAATAGTATAACTACCTGTGCTCGGCATCTATTTGCAGATTTAAGATTTTTCATGAAATGTGTTATTAGCCAGGCTCTGTCTGAGACTCCTTCATAATATTCAAAGGCTTGTGCTATTCTATGACCTTCGTGATATGCAACAAAAAAAAAGGAAGGGCACAGTTTGAATAGCAGAGCAAGGTTTCGATCCTCGGACCTCTGGGTTATGGGCCCAGCACGCTTCCACTGCGCCACTCTGCTAGTTGAAGGTCCTACGCGAAAAAGTATCTGTTGTATTGGAAAATTTTAGGAGTAAATTTTTTATTAATAACGAATAATATTTTAAAATTTTAAAAAGAAAAAAGATTGGATCGAAAATAAAAAAATAAAGAATACTTGTAGTCTGAGATAATTCATAAAAATCAAAGCCAATAAACATCATTAAAAAACTCCATTTTTTTAATGTAGCCCTTTTGTCAAAATTTGTGACAACTAGCAGAGTGGCGCAGTGGAAGCGTGCTGGGCCCATAACCCAGAGGTCCGAGGATCGAAACCTTGCTCTGCTATCAAGTTGTGCGAAATTGTCGTTTCGCTACTTTTTTATGCATACAACGATGACCATCATGTAACACAGTTTTAAGCAAAACCAGCTATTTCATTTTCAATATTTATTTAGCTTACTATTAGGTGTAATTTATTTATGTACATATGTATGTACATACATATATGTACATATGTGATGACATATTATTTCTAACAATACTGCATCATATGGGATGACCTTAATAGGAAGAGACAAACCTTGTTCCAAAAATACATATGTATGTACTACTATGCAACCAATATGAGTTAAGGAAAGTCGGTATTGTAAATTATAAATCAATTGAAAATCATAAAAAAAAACTATTTCCCATACCGGGAATCGAACCCGGGCCTTCTGGGTGAAAGCCAGATATCCTAGCCACTAGACCATATGGGATATATAATATTCCGGTCCAAAAGTGCATTTTCGTAGAAAACATAGTTCGGTTTTTATTTTTATAAATGTATTTGAAAAATCAGTTTGCACGGAACAATAGTTCTTGTTATTAAACAAATTTAAAACTAAAATTGTATGAGGACAGTATATGTACATATGTATGTATATGCAGATTACTCTATGATAAGAAGAAAATAAACGTTTGTCTATGAATATCTTCGACGCACAAAACCACATTTGTAGGCAATGAAACACTATTAAAATTAAATCTTTGATATTAAGTAAAAGTTCCTTAACATTTAACGTTGGTCACATTTTTTAACATACGATATTTGTTGTTTTACGTGCTTGGGTTGTGTGTGTGATGAAGGTATTGATATGTGTTGTCTTTGGTTTTACATCTCAATTATAGATTTGGTGAAATAGCCTGCATCTCCCATATTGTCTAGTGGTTAGGATATCCGGCTCTCACCCGGAAGGCCCGGGTTCAATTCCCGGTATGGGAAGCTATGTGCTGACTTTTTTTCTCTATTTTTTAAAGGATCGATTTGTAAATATATTTCACTTTCCTCTGTAAATATCCCATCAAATTATAAATTTCAAAGTGTATTTGATTTGTATTTTTTTTATTTTCAAAACATGTTTAAAATTGCAAAGCGGTTTATTTCCGTAGACCCTAACGACATATCATATCTCCAAAAAGTAAATTAAATATTCAGCCAATATGAGTGAGTTTAAGCAAAATTTGTAAAATTTAATTGAAATTGTTATAAAAATTATAAAAAATTACTTCCCATACCGGGAATCGAACCCGGGCCTTCTGGGTGAAAGCCAGATATCCTAGCCACTAGACCATATGGGATATATTTTTTGTTGGTCCAAAAGTGCATTTTGGTACAGAAGGTTTTGAATTGGGTATTTTTTACCATTTACTGAAATCAGGTACATATGTATGTATGCATACATGTCATATGAAACAAAAAAATATTTTTGTTATTAAAAAAATGTAAAACAACAAAATAATGGAAAAGTTACAGTGGAAAATAATAATTTATGTAGATTACTATTAAAAAAAAAAAAGTTAGTTCGTCTGCCCACACATTTGAATTCCAACCACGCAATCCGCACATGTAAGTACAAATGTCCAGTACATAATATATAAAAAAAGTTCTTTTGTTCCTAAAAGCGTCTAACGTGCATTGTTTAGGAATTTTTACTCAACACAGTTTTTAATACAACAGCTTTTCAATGTCTACCGACCAAAAGTTGATTTCCATTGGCATATGTTTCTGTATGTTTCTGGCTGAATATACAATACTTTAATTTCAATTGTAAATTTTACATAAAATTCGTTCCATTGTTTAAAGTGATTTGTATGTATATGTTGTAAATGATTTCATTATATTGTTAAAATTAACTAATTCAAAACCGTCTGTAAGAAAATGCACTTTTGGACCAAGAAAAAATATATCCCATATGGTCTAGTGGCTAGGATATCTGGCTTTCACCCAGAAGGCCCGGGTTCGATTCCCGGTATGGGAAGGAATTTTTTAACAAATATTTAATTTACAGTACTTACCAATTACAATTTACCTATTTTGCTTAAACTCATATTGGTTGCATAATTAAAAATTATATAATTAATTATAATTTTTAACTGCCTAAACCGATTCTGTCCTGAGATTTCAGGTTACGTAAATGTGTGTGTGCCATGTATTCTCACATGCTGTGCTTGTGTGGGTTCTACAATTTTTGGCCCCTTGAATCGAAATTGGTTTTTATTCCCGTACTCAAAAAGAATGCAGGGTTATATTGTATTTGTGGTAAAAGTGGATGTGTGTAACGCAGATAAGGAAACGTTTCCGACCCCATAAAGTATATATACTCATAATCTGTGGAGTAGAGTCGCGTCCCCAGAAGCGACTCTCACGTTTCTCCTCGTTTCGATCTAATTTCTCTCATTTTCTGCCTCCACTTTCCACCGCTCAAACGGCAGAAAACCGTTAAATTCAAATCTTAGATACCAGGCGCACAGAAATCAGCAGAAGGTCGCTGCTTTTCTTAAATTCTCGTTTTTTCTTGTTTCTCGTTGCTCCCTCTTTTCGCTCTAATTTTTCTCATTTTCTGCCTCCACTTTCCACCGCTCAAATGGCAGAAAACCGTTAAATTCAAATCTTAGATACCTGGCGCACAGAAATCAGCAGAAGGTCGCTGATTTTTTTAAATTCTCGTTTTTTCTTGTTTCTCTTTGTTTCTCGTTGCTCTCTCTTTTCGCTCTAATTTTTCTCATTTTCTGCCTCCACTTTCCACCGCTCAAATGGCAGAAAACCGTTAAATTCAAATATGAGATACCAGGCGCACAGAAATCAGCAGAAGGTCGCTGCTTTTTTTTAATTCTCGTTTTTTCTTGTTTCTCTTTGTTATTCGTTGCTCTCTCTTTTCGCTACAATTTTCCTCATTTTCTGCCTCCACTTTTCACCGCTCAAATGGCAGAAAACCGTTAAATTCAAATCTGAGATACCAGGCGCACAGAAATCAGCAGAAGGTCGCTGCTTTTTTTAAATTATCGTTTTTTCTTGTTTCTCTTTGTTATGCGTTGCTCTCTCTTTTCGCTAAAATTTTTCTCATTTTCTGCCTCCACTTTCCACCGC